AAGCGATATCTCTCTTATGAGAGTATCGATGAACCTTACTTTTAGATCTGATGGCAGATCACTCTTACTGTATGATATTACCATGGGATTCAATATGAACTCTAGTGTAAAGTATATAGGGGTCATTAAAACACATGTATATATAGTGATAATAATGTATTTCTGTATGCTGCATGATATCTTAAAATAATAAGCGCAGATAAATACTTGTATATTCAAAAATAATAATTAAAAAAAAAATATCAAACTAATGGTTTTTACTTAATAAAATGAAAATTGATGAAAGTTGATTTTGAGAAACAAAACACTGTCATAAATTCTGCCTTAAATAAAGCATTTTTAGCTCACCTCGACAAAGTCGAGATGAGCTTATGCTATACCCCCGGCGTTGGCGTCGGCGTTAGCGTCGGCGTCCCGGTTAAAGTTTTAGGAGCAAGTCCCATTCCCAAGTTACTATAAGCCCTACCTGGACCAAACTTGCATGGATGATGCATCTAGAATGGACACTGCCACACTTGCTTCGGATGCTGGATCTGACCTAGATTTTCCAGATGAGTGACCAGGTTAAAGTTTTTGGAGCAGGTCCATTCCCAAGGAACTATACGCCCCACCTGAACCAAACTTGTATGGATGATGCATCTAGGGATGGACACTACCACACTTGCTTCGGATGCTGGATCTGACCTAGATTTTCCAGATGAGTGACCAGGTTAAAGTTTTTGGAGCAGGTCCATTCCCAAGTAACTATAAGCCCTACCTGGACCAAACTTGCATGGATGATGCATCTAGGGATGGACACTACCACACTTGCTTCGGATGCTGGATCTGACCTAGATTTTCCAGATGAGTGACCAGGTTAAAGTTTTTGGAGCAGGTCCATTCCCAAGTAACTATACGCCCTACCTGGACCAAACTTGCATGGATGATGCATCTAGGGATGAACACTACCACACTTGCTTCGGATGCTGAATCTGACCTAGATTTTCCAGATGAGTGACCAGGTTAAAGTTTTTGGAGCAGATCCATTCCCAAGTAACTATAAGCCCTACCTGAACCAAACTTGCATGGATGATGCATATAGGGATGGACACTACCACACTTGCTTCGGATGCTGGATCTGACCTAGATTTTCCAGATGAGTGACCAGGTTAAAGTTTTTGGAGCAGGTCCATTCCCAAGTAACTATACGCCCTACCTGGACCAAACTTGCATGGATGATGCATCTAGGGATGAACACTACACACTTGCTTCGGATGCTGAATCTGACCTACATTTTCCAGATGAGTGACCAGGTTAAAGTTTTTGGAGCAGGTATATTTCCAAGTAATTATAAGTCCTTCTTAAACCAAACTTGTATAGATATTGATCTTGGGATGTACCCTAACTAGAAAAAATATGATGTGAGATTTGCCTTACTTATAGATAACCTTCGTCGAGGTGAGCTTCGTAATCTTTGATTACCTATGTTTATTCTTTTGAAATAACTTTTATGAGACATTATTAATAATTTTTCATTCAAATAAAAAGTCACACTCTTTACACAAATCCATGAAATCTAAATTGAAATTGAAGTCTTTTTTTTTTTTTTAATGAATAATGATTAAGAACCATGCTTAAACAACCTAATTATATAATATTATAAGCCCTCAGAATGTCAAAAAGAGTTGAATTTATCCGATTGAAATTTTATCCCTTCATTGCACTTTTACTTATTCTTTATTAAATCGCCCATTATGATCTCATAGGCATTCCTTTTTATTATCTAATCCCTTCTTTGTTACTATCATATATTGAGATTTGTGGGTTCAAGTCCCACCACACTTATACATAAAATGATGATGTAGAATATGAATAGTAAACTAGGGATCCCCATTGTCTTATTAGCTACTAGTATCTATATTATACCATTCTGTGAATTTGTGTGCATGCACCTCTTTCATTTACAGAGTTTAATTTACATAGATCTTCTTTACTTTCTTTCATACAATGTTGCTAATGTTGACTGTTCTTAACAACAGTATACAAAACATTAAAAAATTAAACATAGGATGGAGGAAACAATTATTTTTTTCCAAAGATATTAGAGTCTGGAATGTGCCTTATGAAACATCAAGAAGACTTCAGATGAGACTTTAAATCAGTGAACATTCCTATGCATTTCTCTTTTTTTAAATTTGCTCAGATCTACCCAGTGGAGGAAGAGATGAATTTATGCTGAAATATGTATACAATTCATGAAATATTTAATACACTCAGACAGGTTTGCCCAGTCAGTTAATATCACTTATGAAATATTATTGTTTAATATATATAACAGATTAACAATGGAGAAATTGCATGGCTGGACCAGGAATCGAACCAAGGACACCTGTCTAAATACTAGTCAGGTGCACTAATACACTACCACAGCACAACAAATGTTAAGGTTCTTCTGTATGTTGTGTATATTAAGGAAACAGTATAAAAAAGAATGCATCAATGTCCTTTCCTACTTTAGATGAAATATAACATTCTGATTTTATCAAGAAATATTCAATGGTTTGAAGTGCAAGAATACCAAATAACATTATTTGTGCAGTTTTATCTATTGCAAATTAAGTTTTCCATAACTCTAATTTTTCAAAACCTGAGTCTATCTCTAAGGACGATTTTCGAGGACAATATCATAATTTCATCATATAACGTTAGGTCCCTGCTAGGTAGAGCATAAGCAAACGATAATGACATTCGACAAGAGAACCATTTATTTGTTACTCTGTATTTCTTCAACTTACAGAGACAAAAAAAAGCGACCCGATTGTCGAAGTCTTTTTGTTATCTTAAGGACATACGCAACGTACCTTACCTACTGATAATTTTTCAAGATAATCTTTATTTAAGATTATAGTGCCATCAGATGTTCGTAGACAAAAAATCAGCATGTATTACCAGGGGTTTTGAAAAGATATCAATTGATGAAAATTCTTGTATAATTCAAAGAAAAATATACAAAAATTACTAAACATATATTCTAGATGTTTTGTATATCCAAACTTGTTTTAGAGGAAGTGTACAACAGCATATATAGACATTAAAATATAGCACACAGTTCCTTCAAGTACTGGAATTCTTCAACTCCAGGGAAAAAGACAATAAAGTTCAAACTATGTTCCGTATGTCCTTAATTCTCCTCGAGTCAACCCTCCCATGTCATCTTTGACTTTGTTGTTAATCAACTTTCGGTTTGTCATAATGGTAAACAAAGCATCCAAAATTCAACTCTCCTTCGGTCATGCATTCCAGGAATTACTGTACAGCGTAGTTTTCTGCCTTTTTTTCGAAAACGAATTTACCCTTCTTATCACGTAAGTGATATTGACATCTGTCATTTTGATATAATAAGCGTCGGGCACGGGCTGACGTAATAACGTCACTGACATGAATAACGTCATACAGCGTTATTTTATGTGGTATGGATCATTACCTTAAATAATGTTCATACTTTATTTTCAATTGGTAGAATACACAATGAGTTATGATTTTATTGAATTCTAAAAACAAGATATACATAAAGATATGTTTTTATTTTTTGTATTTTTTGTATTTTATTTATTATTCCTTTTTTTTTTGGCTGCCGTATGTAAATTCAAGAATACTATTAATTTTAACAGGTAGTCCGATAATAAACTCATTCTATCATTACTGAAAAAGTTCTTATTGTAAACTAGAAGAAAAGGATGAGAGAGCAGTACAATCAATCCCCTGGGATTAATTATCTTGTCTGGGGCAGAAATTTTCCAGGCTTATCTTTATTTGTCACTTTAAGATAAATTAACCTTTGTCTGCCACTGATGTTTTTTTGAAGTTAAGGTCAAGTCTGGGTGATATTTGCATTCACTGAAGGCTGGCATTTTATAAAACACATGCTTTATTCTTGTTTAAATATACATTTAATTGAGTTATTATAGATATGATGTTTTTTACTGCCTTGTGTAAATACAGGGATACTCTTTACAGGTTGTTGGATATTTAGGAATTATCATGAAAGAAGATGGGTGAACAAGGCGTGCAGAATGCCTATAGCTTCAGATATTAATAAAATCATATTCAATTTGTGAATTAAGTATTTAAAATAAAGTTCTCATTATTGAAATTTATGAAATTATGATTAACAAAACTTTTCTGAGAAAAAAGATCTCGGAAAAATTATTCTTTTATTAAAAAAATAAAATGGTATTCGTGGGATTCGAACCCTTATCAATAAAAATCCGGAGTATCATATTGTTTTGAGACTAACACGCTAACCACTACGCCACGCAGCCCCTGACAAAAAGTGGCATTTAAATCATGTTTGTGATATGACCCTTGACTTAATGGACTTCAAGTATTTCTCGGAAACATACGAATGCTTTGTCATAAAAGTGTACTTTTAAGGTACAGTGGGTCTTTGCTCCATGTTTTTGTAAACCAAAAAATGTATATTTTTATGCAAACTTTTAGGATCAACTTTCAAAAAAATGGAGCGAAGACCCACTCATATCGAAAAATTTTGTTAAAGTGTGAGAAAATGATCCTTTTTGTCCTCTTTAGTGTGTGTATGCTATTTCGTAGGCAAATAATTTCAGTCTTTGTGAGATTTTTGTAAATTGTAGAGATTTAGCATAAAATATACTTTAATGTTAGATGAAATATCAAAGAAAATTTTTATATAATTGAGATTTTATTTTTCACTTCATGTTTGTCGCACTATAGGCACTTCGCCCGCCTTGTTCACCCATCTTCTTTTATAAATACAGTTGTTATTGCATATTCTTCTTCATATATTTTTAAATTTTTGTAATCAGTTAAAATTCTCATTCTGTAAGCTGCACCCTTATATTTCTACTCCTCGACAGGGCCCTTGCTGACTGGTCAGTTTTCTAGTTTAATGCATGGTTTAAGACTTTTCAGGAAAAAATTGTGTAGTAATGTTCAATTGAACAGTTCTCAGGATTAAAAGAAAAAATGTCTTCTTGTTGTAGGTAAACAAATTTAATATTAATGGAGACACGTTACTTTCTGGAATGGGTAAGTTAATGTTTACTTAAAATTTTTGGAATTGGCATTTACCCTGTTTTTTTGTTTTTTTTTTGTTTTTTTTGTTTTTTTGTTTTTTGTTTTTGTTTGTTTTTTTTTTTTTTGGTTTTGTTTTGTTTTTTTTTTTTGCATAGTAGGTTTGGGAATTTCCAAATTTGACAAGTGAGATGAATTATTATATATACAGTCAAACCTTGTTATCTCGAACACAATGGGATCGAGAAAAAACTTGGAGATATCTGAGGATTCAAGATATCCAGGATAAAATACTTAAAGAATAAGAGGTTGGGACTTCCAATCACTTCAGCATACCCAAGGTATTCGAGATATCGGTGTTTGAGATACTGAAGTTCAACTGTAGGTATGTAAAGTTTTTTTTAGCTCACCTGAGCCGAAGGCTCAAGTGAGCTTTTCTGATCACATTTTGTCCGTCGTCCGTCCGTCCGTCCGTCTGTCTGTCCGTCCGTCTGTAAACTTTTCACATTTTTGACTTCTTCTCAAGAACCACTGGGCCAATTTTGACCAAACTTAGTACAAAGCATCCTTGGGTGAAGGGGAATTTAAATTGTTAAAATGAAGGGCCAAGTCCCCTCACAAGGGGAGATAATCAAGAGAAGACAAAAATAGGGTGGGGTCATTAAAAAATCTTCTTCTCAAGAACCACAGGGCCAGTACAGCTGAAACTTATATGGAAGCATCCTGGAGTAGTGTAGATTTTAAATTGTTCAAATCATGACCCCCGGGGTAGGGCGGGGCCACAATAGGGAATCCAAGTTTTACATTGAAATATATAGGAAAAATCTTTAAAAATCTTCTTCTCAAGAACCACAGAGCCAAAAAAGCTGAAACTTATGTGGAAGCATCCTGGGATAGTGTAGATTTTAAATTGTTCAAATCATGACCCCCGGGGGTAGGGCGGGGCCACAATAGGGAATCCAAGTTTTACATTGAAATATATAGGAAAAATCTTCTTCTCAAGAACCACTAGGCCAGAAAAGCTGAAACTTATGTGGAAGCATAATGGTGTAGTGGAGATTCTAAATTGTTCAAATTATGACCCCCGGGGTAGGGCGGGGCCACAATAGGGATTCCAAGTTTTACATTGAAATAAATAAAAAAAAAATTTTAAAAATCTTCTTCTCAAGAACCACTTGGCCAGAAAAGCTGAAACTTATGTGGAAGCATCCTGGGGTAGTGGAGATTCTAAATTTTTAAAATTATGACCCGGGGGGGTAGGGCAGGGCCACAATAGGGAATCAAAGTTTTACATTGAAATAAATAAAAAAAAATTTTTTAAAAATCTTCTCAAGAACCACTTGGCCAGAAAAGCTGAAACTTAGGTGGAAGCATCCTGGGGTAGTGGAGATTCTAAATTTTTAAAATTATGACCCGGGGGGGGGGGGGGGGGGGGGGTAGGGCGGGGCCACAATAGGGAATCCAAGTTTTACATTGAAATATATAGGAAAAATCTTAAAAAATCTTCTCAAGAACCATTAGGCAAGAAAAGCTGAAACTTATGTGGAAGTATCCTGGGGTAGTGTAGATTCTAAATTGTTCAAATCATGACCCCCGGGGATAGGGCGGGGCTACAATAGGGAATCCAAGTTTTACATTGAAATGAATAGGAAAAATCTTTTAAAATCTTCTTCTCAAGAACAACTGGGCCAGAAAAGATGAAACTTACGTGGAAGCATCCTGGGATAATGTAGATTTTAAATTGTTAAAATCATGACCCCCGGGGATAGGGCGAGGCCACAATAGGGAATCCAATTTTACATTGAAATATGTAAGAAAAATCTTGAAAAATCTTCTTCACAAGAACAACTGGGCCAGAAAAGCTGAAACTTAAGTGGAAGCATCCTGGGGTAGTGTAGATGCTAATTGTTAAAATCATGACCCTCGGGGTAGGGCGGGGCCACAATAGGGAATCCAAGTTTTACATTGAAATATATAGGAAAAATCTTGAAAAATCTTCTTCTCAAGCACAACTGGGCCAGAAAAACTGAAACTTATGTGGAAGCATCCTGGGGTAGTGTAGATACTAAATTGTAAAAATCATGACCCCCGGGGGTAGGGCGGGGCCACAATAGGGAATCCAATTTTACATTGAAATATGTGAGAAAAATCTTCTTCTCAAGAACAACTGGGCCAGAAAAACTGAAACTTATGTGGAAGCATCCTGGGATAGTGTAGATTTTTAATTGTTAAAATCATGACCCCCGGGGGTAGGGCAGGGCCACAATAAGTATTAGAAGGGGGTAAATCTGGTAAAGAACAGCATGGCCAAAGTTACTCAGGTGAGCGATGTGGCCCATGGGCCTCTTGTTTTAAATATTTTCCACTGTTAAAAATGTATGTTTGCATATTGCAGGTGTCAACTTGTTACTGTGGAAGAGAAGAGAAGAGGCTGCCAAAATTCAAGAGTCTTTGATGTCAAAGATAAGTGGAAAAGGCTTGGATCAAAGTTCAAACTCAGGTCAAACAAGGTCAGGAAGGTCAAACCAATCCAAGAGAGCCAATGAAAAACTAAAAAAAATGAAAGAAAGTACAGAAACCAAACAAACCAAAGCAAAACTCATGCTGAAAACAACAGAAGAAAAACAGAAAAAGAAGAAATGAGATAATCATGTGTTCATTTTCAGTTACCACACTGTGTTCAACTGTTCATGATCTGCAGGACTGCAGAATCAAAATTTAGTTGATAAAACTTGTGCTTAGAATTTCAAGGGGAAAAAAACACTGATTGATTCTATGACAAAATCTGAAAGAACATATAGTATGTTTTGCATGATTTTTAATGAAAAGTATTTACATGTTGTATACTAGTAGATTAAGTGGTACAGTATTTGTGCAGTAGTTGTTAGTTTTGTGACTTGTTCAGTTACATGTGTCATTTGCATTTCTCATGTACTAGCTAGAGTAGTGTTTTTCTAAATCTCTAAACAAACAATCCTTTTTTTTTTCCCATTATGCAGTATGTGAAAAAAGTGTCTATTCCTAAAAAGAATGGACAATTTTTTTCCCCAAAAAGAATGAACAGTATTTTTCAGACAAAATGAACAGTGCCTATCTCTTACTATTTGGTTGTCAGTTCTAGTATTGCTTCATATGTTAAAATTCTTAAAACTTTTCACATTCCTGACTTCCTTGGATAAAATTATCATTTCTCTGGTTTTAGATCAAAATTTTGCACAGAAACACTCAGTTGGTCTCTTCTCATATCTCCCATTACTATGCAAAACGTTAACGGTAAAGTACTTTTTAAAAAAAAATTTAGCATAGATGTTTATTCTCAAAAATGTACTATGCATTGTATATGAAACAAAACGTACTTCAAGGCTTTGAGGAAAGCAGCCTCATCATTCTAAATTACTCAGCCTGTTCATTTTCAGGACAATATTTTGTAAAACAATAGAGAACATGTTTGAATAAGAGAAATACCTTAAACTGCCCACTCTGTGAGAGAACTGATTTCAGGCTTATAGTCAATTCCTTTTTCTTACAAAATATACAGTTTTCAGCTTTTATTTACCCTAGTCAGTAGATTGGAAAAATTTTCCTGTTTATTATAAGCTAGATTTTTGGTTGCCCTTTTTTGATTTGATAGTCTGTATTTTTTAAATAAACTGTAATGTTGTCAGGAGTTTTGTGACTCATTTATTTAGAACCTTTATATAAGATTTACATTTTTAGGATGTTTTTTTTTCCTAAATTATTCCATATTTTAAGCTCCACTGGTCAAAAAACAGAAAAGCTTATGAGATGGTAAGGTGTCTGTCAGTCTGTTGGTTTTTAGTTTCTTTGAGTAATGTTCCATTAGTTAAGAAATATAGAATGATGTGTTAAAGTTTTATCCAAACATTTCACAAGTTTTTAATATACAGTGGTTCGATTTCTTTGAATTCTGGTACACAAATATAATAAAATAAGAGACATCTAGTTGTTAGTTTTGCCATAGCCACTAAAAAAGAAATTTGTGAAAAATCTTTCAAAAAGGTTACTCCTCTAACAGTTACAATTTTGACTGCAACAAAACTTTTTACATGTTAAAAAGCAAAAATATCCATTATTATGTAAATGAAAGCCAAAAAAGGGGGTTTCAAGTCTAGGTGCTACTCTTGTAAAAACCAGTAGAGCTAAAGTCTCATCAGAAACTGGTTTTCTTACCTTTTTTTTAAAGACATAATCAGATAAACATATATAGAGATATGTTTTTTAGTTAATTGTAGATTAAATAAAACTGTCAAAAGTAGATGTCGTCTTTTAATTTAACAATTATATGTATGTTGTTACATCAGTCTATGAAGTTGGAAAGTTGTTATTCTTCTCCCCAAAAGGAAATAGTAGCTTTCCATGAGAAAAAGATCCTTTATTGGGAGACAAAGAAATAGTGTTACAGTTTTGATGAGAATCTAAAGAAGATGTGGATTTAATATGAAACATTCCTTAAGGTGACATGTTCCTCAGTAATATGTATTTAATCCCAAGAATTTGTCATTGAAGCACTGATACTTTAACAAGTATCCTCACAAAATTGAGGCTCCTTACCAGGCATTTGTGCAAGATACCAGAGGATGGTGTTTCCTATATAATCCTATTAGATATCGCTTGAATTACCAATATCGCAATTTTTGGTGTACTTGTTTTCCAAGACATTTTGAAAATAGTTTATAATTCACAAGAGAATGACGATTATGAATAATTTTTCATACATTACAAATAGATACAAATTAGATATTTGAGGAACGTGTCGTCAGACCTAAAAGAAAGGTACTACTTGAAATGCATATCCTTGGCAACTTGACATGACTTTTAATAGATTAGCCTCGCAGCTTTTGGCAGAAGTCCACACTTTCTTACTGCCATTTGGTATCTGCTCAATCAGGTTTTGCTCTAACAGTTGAAGGAAAAAAAAATATTGCTAAAAACTAACAATTTATTAACACTTTGTATATACAGTATTTATATTCATCACAATTATCCAAACTCCAATACTACAATCAAAGAAATGGATATACTGTTCAAAACATTTAAAACACAATATGATAAAAAGAAAACAAAAAAGAAAAACTGGACACGCAGAGTAAATAAAAGCAGTACTAAGTATGTCCAGCATACTGATAGTGTACCCGTGGAAAAAGGACTCGCTTGCGAGTTGTGCGATTTTTGAATGGTGAAAATGTCATTTGAAATTCTTTATAAACCTGCCAATGAAATGAAAATCATAGCCCTAGGAACCAATATGCCCGAATGTTTTTGTAAACCTTATGTGGCAAACACTGAACATAAATAATTAACTTAAAATGTGTTAACACCCCCCCCCCCTTTTCGACCATCGAGCTTTGGTATTTCAATTACTGGCTTTCCTTTGTGCATTTATTATCCTTATCTAAACAATTTGGTATTGTGTCAACCCTCTCCCACAATTCTAGCTCTGCTCCTTCCAAGCTGAACATTGCCCCCCCCCCCCCCCCCTCCCCAAAAGGCTCGAGAATGGAAAATGTTGCTATTTACATACGTACAATACAATACAGTATGTTCAATATGAGAGAGAACGAGATGTATTTATTGTGTGTATCGGGTATATAAATGATATGTTATTTTCTTAATTTACACAGGGACGATGTTGAGTAAGATTTAATTGACAAATTTGCAATAAATATGAAACACCGAGAACATTAAAAATTGTCACTACAGTATGTATTGTACCACGCTCGCTTAAGCACCACTCAATAGCTAGCTGCTCGTTTGAAATGAAAGTTTTAATTTCAGTGGTTGATTGAATAACCAGGTTAAGTTTCGACGTTTTCTCCTTCTATTTCTTCGTCTCCTTCTATTTCTTGGCCCTCTAATTCTGGAGGATCGGCCACTTCCGGACCCTCCAGTTCAGGAGCGTCTGGAACATCCGGAGTATCTGGCGCATCCGGTGCCTCTGGAGGTTCATTTGCCGTTGCCATAGCCATTTGAATAGACGACAATGGAGTAAGCATTGGCCATCCCATTGGAAAGAAAGGACCGGGTCCAATAAAGGATGGACAGTAAACGCATCCACAACAGTTGCTGGAATAAATATGTGGGAGATTTGTATAGGGAGGGAGTCTCCGTGGGGAGGTATGATCAGGACAGCAGCGAATTTGGCAGGAACAGGCCCCCAAACTCCGCACAGTCTGCATACCTGTCAAAAAAATTATTATCAAGTTTTTTCAACGTCTGCTATACAAATAGGATACTGCAGGAAACAATTTACCGGGGTAAATGCAAAAATGAATTTAGTAAAGATGAAAAATACCTGTCGATGCTTGTCGGTTCATCTGTCCAGATGAAGTGTGAGGGAACTGCATTCCTGTTGGAAGAGAGAATCGTGATGATTTTTCGACAAATACATGTATAATACTTTTCTGGTATTTTACGGCTAGTCCTTACAAATAAATTTAATAATCTTTTATTACCCGAGAATAAGAGACGACATACCTGGTCTTTGGGAGTGCATCTGTCCCGTAACTGTATGCAGGAGAAGCACCAAACTTGATACGGCTACCAGACTAAACATTTCTCAGTTCGAAAAGACGAATGAAATTAAACCTGAAATCAAAGTTGTCAGTTTAGATCCAAGTTTACTAGAAACACCCTGGGTACCAAACATTAAATCGAGAAACGGAATACCTTTCTCTCTCTCTCTCTCTCTCTCTCTCTCTCTCTCAAATTCGTTCCTTTAGTATTTTTTTTTTATCAAAAAGGAAAAAATTAAACAAAAACTTTCAGTTTATTACAAATCGCATTTTACTTGTACACTTTAAAAAGGCCTATGATGATAAACAACTGACCTTTGTTTTTGGTCTGGAAATCCAGGAGCTATCTATCCAACCCTCTCATTTGTAAGTGTGGTGAAATAAGCCTCTCCGGACTTTTTACTTCACGGTTTCTGTTCTCCTTTGATGAATTGTTTGTACATAAATTCTTCAACAAGATTTTCATGATATATTTTTTAACACTTGTAGATGAATACAAGGAAATAGTGGGAGAAAGTGGGTTCTGTTGGGGGTTATAAGTTGAATTCAAAACTACAGAAAAGTTTGTTTAAAACACAAAATGAATCCGCAAATGTGAATACATTTTTTAAAAATAATTATATTTTCTCTTATTAGAAATGAGCAATTATTCCTGTGATATTGAAAAATTCAATTCCTATCCTGGACCCCCATTTCAGTTTCACACCGATACAGGTGTGATAAATAATTAGAAATTGACAGCAGGAAACACGTGTTTTATACTTCCACAACATCAACTCACAAGTTGAACCATGTTGCAATCTGACGAAATAACACGATACTAAAACTGTCTGTCACCAATGCAACGTGATTCACATGCAATGTTGGATGAAATTGCCCTAGACCCATTATTTCGTTTCTCTGTGTAAGTAAACTACAAATTAGCATTGGGAAAATGCGCAAATGTGTAATGTCCTGTAAAATCAAATGTGTACAGCAATAAACAAGCATCCCAAAAACATTGAAAATCGGTGCACTAAAACACAATGACATTGAAATTAGGTTAATTGGTTTATTGAACTCTACATTACAATTATTTGAAGTTTTGTGGTTCCAGTTTACCTTCTTTTTCACTATACTATCAACCACAGGTCAATACTTCAACCTGAAAAGAATATGTTTCAACTTCCTAGTTTGTTTTCTTTTAGCAGCTATAGTACTCATGTCCTTAAAGCTGGTGATGAATGTCCTTTTATCTTATAATTTTGAATTTTGTTTAGTATCTGTAAATACAAAGACATGAAAGGGTAGTCGGGGCAGTGTTATTCATTTTTTATTTCTTAAAAAAAAAATGAGCAGATAAATTTTACACCGCTACAATTTTGTAAACCGCATCTGTATATTTAATAAAAGAATATATTGATACCGACTTACTGAATGGATAGAGGAGGAGAGATCAGAAAGAAGAATATTTTACTGTCTTATCCTTGAATCAGAGCATCCACAAATATTCATATGGAGTCAATATCAGAAGCAAAAAAGATGCATTGGCTTATTCATGATATTCTTGGTTATGTTATCGAGTGACTGACATTTGCTCAACTTGTATATAGTAATTTTAAAATGAATGTAACATTTTTACAAAAAAATATGTATTTCATAATAGTGAACATCTCTCTGCAAAGGCATACGTAAAGTATGTGATTGGTACATATGAATTTCAAAACATTAGATTTATTTTAAAAATGTATTCTTTTTACGGTAAATATGAGAAAATACTGAAACACCCAGTACTTCTGGGGAAAAACTCTTATCCAAAGTAAGGGAGGATAATGGCTTTTCGATAGATATGACAATTTCCTAACAGATGATGGAAATAATATTGAAATTCAAACTACGGTAATTTATTACTAGCATCCCTTATAGTGTGGGGACGAAAGATCATTGAAGATGAAATAAAGGTAGCATAGTGATTTATCAATGTTTGAGTTATCTGTCTTAGCAAAGGGTCACTCCTCCTTAAACAAGATTGTACATGTAGATCACAACATTTTTTGCGACACCTTATTTTCGCGAGATTTTTTTTTTTAATTTATCAGGGAACCCCCCCCCCCCCCATAAATTTTGGTTACTGTTGTATATCATCTTTGATAATACAAATATACATTCGAAAATTAAATTTTCGCGAACAGATTGTCTCTCGTAATTATGCAAAAATAAAGGACTCGTGAATAAAACGTGAAATTAACATTATAATTAAATCATTATGCTTATAGGCCCTGAAATAATACAACTCAGTCATATCTATGTGTGCTGAGACATCGGAACAGACCCCCTCTTCCCCTCCCCTTCACATTATCAATAGATTGTGTTAGGTATCAAAATAAGATATAGGGATAATCAATAACTAAAGCAACATTAAAAATGCTCAAACCTGGTTGAAATTTGATGAGTAAATTAAAACGTATAACAATATAAACATGTTTGTTAGGGAAGTGAATGCTTACTAGACACATCATTCTGCTACATGTTTTCATCCAAGTCGGTCAAGTACTGTAGTGGTCAAAACTGATGAAGAATTCTTACCTTCAAATGTTCAAATATTGGACTATTCATCACAACCACCATCATGTTCCTTTATGATGATTATTATTGCATGTATTGTTGAGTTATTATTTTGCTAGTTATTATCAGTTTGATTTCTAATAACATATAAAAAATGATTCAGGCCCGTAGAACGTGGAAGGGGGGGGGGGACCGCCCACACATTTTTCTGAGTATAGTATTTTGCTATAGTAAATTTTCCTTAAGATACTTGCCCCCCCCCCTTTTTTTTGATGTTGTAAGGTTGAGCACTGGCAAATTCCAGGATCTGGATTTGGATTTTGCTTGTCAGAAAATTTTGGGAAGTCCCTCCCCCAATTTTGGTCAGTTTAGGGTTTTTTATTTATTTTTTTTATTTATTTTTTTTTTTATTGTTTCCTTGTCAGATTTTTTTGGGAAGTTGCCCCCCCCCCCCCAACCCCCACACCTTTGAATCCGCCTGTGATAATATCAAAATCACAAGCATATACGTATATCCCCGCTAAACAAGTCCTAATGCTCCCTTTAAAAAATTAATTGGACATTCAGAATATGAAGAGATGGAGATGAAGCAAGAAAATGCCGAACTTAAAACAAACACATCCCCCCCCCTTTCAAAGAAAAAAAGAAGAAAGAAATGGGGGAGATGTGAAGTAACAGAATGAGTGAAAGGAAAATACAACAGTTGTAAATGTTAGAGTGTCACAGTTATTATTTTCATCAATGCCATCGTTAAAAGTACTATCATTTGGGTCTAGAACCCTTCACAAGCCCATTGAATGGCTAATATTCAGCTTTCGAGAATATGAGCAAAAAATAATGTGCACTGAGAATATTTCATCAAATATTGTTTTCCCCAAGTTTATGAAAACATGGAAAACAAACTTTTAATCTGCATATTGTAATGTGATGGGATATTTTTTGGATCCGTGCCTGTTCAATATTCCCGAAGTATTCCGAAATGCTGTAAGTCGGGTATACGTGATGGTCTGATTTTCTAAATCGATAAAAATAGGTAGTACAAATAATATAGATATAAAGGTGTAAATCTTTATTTTCAAAATGGAGTTGGAAGATAAAAATACTAAATAACATATTTCTAGCACTTAAAGAATTTTTAGAACTTACATGAGTGCATCACGAAACACATTGCACAACCAGCATGGCGGAAAAAGAAGAAATTTCGGTATGGGCCATTTATTATTTTTGCTGTTTTGTGTACTTTGATAGATTTTGTCACATAAAATGCTTATTAAAATATATGTTAATGTTTATTCATAGAGCGCTGAGACTTTGAAGAGGTTTGCTCAGCGGGTTACGACATCAAGCACGAAAGAACGAATCAGTCTGCTTCAAAACGTGACAGTATGTGTTGGCAAACCCGGTGAGTGATGTCCCTTTACTAGATATGAACCGAAAATATTATTCTATTTGTCATATACAATAAAGTTATTGTTAAGGAACATATATGAAAGTTAAGTCTTTAATATTGAAAACGTGTCAAGAGATAGTGTGCGTTCGAATTCTCTCTGTTCATAATGTCAATGATCAAGATAACTCTTGAGAAAAGTGGACAGGCAAAACGTTCATCCACGTCCACTCTCAAACTTTTATGTTTTAATTCTAGAAAACATGAAAATACTGACCCTGTGGCAGTCTATACTCAAATTTGTCAAAATATACACAATACTAATAGACCTGTTGTTTCCCAATTTAACATTAATACATGCATCTGTCATGAGGAAATCAAAAAGTACTTTTACCATACCATACTAATGCATGGTATTTACTTTGCCAGTACAGCCAGGTGCTGCTATACGACCAAGGACATCCAAAAATAATAATTGGTTAATTCAGTGCTTAAATGTCGCAGAAGATGACTTGTCAGAATATTCTGACACCAATTAAATCACTATGACTTGATCTGACTTTAGTATCTGTTGTTTCTGTGGCCAATCTAAAGCTCAGAAAGTCCCCAAAAAATGGGATGGGCAACACTTTGTCCTCCATCCCAATTCTTCAGAGATATTCATATCTTCCTGGTACCAGTAATCCACCACATATTTTTCAGACTAGTGAGTTACAGGTGTGCAGATTCGATACTCTTGGTCAGTTAGACATGCCATAATGCTAAACGCTATGTATACCTGCTATATGATAGTCATATAAATTGGACTATCATATAAATCAGACTATCATATGATTTTTTTTGGGTCACTCTTTTCAAATTACTCTTTAAGAAATTAAAGTTCTTGTAATATTAATTAGAATACTCAGTATCCTTATAGGGACCTTTCAGTGAATTTAATTTCCAACATAAAGCACATAAAGAATATCTTAAATCATCATAAGTAATAAAGTAAGGTAATGCCTTTTATTTTTTTCAGAGTATGACTTGTTGCTTTAAAATATTACATTTACTTGCTCATGTTATCTGCTTAAAATTTGTACTGTGAAACATTTAAATTTCATTTTATCAACTACTGTTGTTGTAGTTAGTAATCTATCTGTTATTTGTTTTCAACTGAGGACTTTCTTTTGATATGAATATTTTATACATTATTCAATGACTCAATTATTAGATTTCCCAGAAAACGCTGTGAAAGGTGTATTCAAGTTCCTTTCTCTTGCCATTGGTCGTTATGAAGACAACAGGTCCAGGCAGGCTGTAAGAAACCTTGTGCGGGAACTAGCTAAAGTGCATCCTGTTGCCACCCTTAAGAATGTTTCATTGGCTCTTAATTCGGAATCTGAAGCACAGAAAAAAAGAGTTCATGCAAGGTACATGTATTTGATAGCAATAATTTATAAAACCTCACTTTGTAAAATTATGGTCTAGAAGGCAAAATACATATTTATCAATACATACGTGTAAATAGCTTTTGCGTAATTCAGCTTATCTTTAAGCTTGGCGAATTGATAGAGTAACATATTAATAATTGAGGAAAATGTGAATTATAGTCGCAGTTCATCAGGTGATGCTTTGTTTGCCCTAACCTGGACATGTATTGTACTGCAAGAAGTTTGGATGGCAAATGTCAAATGTGACAAAAATGACGTAAAAAGCTTGGTATGTCAGATTTTGTAATTCATCTTGCTTTATTGTCATATCACACAATAAAATTATTAATTGCCATTTATTTTCAAATTTTCAAAATGTTGATGCTGTTTGAAAATTTAAATGTTTCATTAACATGTACTTTGTTCTATACACTATTTCCATCGTACATGCTAAGTTATTATCATTAATTTTTCTATCAAGTTTCATTCAGAAGCATCATAACAAAATGAAAGAGTTTATTGTGCTAAAGTTACATGTACTGTAAACTAACTTTTGTTAGACTGTGAGAAATATCTGCATGTTTTGCCAACCTTCATTTATTCATGAATATTTCTTACCACAAATCATGCATTGAATTTCATATTTATGTATGATGTTTTCACATTTGCATAAATTAGTAGTCACAGATCGATTTCAAACAAAGAATACAAATAAAAGTTGTCGCAAAGAAATACTGGTTTACTATATTTCACATACATACCATACTACACTGTATTATGTGATTTGTAGGTCAGCGTCCAATGTGGACTGATATATGGAGCCCTAGCTGCTGGATGGAAATCAGTTTCAGAATCAACATTCAGGAAAATGTCGAGACTGTTCTCATTGGTAAACATGCTTGTAATGATTTTGAATTTTTAATTTCTTTAGAAAAAATACATGGACACCAGTGCATGCTCAGGAAAATGCTTGTTTTAGCTTCTAATAAAGATACATGTAAAATTCAGAATTTGTGAATTCAAAATGATTCCCTTTCTGAATTTCCTTTTGTTTTTAATAATTGCACACAACCATTGGCTTTCTGCTGAGTGTATTTAGTTTGACAGCTACTATTGTTTGTACAACAACAAATCATATAGACCTTACACATTAAGTTTAGATTACATGTATCTCTTACTTTCATTACTTCGTGCTGAGTGAAAAGAGGAGAATGTTCTTTTGTTTTAGAATAAGGAGAAGACAATTATGTATGCAGAACTTCTTCAAGAGGTAGAGCCATCAATGTTCAACTTAAGTGCTGTTTCCATGTTACTGAAACATCTAGCCAAAACCAAAGACCAAGATTTACTTTCAAAATTAAAGGTAAAGTTATATTTATTATTGATGTTTATGTAATAGGTTTATCACTTCAGAGAAATAAAGATTCAAAATAAAGATTACATGTTTATAATATTTGATGTGTATACTTGTATGTATAAATATAATAGGTATATCCACATATTTGATATGTACATGTATAAGATATATTGTTTTGATATACATTAAATATTGATATTTCAAGATGTTTTATTATAAGAAATGTATATTCATATAATTTTCAGGGTCCTTTTGTGGAGATGTATGTAAAACAGATTCTTGGTACTCGTAATAAACCATCCAAGATGTTATTGGTAAAGTTTTTTATTATGAAGATTTTTACAGCTTATTAGGAATAGCTGATCGAAATTGCATATTAGAGTAAGAATGTGGCAAAGAAATTTTGCCAAATTCAGTTAACTTGAGATTAATTTTTACTTGACATACGTTACAATAGATTCCTAAATATACGTGAGAAATTAATTATCAAATAATTTTATGAGAAGGACGAATCAAGGAATAAAATTCCTCGCTTTTATTGTTATGGTGCTTGAAATCCATGTGATATCTCTTGATCAACTGTCCACTCACAAATTATTGTTCTTGCGATTTGACATCTAAGGGCCATTTCAAGACTTGTTACTTGTTAGTGATGGAACAATTGTGGCCGACAATCGATTGTCGATCGTTAGGAGCTCTTCGATGCAACTAATCAATTAAGAAATAAATGTCGCCGTCATCGCTGACAAAAAATAAAATTGTCATACTTTAATTTTATTACCAAATCCAAGTGCAAAGAGTTTAAAAGTAGTGAAGAATGTTTAAAATATCGAAGGAATCCATGCAATGTTGATATTTTTACCGCCATGATTGAATGCAGGGTCAGACTAATAACAGAAAATGGACAATATTAGAAGGTTTTACTATACACAGGAAAACATTTTTAATACAGACAATCTGTAAACGTAATTATTATCAGGAATACAAGTCCAGTTTCTGGATAACTACTTTTAAAACTTGTAATTCCATGAAATAAATGTATGTAATGAAATATCAGTAATATACCCATTCAATATATTTAATGAGATATTTGTTAAAAATAAATTCCCATTCTAACTCAATATAGAACTTTTTTTAAAGTAAAGAAATATTATTTTCCATTTATTTTTGAATATTATATGTAATTGAATGATTTTTTTTTTGTAAAGGTCTGTCTGAAATGTGAATAAGTTTAACTTTTTTATATTTATTTCATTTAAATTAAAAATTTTGATTATAATCAATTATAAATCGATTATACCCAGCCGATTATTACCGATAATCGATTTTAATTTTTTTCCAATTTTCCATCACTAGTACTTGTGTAGAATAAGGTAGCTACAGTATGTTGAAGATTATTATCCAGATTTGTTTTTATAAAGTAGAAATACATGTGTATTAATGAATAAATTTGTTACAGGAGAGTTGTAATGAGCTGCTGCGACACCTGAATCATGCAGAATTCAAAGAAAATGTACTTCCAGCATTACAGAAAGCCATGTTAAGAAGTCCAGAAATCATTTTGGAGGGTAAATTCCTGTGTTCATTTTATCACTGAATAATTTTAATTGACAATTGTGTATGCACAGTACATATTGGTCTGATTTGATTTATGCAATTTCAGCTGTTGCAAGTCTCTTGCTTGGGGTGACCATTGATCTCGGACAGTATGTTCAAGACTTGTCTAAGCCTCTTGGAAGTAAGTGAACATTTATCTTTTAGAGGATAAGTTCTTTGGAGGAGTAGCATCAACATTAAAGAAAGTACATGTATAATACTCCTGCAATTGAAATATTGGGGGCAGGTAAAGGAATCCCCAGTTTTTGTCTGTTTGTCTGTGTACATGTAATTGTGTCCAGCCCATTAAAATGATACTTGAAACTGGACTATTGAACAAACTTATTGTAAATGTTTAGAAAATTACACAATGCTGATATTGTAGAGAAGCACATATTGTGAGAAAAGATCATGATCACCATGGTTTCCTATGACCTGATTGACCTAAGGGCTATTCCAGGAAAAAATGTATGGGGGGGTTGGAAGGCACTTTTATTTTTACCCCACCGCCCATACATTTTTAATTACCTTCTCCCCCACCCCCCATGAAATTAATAATGCTTTTGATACAACCACCCATCTATTTTTTTTTAAAAATTGTCTTATAGTCAAATATATATAAAATAAAATTTTATGTACTCTTTTCATATACTGTAAATTATCTGACTTTGGATGAGTTGTTGGCTTTTGGCCTCTATCCGAAGCAGGTTCCTGCTACAGCTTAATAAAATGTGCTCCTTTAGGTCTATGATGCACAACACTAAAAGCCTTAATTATAGTAATTTGTATATCTGTTTCTAGATGATGCATGACATTGTAATCTGTAAAGTTCAAGTAGCGGTAAAACTAATATACTAGACATGACATTCCTACAATTAATCAAAATATATATTGTGAATTATAACATATCATTGGTAGTTTTTCTTTCACCTTGTTCATGACAATTAACAAAATGATTCCGATTTCTTTTCTTTTTTTTTGTGGGGGGGGGGGGGTTGAAGGGATGAACTCATTACATTTGACACTTACAGGTTAAGGACTAGTATGTAACTAACATAATACTTTGTTTTAACACATATCTCATCTTCCTTTTACACTGCAGTTGGTGTACAGTAAACTATTTGACTTGCAAACTCCGTAGCCATGCTCTAAAATGTTCATTATCAGATACGGTTTTTTTTTCTACTTTCGGTTTAGAATAAAACGATCTTTCTGATTGTTTCAAATATCATTTAATTTACCAATTTAATCATGTTTGATTAAACTGGCGAAAATAAACTGAAGCATGGAGTCCAAAGCACAAGGAATCCGTATCCTAATCCTCCACTGTCAGTGCAGTCATACTGTCACATGCTTTATATTTATCTGCCTTTGTTTCCGGTTTGTTCGCTACTACTTTCACTTTCAATGTAAACACACTTTTTTACCACTGTTTAGGGCGAGTGTTTGATTAAAAAAAAATAATCGGTATTTACTGATTTATAAATACAAATGAAAAGGACAGAAGTACTTAACAGTTGATTATTTGTGAGAATAAATACAACCACCCATCGAAATATACATCGGATGAGGACAACCACCCATGCAAATTTAATTGCTATAGCCCCCACTACCAATAAAAAAAAATATATGAAGTGCCGTCCAACCCTCCCATACATTTTTTCCTGGAATAGCCCAAGGTCATTTCATCAGGTTTTAAGGTCATTTGTAAAAAAGATGTTTAATTGTAAACAGTAATTAAGTTTATTTTAACACAAAGATTTGTGTCATATAGGTCAATTTTACAAGTTCAAAATTGCTAGCATTGTGAAGTTTGATACAAAAAAAAATGTCAGCTTATAACATGATGCATAAATATTGCAATGTTGAAAATTTTCACAAGGAAACCATTGTCAATGGAGGTGCAGTCAAGTTTGACAATGGTTTTCAAAAGGGTGAAATTATGTTGACTGTTACTTTGTTCAGTGCAAGCTGAAAAAAGTTGTTGCATCATTTCATCATTCAGAGAGAAACAGTATTTATTATGATATGTTTCTTGATGAATCAGATTCAACTAATTCACATGAAAGTCTGATATATTGAAATATTGATTGAAATATAATTTATAACCTGTGAAAGTGTGATGAACCTGATCCAGGGTTATTTACATATGGTGAAGTCACTGGTACAGGGTTTGGGGTATGATTTTATGTGTTTGTTCTCAGTATCTGCATTGAATGGTTTCTAAATCAATGGTATATTTATTTCACTAGTACAACTTTGTTCCAAAGAAGATGTTTCTCGCCAGGAGGCAACTGTAGCATTTACCAATCTTGCTAAACAGTGTAGTGACTCGGGAGCTGTGGAAAAACTGGTCTCCCATTTGTTTGGAGTCCTGAATGGTTAGTACAATGGTTATATACATTATCACAATGTTATGAAGGTTAAATATGCCATTTTGATGCTTGAAGTTGATAAGAATAATGACTCTAGAAGTTACTGGAATTCAACAAAATACATGTACTAATACAGTAAAACACGCTTACAGCGAACATGCTTATAATGACTTTATGCTTATAGCAAAGTGATTTTCATTCCCCATAGTTTTAAAAAGTATTGTGAACATAACGAATGTAATGAATAACGTTTATAATGAAGCATAATTGTCCATCCCTGGCAATTAGCTCTAAGTGTGTTCAACTGTACCTATAAAAGTTATGGGACTTACTGGTATTCATATTTTACATGTATATGCCTGAATTAACATACATATACAAGGGCTGTTTGGAAATTCTTTAGACATTATGTATATTATTCTTTCTAATGAACGTTTTTTGGTGAAAATTTGCATATACATTTGACAAACACTAACAATTAATAAAAGCAAGAAATATTTTAAAAACATTTATTTCTTCTTTTCAATGGTATATTTATGTGTCAATGGTAGGGGTAGCTGGCGCAGTCACGAAATCAGATATTGAATATATGTAACACCCATCGTTAAAACTTCAGTGGACCCAAAGTAAGAGCGAAAATAATTCCAATTATGTATATAATTTTTCAATTTAATTTTGATATCATTTTGTGCAAGTTTGTTAGAATTTCGATCAGAAATACGGAGATCATTAAAAAATTTAAGCATGGTATAGCAATCTGATAACGACGAGAAAACGTATTTTGACATCAAGGCGGAGCAGCAAGCATACCTAAGATTTTGTTTAGCGATATTGAGAACTCTTGTCCAGACTAAATGACCTGCTAAAACAATAACAATGCAATAAAACATGTCTAAGGGTTTATTTTTCATTGGTATATTTTTTCTTACAAATAATTCAACCAGAGTAAAAACGACCATCAATTATTACGGACTAAATAACTTTGACTCGCGTTGCATAACTCGGTACTGCATGATACTTAGTCAACCTGTATATGACATTTCGTGTATATTTTACACTGGGGTAGCAACAGCACACGTTTTATTTTAATTATTTTAAAGAATCATTTAAGAGACAGTTTGAATTTTGGAATGCTATATGTAATGACAGAGAAAGTAGATTGAATGCTTCCCGATCATTTCACAATGAGAAAATATCAGCTGACGTGACGTGACATTAAAATGACGTAGCGATGCTGCTCCAGGTCAATAGACATATGCTTGTTTATAATTTCACCAGAACTTATTTAGTTATCCTATAAATTAGAAATGATGCACAATAGTTTTATTTGTTCTTTATAAAATGTTGACGAATTTTTATGAATTTATCTCTGTCCTTTGTGGAGTAAAAGTAATTGTCTCAATAATTTTCTAACAGCCCTCGTACATTTAGATGTATATTTAAATGGTTTTCCTTAAGTTGAATCCCTTTAACATTTACAAGTATATGCTTGGCCTGATACAGGTTAAGTGCTTATAGGTTTTACATGATATCCTTTATTGGTAAGATTATAATCTGTGTTTTGCAGGTTCTGAGGGGAAACTGACTATTGCTGACCAGAGAATCAGTGTCCTTCAGGCGATAGGAAGTGTCAGTCAGAATTCTGTCAGCGGCGCAAACACACTGGAAAGTCTAAGTACCACAGTGGCTGAGAAGTTCCTGCCCCTACTACAGAGTGAGAGTAAGGGAGACAACTCATAGCATCTGTATGATTGAATAGTATTTTCTACACTGAACAGATGTAAATTATACAAAAGTTATTATACATCAATAATTCATTGAATATTTTTTTTTGATTTTCAGTTCATGAAGCCACTCTTGTCACTGCATTGAACATGATGTCACTTTGGTGTGAGAAATTCTACATAAATGTTCCAGACAAAGTGATAGAGTGGTTCAAGGTGATGTAATGTTTTTTAAATAGATGTGCATATTTGCATTGTAAAGGAACAGAAAAAAGAGTATCTTATGTATATTGATAGTCTGACTAATTGCTATTGCGACTAAATTTACAGAAAGGAATAACTTTAAAAACGTCTACATCAGCTGTCAGGAATGCTTATCTTCAGTGTATGAATGCCTCCTTTCATGGTAGGTACACTGTGAGTTTTGATCTATTCATGTTTTTTGCCACTTTTCAGTACAGCTCAACACACGTAAAATGATTTTGAATTCTAAATATTTTAGGTGATACCTTGACACAGACCTCCAAAGTACTGGACATTCTGACACAAACTATCAATAAAGCAGTCAATCAGTCTAGCCAATCACAGCTGGTGACAGAAGCTCTCACTGCTTGTTGTTTGTTAGCTAAATTTTCAGTGGTGGATGATATCCAATCAGGTTGGTAAAAGGAGCTTGAAGTTCAACTGATCATAAACATTCATATGTAAGACCTATGTTTGCCTTGAGTTCTTTAGCAAAATATTGATAACCTACCCCTGCAGTTTTTGTCTAAATCAAATAAAAAAGAGAACATAAGTGTACCACCTTCAATTAAATGAGTATGTACATGTATTGATTCATAGATACATGTAGTGACCTGACAGGTAGTAGCAAAGAGTAAGGTTCACTTAGGGCCTTATTTGAAAAACTGTAAACATATTTCAGTATTTTGAATAAAGAACAACTTCTGATCCAGAAGTTACAAAAATATACTGGCAGTACTGTTACTAAAGTTTGTTATTGACATTTTATATTTTGGATTGAGGGATGTGCTCATTTTCAAATTCCTTGTTGTATGTACTCAAACTTTAAAAAGAAAAGAAAAGAAACTGTAATTTTATTATGCCCATTTTCCAATACTTGGTCTTACCGAAGGAACTTTTTTATGGATAATGAAAGTATGAAGTCTATGTTTAATATTAATGCATAAAGTGAACCTTTCTCTTTAAAGTTAATTTTTTTGTACATTTTTTTTTTTTGGCTGTAGTCACATTTATAAAAACTTTTGAATATTATTGATTCTTCATTTAGGGTGGTGGAATGTTGAAGATTGAAATCTATTAACACTGTTTACATTAGTCACAATATTAGAAGATGACTATCCTCACAACATCAGGGGGTCCTGAATCCACTCATGGCCATGGGACCCCCGACAAACTTCTTGTATTTTTTAGGTCAGACTGCAGTGATGTTCTTTTTGGGAAATTACAAATCCTGATTTTTTTTTCTCTCGACCAATTACATTAAGCTTTTCAATGACAAGCAACTTGTAACACATGCATTGAGGTGTTAATTGCTTCCCTTCAATTTACATTTTATGTCAATTCATGAAAGCCCCAGAAGTTTGTCTGGGGTACCACAGCCATGAGGACCCGAAGTTTTGAAGATGAAGGATGACTTGATCTGTCACAATTAAGGAACTCCCCCCCCCAAAAAAAAATAATAATAATAATAAATTTAAAAAAAACACATGCTTGCATTATCAGACATTTCTTTATGGAGTAGAAATTAGGTTTAGTCAATTTAACACCCCAAAACATGGCCATCCAGCAAGGCACACCAGTTTGTTTTTTTCAAAGTCATTATATAATAGATATTCTGGAACTAAATTAAAATGTTGCTACAAAACACTGAAATCACTATAAAATCAAGGGTTAAAATTACAGTCACCAGGGCTAGACAAATAGCATTGCCCGACGCCCGGGACAACCAATTTTGTTTGGCGGGCAAGTTATTTGATAAGTGGTACCTGCCCGCGGACAAGTGCTTCTCCAGTTAACAAAAAATCAAATGTTGTTTGTTTTATCACTGTTGAAATGTAATGAATCACAGTAGAGCACCTGTTTTTCGGTCGGAACTCCTCTAGAATTTACCCATTTATGTGTAGTTAAAATACACACAGGACGTAAAACATAGCAGCTATCGATTCCATGTCAAAAAAGTTGAAGAGGATTTTGGGATGTTAAAGTAATACAGAGAAAAGTTTAAATTATGCGCACTGCACAAGCTAAGAAATCTCCCTGGAACAAGACTTACCCCTAAATTTTTCCGTGCAAAAAATTAAGCTATTTTATTTCTAGTTTCGTCCCCATGTAGTGTACGTATCAGTTGAGAAATAATTTAATGTTTAACGATAATGCTTTAATTTTATGTTAATTAAGAAAAAAGTGGGACAAGCATATTTTTTGGTAGGACAAGTAATTTTACGATGGTAACCTGTCCGAGGGCAAGTACTGAAAAATTCTATTCGTCTACCCCTGAGTCACAATTTTTTATTAAATGTTTTTGTCATATCTTTTTCACCTTAGTGATTCATTTATTTTAGGAAGACATGAATTACATGTACTTCAAATATCATACACGTTTCTTGTCTGTCATTAATTAATTAAAGAGAACTCTTTTGCTCCATAGTTATAGAAATGAGCATTATTCAATTGCAGAATCCAAGATGGGACCATTTTGGTCCATCACCATGGAAAACAACAAGCAGTATTTCCTACAGGAAAAGTTTTTGTCTTCAGTTAGTGATGATGGTATGTTTCCTCTTAAAGAGTGTTCTTGAATTGTTATTGGCATCATGGAATAACTTTTAATTTGGCCTAAGCATTGACATTTTGAAGAAAGAAACTTTTGATGTCTGTTTTGAGAGCATGTTTGTACAACAAAACTGAGCTCATGTTTTTTTGTATTTTTTGGAAAAAATCATGTATTCATTCATTTCATTCATTTCTTTTCAGTCTTGAACAATGTTGTTTTCCTAGCAGAAAAAATGATTTTGGAATATCCCCAAAAAATGACTGAAAAAATATCAAAGTAAGTTATGTAGTTTAAAGACATTAAAATAGCCAGAGAAAAATGAAATACTTTGTATATCCAGATTTTAATTGTGTTATTTAGCAGTAAAACACAATGGCAGTATTACAAGCTAAGCCTTGACATGGCAGTTTTTGCTTCGTTTGTAGACCATATTACAAAGCCTTAGTTTTCTGTGTTACACACAAATCTCGAGCTGTGAGGAAACAAGCAATAGAAGTAGTGAAGCGATTAGTTTCCTTACTTGGTGGAACAGCCATCTGTCTAAGTCTTGTGAAAGAATACGAAGAAATGCTGGAATTGCAGAAGGTAAGTTTCATTTGTTTCTTGAAAAATTTCCGAGTAATTTTTTATTGAGTATGTTTTGTGGTAATGTGGAAAATGCACTTGTCAGAATTTCAAGTCATAGCACAAGTCTCCAGTGAAAAGCTTTAATTATTCAAAAGTCTTTGAGATGATTAGATATGCATTCTAAAAGTACTGAAGTAGGATTCCACAGAAAAGTTCCTTTACAGTTAATTGACCCAGAAACACTGGACAGTGAAAAAGAAAATTCCCCAGAGGTCACCAAGTACATTACTCCAGTCGTCTTAGTGAGAGGTCTCATAGCTGTAACCTCTGTAGACAAGGCTGACCCCAAGGACGCAGAGACCATTGCCATGGCAACTGTCAAATCAGCTCATCACCCCTGTATAGGTATGTCATTATATGTTTTCATAAAGATGAATACAATAGAATTGAGATTTTTCAATAAAAAAAAAAAAAACTTCTAAAAAAATACAGTCAGACCTTGTTATCTTGAACTTGACAGGACCAAGATAAAATGAGATATCCAAGGGTTCAAGATAATGATGTTAAAAAAGATAAAGAAAAGGGAGTTGGGACTGCCAAATCACTTTGACATACCCTAGATATTTGAGATATCAGTGTTCAGGATAACAAAGTACAACTGTATCAGCAGAAATTCAACTGATTGACTACAATGTTGTATTTTCTTGTTTTCAGTGTTTTATAATGCTTCAACCTGGACAGATATTCTGTATCAGTTAAAACTTGATGCTAGACAATTTTTAATGAAGAATGTAGACAAATGTTTAGGATTTGTGGAAACAGGCACAGCATTAGATGAGGTAAATAGATGTATATTCATTTAGTAGTATTGTGACATTGACATAAATTAATGTCCCTGAAGAAAATTCAAGAGAAGCATTAAAATAATCCTGCTTCATGTTTCAGTGCACACAGAATGCCCTGTCAACATTTGTGAGGATAGCACCTGACCTGGTCCTGCCCAAGGTGATAGCCTACAGTACAGAGTTACTTGGTAAGAGTGAACTGTTACTGGTGACACAGGCAGAGTATGGAACCTTCTGTTGTCCTGAGGGAGAACTGTATGACAAATCTCTACTGCAGCAGTAAGTCTGAGTAGTCATAGAATTACATGTATGATAAAGATTTTTATATTAATAAATTTAAGGGATAGGTAAAAAAAGGCCCCTGAATCAAGATGTGGGTTCCTTAAGTAATCACTAAGTCAATCCTTCTGCCTCTTTGCCTATCAAAGTTTTTATTTGACAGAATGTACTTCTAACCTACAGACTTTATATTATCTACTGTAAATCACTTATTTGTGAAAACTTTATTTTCATGTAATTACATATGATGGTATGCTCCCCAAAATTTCATTCTTGCGTATATATTTATTAGTATGGACTATATACACAACAATAACCAGAATTCGTAAAAAATTTTGCCTCACTTATACATGTATATACCAAATATCTTATTCCGCAAAAATTTGGTGATCTACAGTCTATAGGGTGAAAATGATTAGAAGAACATACAGTACCATCAAGTTTTTGTAGATGACACAAAGGTCAAGAGTCAAAATAGTCACCATTATCATAACACATCATTATGATGCATTATCTTGTGTATTTTTTATTTTACAGACTTCATTCTCACTGCTTATCTAGGCGAAAAATGTTTACAAAAGACACCTGCAGTTTTGGGGGTCACTTGGTCAAAGGTCATGGTCAGGGGTCAAGATTATTAACATTACGATTGTGATGCACTTGGACATTTTATAGAATACAGACTTCTTAATGTAGTGTTTAAGTGGGTAATCATAAGAGAAAAAGATCTAAAGAGCTTAGAATCAATTGGTCAAGTATCTTTCACTGACCATTGGGATCTTTTTACGTCGATATTTTATTTTGAAATAAAATCTTGAAGAAGTCTTATAAGTTAAAGTCAAGGCCAATGGTTCAAGACTTTTTATATGGTTATTACTTATTTAAGTGATGCATCACAGTAAATGTGCTATATTTTAAACTAGAAAGAAAATTTTCACTGAATAGGTAAAGAATGGTAAGAAGAATACTCCTAAACATTTTGGAGTCATTCATTCCAAAGTCAAGGTCAGAATCATTTCAACATGGTACTGAATTTCTGTATATTTCATCATGCAGACTTTTTATTTACTACAGAGTTAAAAGGGATCCCTATAGATTCTGAGGCCACTTGCTCAAAGGTCAAGGTCTTGTTTATGCGGAAGCATACTACTGAGTCCTAAATGACTTTATCGTTTTCTGGTTAATAAAAGATACATTTAATGAATGATTTTAGGTTTGAAAATTCAGGAGATGGGAAGGGAGCCAACATAAAAAGAGAGAACAAATTATACTCATATGAAGAACAAATGGCTGAAATAGAGCTCAAGAAGGTCAGGAAAATTCAGTTACCTTGAAATAATTTTCTTTAAAAAATAATCCAAAGATTTCAAGAAGTAAGCATTTTAGAAATGTTTTTGTAGGAGTTGGAAAAGAAGAAAGGGAAAAAAGTCAAGGAACCCGTAAAGCTAACTAAGAAACAAGAGGAGATGCTGCAGGCCCAGAAAGACAAGGAAACAGAGATCAGAAAGAGGCTAGCTAAGGTGGGGCTTCTTACGGGGTTTGTGTTGTTCTTAGTGCATATTTGAGACATGCATGTATACAGATATCATGATGTCAGATGTCTCTGTCTAGATGGCTTATAGCATTGTGTCTTTTTTTTTTTTTTTTTTTTTTTTTTTTACAAATGGTCAGAAGGATTCTAGCTCACCTGAGCCAAAGGCTCAAGTGAGCTTTTCTGATCAAAGAGTGTCTGGCATCTGTTAGTCAGGTTTTCAGTCATCTGTAAACTTTTCACCTTTTCACTTCTTCTCCAGAACAACTGGGCCAATTCCAACCAAACTTGCCACTAAGCATCCTTGGGTGAAGGGGATGCAAGTTTATTCAAAAGAAGGTCCATGTCCTTTTTTAAGGGGAAATAATGAAGAAATAGTGAAAATTTGAAAAGCTCATTTAAAAATCTCCTCCAAAACCACTGGACCCGAAAAGGTGAAACTTACTTGAAATCGATAGGGTGGGGCCACACTTTGGGATAAAGTTTTACATTGAAATATATTGGGAAACTGTTTTAAAATTTTCTCAATAACAGCAGGGGCATGATGAGTGATATTAATATGCAAACATCAGCAAGTACATGTAGTACACATTCAAGTTTATTTAAATCATGGCCCCAGGGATACAGTGGGGCACCAATAGAGGATCAAAGGCTTACAAGGGAATAAATAGGATTTTTTTTTTTTTTTTGAAAAGTCTTCTTCTCAAAAACAGCAGGGCTATGATTAGTGATATTACCTGTTATATGCAAAGTGTCTTTGGAAAGTGTAGACTCAGATTTGTTCAAATGATTATTCCAGGGATAGGGTGGGCAACATGAGGGGATCAGATTTTTATTTGTGTTTGCAATGGAAATAAAAAGAAAATCTTAAATTTTTAGAGTATCAAGGCCACACTAAATTACATTGTTATGTAGTTATTATAAGAATACAATTTTTTTTTTTTCAAATTATGGACAAAGCAGTTATGGTAGGTGAAAATCGAGTAAAAAATTATATACAATGCATGTATTAATTAATAAAATCTTTTCAAATTCTCTTCTCAAGAAAAGTTTGCAGCAAGGCCATTTACGTCATATTGATAATAAAGCATCCCCACACTGTGGATTCAAGTTCAGTTGAATTATAAACACTTGGGGCTAAGTTGGGGCCCAAATATGGGGTCTACATTTTTCATTGGAATGAAAAAAGGATTTTTTTTAAAATAAATTCTCCAGTCCACTAGGACTAAGATGACTCATGTAAGCAGTGAGGCCCATTGGCCTCTTGTTTTTGTTTTTTGTTCTTCTTTTTTTTTTTTAAGTTACGACTCTGGGGTTAGGGTTGGGCTGAAATCAGGGAACCAAATTTTACACAATGCATGTATACAGGGAAAAAATTTCTTCAAAACAGCAGGGCAGTGTTGATCATATTGATATTGAAGAATCCCAATGTTGTGTAGATTAAGCTTTAATTAAATCATAGCTTTCTTATTGCTAGATTTTGGTCCAAAAAATTGAAATTTTAAGGAACCAAACCAGCTTTGTCATTCATTTTATGAAAAGGGAAATACTTGACTTAGATTAAAACTATGAAATATCATATGTCAAACTCCATAATTAATTTGTCAAACTAATGCATGCAAAGGATATTAAACATGCATGAAGACAAACGTGCATACAACTACTTTCTGTATATTTTCCTTAGAACATTATAAGGATTTTTTAAAAAAATTCTTTATTATTCTTTACAAACATGCTCATGATATTAATTTAGAAATGAAGACGGCTGGATATATGTGTAGATGTTGTATTACAGATGAATGAATCCTTGTGCTGTGGCTGTCAGATCGTTCAGGCCTGTCTCCGTGGTAACAGTCAAGCTACCTGTGATTATATGAAGGCACTCTGTGGGTGTCTTGTACCACTACTGAAGTCTCCCCTTGGAGCCCCAGAAGCCAGCAAAGTGTACCTAAGCTTAGGTCAAGCAGTGTTTGAGGAAAGAATGCTGGGTTGGTATCGAATATATATTTTGGTACAATAGAGTGTGATGAATGAAGAGAGTAGATAAAGAAAATTACTAAACTGATGCATGTATCTTGTATTATGAAAAGTAAAAGACATTTTTCTTACAGAGCAGTATTTTTAATTGTCAGGATTCAAGGGCAAATAAGTTTCTTGTCAGCAGTTAAACCTTCTGTTTGTATTATAGGCGTGAAAGTCAGCAATACTGGTCTCCGGCTTTTAGAACCTGCTTGTCCCATGAGTGAAGAATGGACCCGGGTTTCAGTCAGAGAACAAGCCACACACATTGTACAGGTTCTGTGTGAGAGATCAGTGCCTGATGCATCTGATCCAGACAGAGAGACTGAATTGTTTGAAGCCTCCACTTTTGTGTTTATTTATTACCTTCTGGCTGTCATTTTACGTAATGGGGGAGAAATAGTGGGCAGTGATGAATTAACAATGTGTCAGAGCCTGAAGATGATTATTGCCCATGCTCAGATGAGAAAATCCAAGTCTGGAAATTTTGTTAGTGTTTGTTGTTAAAATACTTGTTCTTTAAAGTGTATATGAATGGTTTTAAGTTTTCTATCCTGATAATAATGAGCCACCATATGATATATACATGTAGATGAATATTATACCTAACTTAGCATGAAAAGAAAAGTCTTGAATACTAATGAAAATAAACAATGTAGATATTTGATTTTATTTTTTTTAAAAAAAACATGCATGTATCATACATAATTATAATTTATAGCAAATTTGTGTATAATTGCATATCTTATTTTCCAAGTTAAAAGTTGACAGATGATTCTAACAACTCTACAATACCATGTATTTGTCCATTTCATCTATACAAGTACTCTTCACTTTTCAGTCCAACCCTGAATTACTTCCTCACCATGATATCCTGAGAACCCTACTCCAAGTGATTGGAACAACCTCTTCCTCTAGGATTCAACAATTGGCCAGTACTGCCTTGGTGGAGGTGGCAGATTCCATTTCAGGAAAAGAGGGGTGTGCAAAAGCTGATGAGAAAGACATTGTGGTTCTGTTAGAAGCTCTGAAGTTACCATCTGCTACATCAAGAGATTCTGCTTTACAGGTGAAATCTTGTTGAATTCTGTCATATGTTTAAGATCATTAATCAGGTAATTGTATTATCAAAGTTAGTTGGTAAAGGTATATGTCATTTATTTGTCATGGATAGAGTGATACACACTACTGAAAAAAACTTTTTAATTTCCCGATGACAGTTCTTGTAGCAAACCTAGGCCTCTGATTATATATTCTTTTTTTTTTTTTTTTGAAACACTGATGGATGAATCTCAGAACATTTATAAGTTGAAGATAAAATTTATAATTTGCATATTTTGAACATTGATTTTATTTGCAATTATCTGGCCATCACAGGGACTGATAAGGCTGTCAGATGTCCTGCCGAATATTGATGATGACCTTGACCTTGGGCTACAAATAGCTCAGAGGGTGTGGGTTGTTAGTTATGATGATGATGACAACATTAAACAACTAGCTGAAATGTAAGTCTCACATTGAACTGAAGTTAAATCACCTCTTGTTGATGTTTCTAAAATGTAATCAGAATGAATACTTTGGAATCATTTTAATTTGCGGGGTCATTATTCATGGGCAATCAAAATTTTACTGATTGGTGATGACATACTTGTGATTTTGTGGGTAACTCATTTATAGAGAAGATTTATTGAAAGGATACATTTGCAAACTTATTGTTTTTGGGGATGAAAACTTGTGGGTGAGGGTGACCCATGGAATCTATGAACAAGAAACAAATATGATTCACAGTAATAAATAAACTCTGCACTTTAGTCTTGTTTGTATATATATCTTATAATTTGTAATGGTTCCTCATAGCTTACGGGAGAGACTCCAGCTTGATGAACCATATGAAGATCTGTGTCTTCCTTTGATTGATGACATCATACACCCAGAAGAAATTGTGAGGAAGGCTGCAGCCAAGGCCCTGGAAAAAACAATTAGTTGTCACCCTGAACTGATCACCACCACCATCCAACAACTCAAGGAAAAATACCAGGAGAAGCTCTATGTAAAGTTATTTGTTCACTTTATTTAACTGTTTTATTAAAAAGACAAGAATTTTAAAAAAATGTCAAGCAAACAGGTGATCTCTGTAGTTTAACATTATGCACTGTCTTTTATAGATTGTACATGTAAAGATGTTAGACTTGACTTCCTTCTTTATAGAATCTATGTTTTTCTATGTGTAACTTAATTCTGTTGTTACAAGTAGCAAGAGTTTAAAAAAAGTTTTCATCTCTGCATTCAGATGCCTCCCCCAGTTCTGGACTCATTTGGACGACAGATAGGGGAACCTCCATTGGATGAATGGGAGGGCCGCAGTGGGGTAGCCCTGGCATTAGAGAAGATTTCTCCACTTCTTCCTACAGACCAGATACAGGATCTATTCTCCTTTTATGTACCTCAAGCCCTGGGTGATAGGTCACCTGAGGTCAGGACGCATATGAGAGATGCTGCGTTAGCAACTGTTACTGCCCATGGAAAGGTGAGACTGAAGAATAAAGAGTGATTCTAAAAGAGTGATTCTAAGCTATAATACATTTAAATGTGGGCTGATGTTATTTAAACACATGTGCTGAGGCTATTGAAATTCTTGAGAAATAATACAGTATTGTATATTGTAAACAGGGATATTTACAACTGTTGTTAATTGTGTAAATATTTTTAAGAAAAACCATAGGTGTGTGGGTTATTTCTGCAATACCAGCATAATAAACTGTTAATGCTGAATAGAAAATAATTTCATAAAAGCATTAATCTATGAGGGAATATTTACATGAAAGTTAGTTTTTCCTTGCATTCATAGTGTAAATTAGCTCCAATGCTAAATACAATGTATTTCCACGTTTACAGCACTGAGTCATTTGACAATTTGCATTTTGTAGGAGAATGTAAACATCCTTCTGCCTGTGTTTGAGGACTGTTTGAGTAATGCGCCAGACACCGCCAGCTTTGATGCTGTACGACAAAGTATTGTCATCCTAATGGGATCTCTGGCCAAACATTTAGATAAAGACAATCCCAAAATTAAACCCATTGTGGCTCAGTTGATTGGAGCATTGTCCACTCCCTCTCAGGAGGTACCATATCTAACATTTATACATGCATATAATATGCTTATGTTAGTTGAAGATAAAAATGATACATGTGCATATGCAAGCCAGGTTTTTTTGTGATGAGTTAAGGTTCAGTGTTAGCTGGTTTTCAACATTATTTCTTATCTTTAATGTGTAGGTTCAAGAAGCTGTAGCTAACTGCTTACCTCCCTTGGTGCCAGGGATCAAGCAGAATGCCCCTGAATTAGTACAGAAGCTCCTCCATCTCCTCTTGGAGTCTGACAACTATGGAGAAAGGAGGGGTGCAGCCTATGGCCTGGCTGGCTTAGTGAGGGGCCTGGGAATCACCGCACTCAAACAGCTGGAGATCATGTCTACCCTGGAGGAGGCAGTCAAAGACAAGAAAAACCCACGCAGGAAAGAAGGTGATTTATGTAGGGATCTTACAATATTAACACAATATAAACAGTGAGAGATTTAAACACGGCAGTATTTCACAAGAGATCATGGTAGTTCAATAGCACAGAGATATTTCACCATTGCTTATGTTGACACTTAGAGGGGTACAATGTAATATGGAAATATAGGGGGACCTTGAAAAAATGCATATTTGGCGAGGTGCAAGTTGAGCCCAATATGCATTTTTTTAAGGACCCAATATATTCATGTGAAGCTTAAGAAATGAAGGAAAACGGCTCAACACCCACTCCCCCTATTGATCCGCTCCTGCTTAGTGTCTACATAACAAATTTATCCTGTCATTGATTTTCAACAAAGTTCATTTCTTCTAAGTGAAAAAATAAAATCATACAATAGTCCTTGTTTACATTGTATTATTGTCTGATGCTCATGTGACATCAGTTGTAAGGGTCCTTGCGATGTTAAGTGAAAACGGTATATGGAATTGATATCTGGTTAGTAGGTCATGTGGAGGGGAGATATGGATTTGATATCTGGTCAGTAAGTCATCTAGGGGAGGAATATGTAAACAATATCCTGTCAGTAGGCAGCATGATATGTTTTTATACAGTACTCTTTTCAACCAATGAAATTTTAGGATTTTTATCAGAGGCAAGATATTATGAAGAATGGTACATGAAAGCACTCTAAGATACACATAGACTCAAAATATTCTTGTATCATTTATCTACAGTATAATTTGCAATTTTTCTGTCCATTCTGTATATCTCATTATGTGTTCCTGTGATTGTAACAGGTGCTCTGTTTGCCTATGAGATGCTTTGTACGATGCTGGGTAAGCTGTTTGAGCCCTATGTTGTCCACATTCTCCCACATTTACTTCTATGTTTTGGAGACAACAGTCCTTATGTTAGACAGGTTGGTAAAATTTTAAAAATGTTTGCTTAAAATTGATATATATAGTTTTGAAATACTGCAAATAAACATTTTATTTTTTCAGTTTCTTTATTATCATAGAACATTAGTCACATTAACAGGTGAATCTTGAAATAAGTTATATACATGTACTTATATATATTTCCAGGCAGCAGATGATACAGCTAAAGCAGTGATGAGTATGCTTACTGCTCATGGAGTCAAACTTGTGTTGCCGTCATTGTTAAAAGGATTGGAAGAAGATTCATGGAGGACTAAAACAGGTCAGTTTTACCATTTTCACATGTTGAAATGAGTTTATTTCAAGCAATTTAAATTGAGTTTACTTCTGTAACGAGAAATAAGTTTTCATTTCGTACACTGTTGTTAGCAATAATGATGTGTTAACTGGATAAAATGAGACATAGATTGTAACAAAGCAATTTTGACTGCCCTAGGAGGGTTGGTATAACTTTATTATATTGTAGGGCTAGTTAATATTCATGATATTAATTTTAATGAAAGACTACCGGTAAGTGTATATCTCTTTATTACCAGGAGCTGTGGAATTGTTGGGAGCAATGGCATTCTGTGCCCCCAAACAGCTGTCAGCTTGTCTACCAAGTATTGTACCCAAGATCTCTGAAGTTCTCACTGACTCTCACGCCAAAGTACAGAAAGCTGGAGCACAGGCTCTCAAACAGATCGGGAAGGTCATAAAAAATCCGGAAATTCAAGGTAGGTCTGAATTTACTGTATGTATATGAATAAAGGCAATTTTGGAATCTGAGAATATTTAGTACATGTAATTGCAAAAAAGAGCTTATAATGTATGTGTATGTATTTAAAAATTGTCCTGCACATTGTTGTTAGTATGCAGAAACCGACCATCTTGTTGAAAACACAAGTACCAGACAATGAAAATTGTGTTAGTTGGCACTATAAAGTATAAATACTCTGTGATTTTTTTCAGCCATTGTACCAGTATTACTGGACGCTCTACAGGAACCAGCCAAGAAGACATTAGTCTGTCTACAGACTCTGCTGGAGACTAAGTTTGTCCACTTTATTGATGCCCCCTCCCTCGCCCTGATCATGCCTGTTGTGGAGAGGGCTTTTCAAGACAGAAATACAGAGACCAGAAAAATGGCAGCTCAGATTATAGGAAATATGTATTCTCTGACAGACCAAAAGGTAGCACTAGAATTTTTTATATAAACTGTGTGTAGTAGACTATGTAACTATATAAAAGCAAAAGATTTATAAATCTCTACACTGATCTGTGAGTGTTTATAAGAAGACAATATGTTGAAGCAGTGACATCACAACCAGCATTTCAAATAATGTTTTTATCAGTGGCATGGCACTCGAAGCCAGCTGTGCTTCTAATCAGGAAAAATGTTTTTCAATGTTTTCTAAAAATTACTTGAGGAAAAAGATGACATGCATCTGTATATACACTAAAATGGATGCTGCAAACTCACTGAAGAAAATTTTGATGCTTTGTATTTACTGCCCATGTCAATTTTGTTATTTCCCTTGTCAATACTAAAATTTTCTGATTAAACTAAACCATGTTTGATCCTGTATCTATTAAGTTGCCTTCTATATGTACTTTATATGCACATTTATTTACTCTTTGAAATGATGTTAGTAACATCTATTTAAAAACATGATCAATTGTACAAAGTTTTTTTTTTCAAATCTGTTGAAAATTGAATTCATTGAATGTGTAAGATACAGGATTATACATGCATATTTCCTCAAATGCATCAAAATCCATTACAGGACTTGGATCCTTACATAGAGAAGGTTATACCTGGCCTGAAGCAGTCCTTACTTGACCCTGTACCAGAGGTCAGGACAGTGTCGTCTCGTGCCCTCGGTGCTATGGTGAAGGGAATGGGCGGAGCTAAGTTTGATGAACTGCTGAATTGGCTGATGGAGACGTTGAAGTGTGAACAAAGTTCTGTGGATAGATCTGGAGCTGCCCAAGGTGACTTTATCTTAAAATTTGTACAATATGTGTAAATTGCAATGTGTAAATCACTGCGTTTCAGATCTTATATTCAGACACAATATTTTAAAAAAGCATGGAAATTTGTGACAGATTGATAAAACTTTGAAGAGAGTTTGAGAAAAAAAAATATTTTGGATTAATTTTAACATTTACTGCTGCACCTACTGTACATTTCAACTAAAACTGGGCCAAGTTTACAAATATAATATTAGTTTTAACAATATTTAGCTGCATCTTTAATAAATGATAAACTTTTTTTGTCACATGTCAAATTTTCATTCACATTTTCCATGCATGTGCAGTGTAAAAACTTTTCAAGATTTTCAGGAAGAGTGTGTTAGGGTTGAGGGGTCATTTCCATGTGATGATCTTTCAGAGAGTACAAATGTAAACAGCTTTTTCCATAAAAATTTTGTTTTTAGTTTGACTGAGTATTCATGCTTTAATGTTTTCCTGGGTTTTTCTCAGTGTTTGAGCCAATAAATTATTCTGTAAATTGAACACCATGAAATATCATTTGTATGTACTTTGAGGAATTTTTCAATTTTTCCTGAATTCAAAAGAAAAATATATGAAGTAATAAAGTTAAAGTAACAAAATGCTTTAATATCATTGAAGGATTAAGTGAGGTGATAGGAGGATTGGGTGTCCAGGAGCTCCATCGTCTGATGCCAGGAATTATCCAAACAGCCGAGAGAAATGACATTCCCTCCCACGTCAGGGACGGTTATATTATGCTGTATATTTATCTCCCAGCTGTGTTTGAGAAAGATTTCTTGGACTACATTGGACCTATTATTCCTTCAATTTTAAAGGTACATTTGTGATAATAAGTAAAAAAAAAGAAATTGTTTTTCAAATATGAATGAATATAGCTAGAGTATTTAAATATGTTGTCAATTTGGTCTATGTGTAGTTAATGGAAGTTGGTTTCATCTTCTGACTTTCACACTATCTTTCACTATTTGCAGCTTTTTCCAATATTTATATAAAACTTTTTATGTTAGTATGTCAGAACAAATATTTTATGCTTGTATTTTTTACCAGAAGTATCAAAGTTTTATGGCTATAACAGATTTAACTATGAAAGTCATGTAATATACAAATTTCAGGCTTTAGCTGATGAGTCTGAGTACGTAAGGGATACATCTCTCAGGGCAGGCCAGAGAATCATTAATCTGTATGCTGACACGGCCATTGAGTTACTGTTACCGGAATTAGAGAAAGGCTTGTTTGATGACAATTGGAGAATCAGATTTAGCTCTGTTCAGCTGCTGGGAGACCTCCTCTACAAAATTTCAGGTAGGCCTCAGATGAAGATTGATAGAGAACCTGCAAATCTAGGTTAATTGAATGTTTTTATGTCTGAGGATTTATGTGGATTATTCATTAATGGTGATGTGTTGATTATTTCTCCTGTCAGGTGTGTCGGGTAAGATGTCTACAGAGACAGCTCATGATGATGATAACTTTGGAACTGAAAACTCTCAGAAGGTTAGTATAGATAAACTAATCTGTTACAGCAAAAAATCTGTGTAGACTAATTTCTTGGGGATTTTTTCAATAATCTGTTATAGATAAGTCTTGAATACTTTTTTTTTAATGTGTAGGTCATCCTTAGAGCCTTGGGTCGTGAGAGACGTGACAGAGTATTGGCAGGGCTGTATATGGGACGTTCTGACACAGCCCTTCTGGTTCGTCAGTCTGCCCTTCACGTGTGGAAGATAATTGTGGCACACACTCCCATGACTCTCAAGGAGATCCTCCCCACACTCTTCTCTCTACTCCTTGGCTGTCTGGCCAGCACTAGTCATGACAAAAGACAGGTACAAGGGGTTAAGATTTATTTGAATTGATGTATAACATCTGGGCCATATTTTACTAAAGAAGTTATGACTAAGACCAATACTTACATTAGCAATTTATTTTATTCTTTACTGTGATTAAATTGTGATTAAATTTACTGATATATAGGACTTCAGTTATGCAATTTTACAAAAGTATAATCTTACAAAATTATAATTTAGAGAGGTTTTAGAGTTATGAATTTTTTTTTAATTAAGACAGTCATAAGTTCTTTTTTAAAACAGCCCTCTGGCAATGGAAAATTCTTGAATTAATCAAATACAGTGAAATATATATAGGAAATACAGAAAATGATTAGCATGTGAAATTTTTTTTTATAGATCTTGGAGTATACACAAATTAAAATCTGCAAAGGCAGAGTCAGATTTCTGTGTTTGTATCCTAATTTGGATAATTTATTTGCATATTAGGTGGCAGCCAGGACTCTAGGGGACCTGGTGAAGAAGTTAGGGGAGCGAGTTCTTCCAGAGATAATCCCGATCCTGGAGAAAGGTCTGGACTCGGACCGAGCTGACCAGAGACAGGGTGTGTGTATTGGACTGTCAGAAATCATGAAGGCCACCAGCAGAGAGCATGTACGTACAAATGCTAGTATAACCAAATGGTTAAACAATAAAATAATTGCTCATTCATGCATCTGAAATTAATGTCTTGCAAAGGACTGTAATAAGTAGATCATCATTCTGGAAAGATTTTACTAATTGGAAACGGATTTTAATTTAAAAAGGATTTTGTATTACAGTTGAAACTCTGGACTAGGAGACAGATAATGAATTATATTAATAACTAATTCTATTATTTATTATGATAGGTGTCAGTGTATGCTGATAGCCTGGTGCCAACAGTCAGGAGAGCATTGACTGATGATTTACCAGAAGTCAGGGAGGCAGCAGCAGAAACATTCGATAATCTCCACTCCAACATAGGCCAGAGGGCTTTGGATGAAATCCTACCTGTCCTTCTTAAACAGTTGGTATGTTGTTTTACTCCAATTTGATTTGTTCAGCATATGCTGGTGATAGCATCTTGTGTCAACTTTTATAGCACTGAAAAATAATCTTGTCTTTTAAACATGGACCAGAGAAATATTTGTAATGATTTTTTTTACAGGATGATGAAGAAAAGTCAGATTCAGCTTTAGATGGGTTGAAACAAGTGATGACTGTGAAGAGTAGAGTAGTCCTGCCATATCTTGTTCCACAGGTAATAGCCACAAGTTTAAACAAGATGTGTTTGTGAAACACTGATGCCCCCGTATGGCAGCTTATGTTGAAGGTTAAAGTTTCTCAAATGCAAGTCAAAATCCAGGCCAAAAGATAAAAAATGTTAAATTTGAAAGCCCTAGCTGCAACTGTTCAAAAGTTATGTTGAAGGTTAAAGGTTTTTTTAAAGTAAGTAAAACATCAAGGTCAAGGTCAAAGTTGTTGGTATCCAAAGGAAGGTCTTGTCACAAGGATTACATATGTAAAGTATGAAAGCCCTAGCACCAATCATTCAAAAGTTATGGCCAAGGTTGAAGTTTTTCGAAAGTAGGTCAAACTCCTATGTCAAGGTCAAAGGGTCAAAGTGGTTGGTATTCAAAGGAAGGTGATGTCACAAGGACTACATATGTGAAGTATGAAAGCCCTAGCATCAACCATTCAAAAGTTATGGCCAAGGTTAAAGTTTTTCAAAAGTAGGTCAAACTCCTAGGTCAAGGTCAAAGGGTCAAAGTGGTTGGTATCCAAAGGAAGGTCTTGTCACAAGGATTACAGATGTGCAGTATGAAAGCCCTAGCTCTAACCATTCAAAAGTTATGGCCAAGGTTAAAGTTTTTCAAAAGTAGGTCAAACTCCTAGGTTGATATCCAGAGGAAGGTCTTGTCACAAGGAATACAAATGTGAAGTTTGAAACCCCAAGCACCAACTGTTCAAAAGTTATGACCAAGGTTAAAGTTTTTCAAAAGTAGGTCAAACTCCTAGGTCAAGGTCAAAAGGTCAAAGTGGTTGATATCCAGAGAAGATCTTGTCACAAGGAATACACATGTGAAGTTTGAAACCCCAAGCACCAACTGTTCAAAAGTTATGGCCAAGGTTAAAGTTTTTCAAAAGTAGGTCAAACTCTAAGGTCAAGGTCAAAAGGTCAAAGTTGTTGGTATCCAAAGGAAGGCCTTGTCACAAAGAATACACATGTGAGGTTTGAAACCCCAAGCACCAACTGTTCAGAAGTTATGGCCAAGGTTAAAGTCTCATAAAATTTTGCAAAAGTGGGTCAAACTCCAAGGTCAAGGTCAAAAGGTCAAATATGATGGTACTCAAAGAAAGGTCTTGTCACAAGGAATACACATGTGAAATATGAAAGTCATAGCTCCAACCAATCAAAAGTTATGGGCAAGGTTAAAGTTGACAACAGACAGACAGACAAACAGATAAACAGACAAACAGACAGACAGGACAAAAACAATATACTCCCGTTATCTTTCGATCCATGGGCATAAAAATAGTAAGATAATACTATTTATTAGTAACGTGTAAGAAGTGTTAAAGGTATAGTAAATAAAAAGTTTGTGTGGAAATAGAGTAGTCTGAATTGAGTTATGGCCCATGCCACCTTGCTAATCATACTTATATAGCTGACCATGGGAATTTCCAATCCTCCACCAGACACTATAGCATCCACTTTAAAGTTTCTTATGCAGTGACTGGGAGGAACTTTTTCTGGTTTCCCCACCCCTCCTTTACGAGGGCCTCCTGCTAGGAGGTTGTATGGCCTTAGTCTCAGACCTTCCCCTGGGTGTTGATGAGTGAGAGAACCACTCTTGTATGTAACCCAGTAAGCAAGCATTACCACCACACATGATATCAGTAGAGCAGCATGCCAATTTATAGTGGGATTTGTAAAATCTCTTTGAAGGAACTGTTTTTATATACTTTTGCAGATAAAACTTTCATTTTTCAGCATACTAACAAAATAATAGCAGTACAAGTTTTCATCTCATAGAAATTTTTATCTTGATTTTGATTCAAATTAATTGCTACAAAATACACTTCAAATTGTGAACATCTTTTGTTAGTGTGAGGCATTTTAAAGAAAGACAACTCTAGCAAACATTTACTCACAAACAGCTTCTATCAGGATTATTTCCCTTTGAATGGTCACCCAGATCATGCATATCCAGGAAAAATCAACATACCAAGTCACTTTAAAAAAATATTTTCTATCCATTTCAGTTAACAGCCCCTCCAGTGAATACTCGAGCATTGTCGTTCTTGTCCTCTGTGGCTGGCGATGCCTTGACCAGACATCTGTCCAAAATCCTGCCAGCTCTTTTGTCAGCTCTTAGTGGTAAAATGGACACCCCAGAGGAGGCAGAGGTAATTAATGGTTTCTTCTTGAATATTTTGTTTCTCCAGAATGTGGTGTCAATATGTTTTATATGGATGCATGAAAATTCTTTCAAAATATATTACTTGATTTTTTGGACACATACATGTAATTAAGGTTACCATATTTAAATTTCCCTCAATTTGAGAAGGATATTTTTGATTTTAACTGTTTTTACAGGAAATAGGATACTGTCGTACCGTAGTACTATCTGTGACTGACGACGTGGGAGTAAGGACGGTAATGCAGGAACTGCTGAGTGCCTCCCAGTCCCCCACAAACAGTGAGTGCTGGAGTGCAGTAGTGATCCTCCATACGTTTTGTGAGAAGTCAAGTGCCGATTACTCGGATTATCTCCCTCAGTTGTTCCGCGGACTGATTGCTCTGTTTACAAGGTCCTCAGACAAAGTGTTACATGCTGCCTGGGATTGTCTTAATGCTGTCACTAAGGTAAGCATTATTATGTGACCCAGCATTATTATGCTCTTCTTTCATGAAAATTTCCTGGACTGAAAAAATAAAAGATTTTAACCTTCATACAGAGGAAAAGGAAATTCGAGTTGATAAATTTTTCAGTTCTGAATGATTTCTTTTCTTGCTGTTTGAGCTATTAGCATATTTATTTACATAATAAAAAAATCCTCTGTACAAAGTACATGTTTGCAAATAAAGAAATGTACTATTTTCAATATTTTAATTAAAAGATAAAATTTTTTTTTTAAAAAGTGAATGGTACTTACGAGTGTTGTTCGGAAAGTTCGTAGACTAGTGCCATAAAATTAAAATCACATCATCTTTTTTATTTATATGATAAACTATACATCATTACTTATATTTTTTAATAAGTTGTTAATGTTTTTGAAACCAATGGTATGTCCAGGCGGCGCAACCTCAAAGATTATGTTTTTTCTACCTAAGTGTAACTGAGAAAAACTCTTTTTTTTGATATGAGCATTTGTCATCCAAAAATGCCGTTAATTCACTTATGTGGTATGACATAATTGTACCATAAAATTTGCAATTTTTACCTCATTCTGTAAGTTCTTTAAAATTTTAAAGAATAAAGGGGATGTAATGACCCCCCCCCCCCCCTCGGAGAAACTGGCATAGACCTTTGAACTATTTAAATGTTCTACTGAAAAATAAAATGCTAAAATGCATTCAGAGTACTTGTTTTTAAATGCCAAAAAAGAATAGAGAGACGAGAGATGTAAAAGTTAATGTCGATTTGTAGTAAGGGTATTCAAAGTTTGTCACATCGAAAAGTTACGTTTATCATGTGTGATAGATGTTGACCTCTGACAAGCAAATATGCTGTTATAATCAAGTTAGGATCTTTCACTATGTATAGATCTATTAACAATATTATATGCATTTAAATCAGATGTTCATGACATTGTAAAATCATATAAACAAGGCAGGATTAAATCTTTACTTAACTCCAAGGAATCTTATCAAGATAAGTGTATGAGGTAGAGAATGCTGACATTGAGGAACAATGACGTCATGAAACTAAATGGTGGCAGCGCCGGTTGATCATATATTGTCTTTTTTATTTTATGATAATTTGGTAAATATTCAAGGTATCAAGCTAAAATTTTCAACATTTCCAGAGCTCCAGATAATATTTTGACCAAAAGTGTATTTACTCCCTGATTTTCAAATCAATGCAGATTTTGCTTTTCAGCAAAATGATTTAAGAGTACATGTATTTTGTTAATATATCAATGTTTTGATATCTATTGTGATTTTGAGCTTGTTATCGAAATAAAAGTATGTTAGAAGAAGAACAAAAAAAAAACTACAAAAGACAGTTCCTGCATTTATTCAAGGACCTATATACTTGTTAATGTATGGGTCCTAATTTATTTAAATAAAATTTTAAAAAATGCCAACAAGACTTTTTGCAAAAACTGCGAAACATTTTTTTTTGACAATGAACATCATACAGTGGCTAAATTTATCATAGGCACTTGAAACTTTTTCTCCATTTAAGATGATATCGTAGCAAGAGTAAACCGTAAAAAAATAACCTTTATTAATATGACAAGTTGAGAGAAATCAGAAATTGGCAGTGAACCCTTCATAAAAAAACTGAGAAACATTTTTTTTTGACAAGGAACATCATACAGTGGCTAAATTTATCATAGGCACTTGAAACTTTTTCTCCATTTAAGATGATATCGTAGCAAGAGTAAACCGTAAAAAAATAACCTTTATTAATATGACAAGTTGAGAGAAATCAGAAATTGGCAGTGAACCCTTCATAAAAACTTAATGTACAAACCGTGTGTAACCGTCCTACTAAACAGAGAACTCTACAGAATCTAAGAGAACTCTAATTGGTAAATTCAAATACGTTATGCTTAATGTCTCTCTTCAGCAATTTATTTATTTATTTGATCTTAAATTACACGGAGCTCGTTTGTTCGATATGGTTTTAATATGGTCTCCAATGATTTTTTTACCATCATCATTACTCTATGATAAATTGCAGTATTAACTTTTTTTCTCCAGCTTAGTCTTTTTTCTCCAAGTATCCATTGTTTTCTAGTACTTATGTATTACACTTGTTATAGTATCATCTTATATAGACAACACAAGCTTTTGAGTGCTTAAAAGTAACTATGCATAGACTTCCTATTTAAAGAAATCAATTTTAATCTAAATCTTTGGATTCTTTTTCCCGAACTGGAAATCGTCGTCGCCATTACTAGAATATTCCTGGTTATTAAAACACTTTTAAATCAATATTTCATTTTGAAAAAAATTAAACACTTGAGCTAACCTCAATTTATATCATTAGCTAAATCGTACTTGATTATTCAATCCATTATACGCAGTACTTTCATAGTGTAATGCTTATCTATGATTGCTATTGCGTAACTATATGCCCAATTTTAATTTTCAATGCGTATTTTTTAAAATTCAATGCGTATTTCTGCATATACGCACCTTATCTGGAGCTCTGATTTCTTTATCTTTTGTTGATTTATGTTCCTTAAAAATTTTGTGAGCATAAACTACATAGTATAATTAATTTTATTGCATCAGTCCATGAACTTTCCGAACAACCCTCATATTACTGATAGTTAGATTTCATAATTATTGTATAAATATTAAAGTAATAAAGTTAGAAAAAAAATTGTCAATATATTCTACTTTGTCTCTCAAAATATATTTTTGTCATTATTTGGCAAACTGATCTGATTTTTTTGTTTTGGTAATTATTCTATTTTCTTTCTAGAAAATTGATCCCACAGAAATGTTTCAACACATCGCAGATGTCAGACAAGCTGTAAGATATGCTATGTCAGACTACAAAGGAAAAGAATTACCTGGATTTAGCTTGCCAAAGAAGGTATTAGTGTAGTTAGAGTTATCCTTCTTTGCAATGAATTGTATTAGGATTGACGTTCTGTTGGAGGAGTATTCTCCCTTTGACGGAAAAAATATTGTTATGTTATTTATGTATTATTTTTTTCTTCAAATTTTCTTTTTTTCATGATAAATTTTATACTAGAATGTTTATTATGTGTTATAGTTTTCATATGTGCTAAATATTTTCTTCATTCTGGAAAATTTCTTAAGAAAATCTAATTATATTTATAAGTCACTATAACATTTTGTCAACTGGAAATTTTAAGTGTGAGAAGGCATGTTAAGCAGCTTATGACCTTGACAGCCCGAATTGACCTTGTTCGGGCAATTCTTTGCAGACCTGTAACAACCTTGGTTTACGCAGGTTTATTACTAAAACTTGAAAGTGGAAGAATTTATTTTAGATGGTTATGCATCAGGGTAATATGTAGATGTAGAGATATACTTAGCAGCTTCATAGTAGACACAATCAAAAAGTGTGAATAGGAATACATTTATCACGATGGGACCAGTACAGACAAGCAATATGCTGAATAAAAGTTTTCATTATACACCGCAGGAGCAGCCAATCCATTTGTGGTTGTGTTAGAAAGTACACATGGGGAAATGAGATGTTATTTTTTCATTGGTTCTGTAAAATAATTCATTAATGATAACAGGCTTAAGAATTATGAGTAAAATATTTTTTAAAACTTGTTTAAACTCTTAAATGTTGTTATTATGTTTCAGTTAAATTTTCATTTCTCATCAGATAATAATTAATGTTTACAATAAAATATGAATGGAAATTGTTATGATTTTCCTGATGATAATAGCAGTACTTGCTAAAAGTGATGAATAAAAATTGAAAAGTTTGTAAAACTAGTAAAAATTGTTTTGAATATGCTGCAGCTGTGAAGGATAATTTTTTCTACACTTTGCATTTATTGCGTTGTTCATCACTGTTCCCTGCAGCATTGTCTGCAGATATCAGCAGCATCAAGTGTCAAAGTTCATGGTATCAGCACGTGGTTCATCTGGAGATCTGAATGTCTTCATTTTGATGATAATATATTTTTATAATTTATTCATATCGATAAATCAATTTGATGAACAAATACACTGAAAGTATTATTTATCTTGCATTTTGTGCCCCCTCCCCTTTCTTTGGAAGACAGTTTGAAATAAAAAATGTTCACTCTTTCAGCCTTGAATATCTTGTGCTTTTCGTGAATGTTTACTTGGGAAAGTACTTTTTAAAATGCTTAATTTTGTTTGCGGCCACTTTGATGCTTTGCATCAGTTTTACTTGACTGTTAATTTTGTATTAATCATTTACTTGGTATATGAACATACTTCAGCAATTCTGAGCCAAAGTCTTATATTCTGACTTTACTTATAAGAAATTCTTATGCTGATTAGTGATTTCTTTAATTTAAATGATTTCTTTTAGGGAATTGCACCAGTGTTACCAATCTTTAGAGAGGGCATTTTAAATGGCTCTCAGGAAATGAAGGCCCAAGCAGCTGATGGATTAGGAGAATTGATAAATATCACCAGTGCAGAAGCACTTAAACCATCTGTTGTCAACATCACAGGTCCTCTCATCCGTATTCTTGGAGACAGGTTTACCTGGCAGGTCAAGGTTGCAGTTCTAGAAACTCTGACTCTACTCCTGGCTAAGGTTTGCGAATTTCCTTTTTAGCTAATTTACTTTATAAGCCATTAATCAGGTGACCTATTGCTATCTGTTTTTTGCCATCGTATCGTGTTGGTCATAAACTTTTGAACATTTTCAGCTTCTTGAACCGCTTAACCAATTTCAAACAATTTTAGCAGATAGCTTCAATGGGTGAAGGGTACAAAAATTGCGAGTTTCATGAACCTGTCCCCTGGGGCCTTAGGGGTAGGACTAAAATCATAAGAATTAGTGCTATCTTGAAAAATCTTCTTTACTCCTGGACATCATGCAATCAAACTGTTGGCATGATTGTAATAAGCATTGAGCCCTCTACAGTGTTTGAAATAACCGTGCGCCCGCCCGCCCGAGACGCACAAATTTTGCAGCGGACGAACAAATTTGCATGTATTGATGCCCGGCTGGACCTGTTAAAATTTTTGATAATTAAAATTCATATATTTGATAAATCTCTTTCATATCAACTTATAGTATCGGTAGCAAAGTGTAACAAGCCAAGAGGAAGAATTCATCAGTTTATAAATTCTGGTTTGAAGTTATGGTGACCTGGTTCCAGTCACATAATCATTAAAAACAAATTTATAAAAGACAATTATTTTCTCGGGTGAGTAGATCTTTGGCAGGGCTGACAACTTTTACTATGAACTTTTGCAATGAATTTCAAACACTGGCCCTCTACCAAAATAGTGAAATTCATGGCCCAAGGGTAGGGGGTTCTGGAGGTAGGGCAGGGCTCTAATGATCATAAAGTGAAAAATGCTTAAATTCCTTAAAAAGCTTCTTCTCTATCCCTGCATATTAAGCAGATAAACTAGGTACATGGTTATGATGATCAAGGGTGCCTCTTTCAAAATTGTGAAATTTGTGGCCCCAGGGTCAGGGGTTCTGATGTGTGTGTGTGTGTGGGGGGGGGGGGGGCTCTTCACTATATAGTAACGGTGCATTATTTCTTTGAAAATCTTCCTCTCTTTTCCTGGTTATTTAGCAAACAAATTAAGTGCTTAGTTATGATGAACAAGGGTGCATCTTCCAAAAATGTGAATTTTATGGTCCTGGGTCAGGGGTTTTGTTAGGGCAGAATTCTATATATAGTGGAAATGCTAATTTCTTTGACAATTTTCTTCTCTGCTCCAGGGTATTTAGAATCTAATTGCATAGTTATAATGAGTAATTATGTGAAAAATTGTGAATTTCATGACCTCTGGGACAGGGGTTCTGGTTTTAAGGTAGGGCTCTATAGATCAGATATTGAAAATGCATAAATTCTTTAAATTTCTTCTTCTCTGACCCTTGGTACTTCACAGACACACTAACTGCAAGGATGCCTTTTCCAAAATTATGAAATTCATAGGCCCTGGGTTAGGGGGTTTGGTGTTAGAGCAGGGCTCTGTTGAATATATCATGAAAATACATTTAAAAATCTTTTTCTATGTCCCTGGGTGTTTAGCAAACATACTTAGTGCATGATTATGATGAGCAAGGGTGCCTTTTCAAAAATTGTAAATTTCTCCACCCCTGGGTCTAGGGCCTCTGGTACTAGGGTGGGGCTCTATTGATTATACAGTGAAAATACATTCATACTTTGAAAATCTTCTTCTCTGTTTCTGGGTATTAATCAAACAAACGAAGTGCACAGTTATGATGAGCAAGTGTGCCTCTTCCAAAATTGTGAATTTAATGGCCCCTGGGTAAGTTCTGGTGTTAGTGAGGGGTTGTGTTGAATCTATAGTGAAAATGCATTATTCTTTTAAAATCTCCTTCTCTGCTCATGGGCATCAAGGACAAAAAGAGGACAAAGTTGTAGTAAGCAAGGGTATTTTTACCAGATTTGTGAAATTCTTGACCACTTGGTCAAGTATTCTGGTGCTGGGTAGGCCTCAATTAATTTGTAGTCTACGGAGAGAAGTTATCCCCCTTTGCTATTCTTCTATGATAATTAATCACTCTCTGCACAATAATGTAATTGAAAGGTCAATTGAATAAGAGAACCATACATAAAATTTTATAATATTTAATACAAAAAGCACTTTCATAGTTTTTAAGGTCAGATAAAGTGTAATTAATAGATAAACAAAGACAAAAAGACCTTATTTCTGTAAATTAAATGTTCAAAAAACAAGGGAGGCCATTGTGAGAGGGAATGAAATTGACTTTCTAATAGTGCTCAAGCGCTATTGTTTTGTTTAGTCAGAATGGTGATAGTGACAAATGGGGGCAAGTACAGGCAAGTAAATTAAGATTAACTTTAAGAATTGTTACTGATCACTAGATTAATTATTTTGCTGATCCCTGATAATCCTTTTTTCTAGTTTTTGGGCAACATAGCTTCATCTATCAGTTTATTCTGTTTTAGCTTATACTTCTATGAACCCTTTGTAATGTTGTATTATACTCAGGTGACCAATAAGGCTCTTGGGCCTCTTGTTTTATATATGGTAGAACACCATATTTTTGCAATACTTTTTCTGTGAGAAAACTGTTTGGTATTTATAAGTGGGACAAAATTTTCACAATTTTTTTTTTGGGGGGGGGGGTGTATACATGTATAGTTTTTATTAATAAATGTTGTTTGTGAGAATGAAATTTTCAAAAGAAGACGGTCTTGCATAATTACGCAAAAATAAAATTCTCATGAAAAGAAAGTGATTTACAAGTAGTTTTTTTTATTGTGAAAATTTACAGATGACATGAATTTTTATTAAATTTCTAAATATTTCATCAACAGACATATGTTTGTATACCTTCCAATGTTTGTGTTTTTTAGGTTGGAGTTCAGCTGAAGCCATTTTTACCACAGCTACAAACTACATTCTTAAAAGCACTGAATGACCCCCAGCGACAAGTGCGCCTCAAGTCAGCGTCTGCCTTGGGGAAGTTGACGGTTATTCATACGAGGGTGGACCCACTGTTTACAGAACTTCACTCAGCTGTAAAGAATGCTTCAGACCAGAGTGTCAAGTAAGTGGAAGTTTGTACTTACTATTATCTGTAATTTATAATGTCAGATAAGTGGTGACATATAATAATTTATGAATTTCACAACATAGATATTCGATAACTGTTATATGGAAACTGTCCAGCCCTCCTTAGAGACAGTGTTAGAAAATTTTAAATACAAATCACTTCTATTAAAAGTTTTGTTGAACAACACAGCATTAATCAGGTCTACAACAAAGTATTACAAAAAAATATACATCATCTAAATCATGCAATGTTGGATTCAGCAGATTTGACACATTTGAAATACCAGCGAATGAGAGAATTTCACTTGCAAGATTTTAAAGCAGATTGGAAAGATGCATTTCAGTGACTTCAGAGTTATTTTTATTTTCTAGGGACACCATGCTCCAGGCCCTGAGGTTTTGTATCTGTGGAGCAGGAGAGAAAATGTCTGATGCTTCCAGAAAGGGAATCATGGGAACTTTAGTTGGAATGCTGGGAGTACAGGAGGAATCCACTCGCACTGCAACCTCAGGCTGTGTGGGATCTATGTGCAAAATCTTGCCGGAGGAAGAATTGACTGAACTCATGATTCAACAGTTATTAGGTTAAACCCTTTACAAAATAAAAGATAAACTTTGATGTCTTGAACTCAGTGAGTCTGACAAAAACTTCCAGATACATGTATCTAATGATTATGGATAATACTTAATTTGTAGTTATAACCATGGACTTAATGTGACTTATCCTTGGTATTCAACATATTGGCAGTATGAAGTTCAAGTGTGAAGCATTGATAGAGCTTAAAATAAACCATGTAGTTCTGGTGTCTAAACCAGATTTACATTTCTTAATTTCTCAATAAGCAAAACTTTTCTTGACATTGTGGTTGAAGATATCATTATGAGAACCTGTTTTGAACATGATTTTGGCCTGTTATGATGAGTTGTATTTTTTCTTTTATTAGATACCGCGGAGAGTGGTGCCGACTGGACACTGAGACATGGGAGAAGTCAGGCATTAGCGGTGGCCCTCAAAGAAGCAGCACCAAAAATCTGGATCTCCTCCTTCCAATCCAACATTGTCAAGTGTCTTTCTGGACTTGTTGACTCAGACAAGGTCTCTTTTACTCATTTATAAACAGTACCTTTGTTCGTTTCAATTTTGAATACAAAGATAAGAGAGAAAAAAAGAAAGAAAGAAATTACATGGGGTTGGCCAGTCAGATTTGTTGATATGACTAGCTTACTGTACATTGTTTTGCAGGTGCCACTGTGTCAGAGTGGATTGAGAGGGTTGGGATATGCCTTGCTGTATCAAACCAAATCATCTGATGTTGACACTGAACTAGTCAGTCTACTCATCAAGGTAAACTTTTAGATATGCATTATGAAGCAGTGATTTTTATGGGCAAAAAGATATTTTTTGAAATGTATTCTGTATATATTGAGGTTCAGAGGAAACGTAATTGATGATGAAATATTTTGAAATACAACTGAAGTTATTACTAAACTTGAAGATTTTTAGAAATCAATTTATTTTAACTTGATGCTTTCAAGTTTTGATTTTAGTTTTACATGAACTGGTTTCATGGATTGAAAAGTCGAGTGTGGTATATGTTCTACAAATTAAACACCTCAAGTTTAAAACTTTGCTTTATTTGTAGGGATTAAAGAAAGACTCCAATGACATTAAACTGTTAGTGACTCAGGTATCCTCCCTGATAGCCAGCTGTGACAAACCCCTCACTATGTCAGCCATTAAAGTTCTTGTCCCCGCTCTTGTAATGGGCACTAAAGAGAAGAACACTATGGTCAAATCTAGCAGTGAATATGCCCTCATCTCAGTTCTGAAACTTAGAGAGGGGGATACCCTGCTGAATGTAAGCAAGTTTAGTTTAAGACTTTGGAATTAAATTTTGTTTTCTTTACATAGATGGAAGTCAGTTTTATTTCGAAGATATAATACAATTATAGTCACTCCTCAAAGCGCATCTTTTAATTGGTTATTATTGTTAAACAATTTTTTTTTTTTTAATTTTGGTTCACTCTCTGTGGTTGGCTCTTGTATATCACAGTGATAAGCACGAGAGATAGTGCATTTGTTTTAATTCATTTTAATTAAATGCCGGAGCTAATGTTTGTCCTTTAAGGTAGATATCTACTAACCAGACCTAGAACTATTATTTTAATTTGAAATAATCCTTGAAATATCATGTTTTTATTTGATGTCAAAAGTCTTGTCAAAAATATTGTTATTGATTCTGCAGCAAATTCCATTATTATTTTCTTTTTCGAATTCAACCTTTCTTGTACTTCTTGCAGCAAACACTTGCAGAACTGGATGTTGGAATGAGAGAGTCTCTAAGTGATGTTGTTACAAAATCTCTAAACAAACTCTGTAAACAACCTGAGCCACCATTGGATGAAATAGATGACACAATTCTGAAGTGAAATCACATGACTCAGAGCTTTCCAATCAAGTGTGTAGCTACTGTATGGCTGATGTCATTTTCATCTTTAAATTATCAGCTTGAAAACAATTCTGGAGTTACTTATTTTATGAATTCACTTTTTCACATACATACAATGCAGGACTGAGGAGTTTCATCATTTTGTTCATCCAAGTTTTTTTTTTAATTCCTATTTTGTCATGAGACACTAGGTTTAAATCATGCAAACACATTTGTCCTTTTTTTTGTGATTTTTGAAAGATTTTAAATTTATAGATATTAATTTCAAGACATTTAAAAAGCATTATCCCGAGATTTTACAGCATACAGGCCTAATGTAACTCTTGTGTGTTTTTGTTATTTTTACATGTATAGGACATTTCCAATTGCTTTGGTCTATATTTGTTTTAGATTTCTACAGTATAGTTACATTTGCTTGTATTAAAACACTACAGAATAAATCACTATGAAAAAGAATATAGTCTGATGACAAGGTATTTATTTAATTATAGACCTTTGAGGCCCTCTTTTTTGGTTTTTGTTGTTAAACAAATGCAGTAAAGAGACTTTGATTGATTTGTATATCTTGGATGTTTATGATATTTTTGATGTCAGAAGTACATGTAAATCCTGTCAACCAGTCTGAAAAAAAGAGAAAGATTTTAAAGTTTTGCTTTGTGTTGATTTTGTTTTCCCATTTTCAATTATATTTGTTTATTTTCAAAGTTGTTCTCCAGTATGTACATAGGGTACTCAAGAAAATGATGAACACAATGTGTGAAATGCATGTACAAAAAATGATAGTGCTATATGTGCATACCATGCTCATTATTGAAATAAATCTATTGATTCAATCACTTATCTACTTTCTTTTTAGCTCACCTCAACAAAGTTGGGGGAGCTATTGTAACACCCTCGGCGTTGGAGTTGGCGTCCCAGGTTAAAGTTTTTGGTGCAGTTTTCTTGTCAAGTACTTCTGTGCCCTATATTAATCAGAGATGCATGGTAGATGCTTCTAGTATGTTTCATTGTACCAGTCAAAGTTTCAGATGCTGCAATTTCAGCTGAAGAATGACCAGGTTAATGTTTTTGGAGCAGGTTAAAGTTTTTGGAGCAGGTCTCATTTCCAAATAACTATAGGCCCTATATTGACCAAACTTGTATGGATGATACATCGAAGGATGCACACTACCATGCTTGCTTCGGATGCTGGATCTGACCTACATTTTTCGGATTAGTGATCAGGTTAAAGTTTTTAGAGCAGGTTTCATTTCCAAGTAACTAAAAGCCCTATATTGACCAAACTTGCAAGGATGATACATCTAAGGATGCACACTACTGGACTTGCTTCGGATGCTGGATCTGACCTACATTTTTCGGATGAGTGACCAGGTTAAAGTTTTTGGAGCAGGTCTCATTTCCAAGTAACTAAATTTGGTCTAACACTTGCAATTAACTGGATAAAACGGATACATTTGTACTTTTAAATTATGAAAAGAAAATAAAAAAGAATATTACAACAAAATGGGCACAGAAGTAAATTTAATTAGATGAATTGATTGGACCTCAGAGACTCTGTTAGTTGTTCTTACAATTTTAAGATGGATTTTTAGTTCAGTGTGTTTTTTCACCAATCATGGGCCCTCATGTGTGGGGGATATACACTGTATAGTATTTACACTATGAATAGTTTTACATGGGCATTAGAATGGGAAGGCCATGATATGGGGATTAGTCCCACCCCATCCCCTTTATTCACAAAACATACATTAACAACTTGGCCCGAATCTCACTTTTTTCCCCACAAAAAGTACATCTATTAACAAAAAAAAATAATATTAACCATGCAGTTGCCTTCCACTTCTAATTTTGCATGTATGCAACTTTTTGTTTTCTTTCCCCCTCTCTCTCTCTCTGTTTTGTTTTGTTTTCTTTCATACTTTCTTTCTGTTTTCTTTTCTTTACATTCTGTGTCTTTTTGTTTTCTTTTTGTAGTTAAAGGGTATCAAAAAAAAAAACAACTAAATATTTTAATTATGTTTCTGGAATGGAATGTAGCACTTGTTTCGTATATGGGGTCACGTACCCTTCTTTTTCTTTCCTTTTTCTGATTGATATATTAACAAAATACGAGCTTTAAACGTGGGGGCCTGAAATTGAGTTAGGTACCTTGTTGAAAGAAAAAGAAGGGGGTGAACCCATATACGAAACAAGTGCCTGTGGAATGTACAGCCTATATAAAAAAGTTTTTGCTCGGTTTGAAAATGCCTAAATCTGAAAGCATCGATTATTTCAAATACACATGTAGAAAAAAATACTTTTTTCTCGGGGGCATATTGTTCTTTTTTATTATTTATATTTTTGAATCAGCTGTTAACTCTTTCGAATGAACCCGCTCTATCGTACTAGAAAATCCGAGAGATCCCGAATGATTTTATGAGCACGTGCATCTTAGCCAATGACGGCCTTAGACACAAATATTCCCCACTTCCGTTAGCTATAACAAACATTTTGATTGGACATTGGGTTAAAAATGGGCTTGTACATGTGACATTTTTGACGTCACAAGGAATCCCTCGGTTTTTCTTCGACTTCTTTCCAAGACCCCTATGCTACGTAAATTTTGGACATTTTTAACATAAAATACTATCATCGAAGCCGTCAAATGTAGTGATATGGCTGGAGTGTTTGACTTAGAATTACATGATACCCCAGAGGGTGATGAGGAAATTTCTGATGACGAATTTTTTGAGCCAGAACTTGAGGTATGTTGTTATACCGGTGTTTTCCATATTTCATCATCGTTCGTAACATATACGAGAATACAGTTTCACATTGTCCTCGCTAGTCACCGTTGATTGAAATTACAGTCGTCTAATAAGGATTACACGTACAATGTCATGGAGTTGGAAAATTTATGGAAGAACAAAGTTTCATATTAGGGTTTTAACCATTGTTGATGACCAAGCATTATTTTTAACATTGATCGATCTTAATGAGACCATATCTATATATAATATATTTAACTGACAATTTTTGACTAAACTAAAGAGTACCATGAGTATGTCTTACACATACTATTACATTTCACAGAGTTAGTTTGTTGATTTAAAGATACACTGTGAAACAAGTGAGGTATGCCGTGGTGCACTCATTAACCCTAAACAGCTGTTTATTACTGACATACATGCTTCTAGGAGTAGTCTTTTAAATCGATTTTGCATACTATGATATTTATGTTGTATTTGAGGTACAGTACCACTATGTTGAATCAGACTTCTTGCTATCAGACCACGCTTAATTTATTGTTATTCAATGTTGAGTCACACCATGATTTCTCAGACTTTTAAAACCATGACATCAGAGTTGATGTTGATGTTTGACCATGTTACCATGTCATGACTATTCAGTCCCAAATGTTCATTAAGGAATGAATTTAATAGCTACCCAAGTTATACTGTATAACCTGGGTTGGAACAGTTTACTGTTTACACTTTATAAACCTCAAAGCGGTTTATAAAAAGCATAACTAATCCAACCCAGGTTATACCAATATAACTATTCATTCCTTATGATTTAATTTTCCATCATTAAGTTTAGCAAATAAGAAAATTTCACTTTCAAAATTGCCTTCAAATTTTACATATTTTAAATGTAACGTCAATCAGATTGATACATTTTTGATGTAAGTCATTGTGAAGTAGTCAACACAGGTTATACGATATAAACTAATATTTTTATTCAATCAAATGATGTGTTACAACTAAAATTAAATTATTAAAAGACAAAATGAAAGTAGTTTTTGTTACTGTTTAAAATTATAATTCCAACAATAGCCCTGACAAAGACACTGGTGAAGCTACTCATCATAATACTTCATTGCATGAAACTCAAGACTTCTAAAAAAGTCTTCCTAGCCCACAAGTCTGAATTTTCAATACATTTAAAAAACAAAAAAAAAAAATGCATAGAAAAGGGGCAGCTCATATGATAGGCTGCAATTGTGTGGCTCATTAAGCATACTGGAAGCTGAACTTTCTTGAGGTCTGTCGCTGAATGGAACATTTGATGAAAGGCTCTGGCATATTCAAAGCAAGATGAACTGATAAACAAGTAATCTGTCAACTCAGATGGCACATTTTGGATATTATCAAATTTTACCATGGTTACATCTACTTATCAGAGACATGACTGTTACAGAATAATTACTACAAGGAGTATATTTGTAATTTGGCTTACTGCATGTACATATGGTAGTGACCTTACATCTGGTATTAAAGATAATGATAAATGAGAAATGCATTGAAATTTGAACAGAAAATTAATTAGTTGCTGATACATGTTTCAATTTTCAGCTAAAGGTCAATCAAACCTTTCTGGCAAAGTAAAAAAAAAGTCAATGTTCAAGTTGGTTCTATTGTTCAAAGATTTCCAGTGAGTGAAACATTTGCTGCTAGACTAGTTTTTCTGTCTCTTACTTGCCAAAGAGATTCTAACTGGCAAGAGGAAGCATGATGATTTGGGAGTCAGAGGCTCAAAGACTCCAAGTTATAGGATTGACATTGCTATGGGTACCTTGTTATGAGTATCATGGGACCAAACATGTCTGATTCAGAGAGCAAAAGAAACTTATTATTGTATTTTGAAGACTATTGGTCAAGGTTCTATTATTCATGTATGCTCGTAAAATTTACTTGTTGTTTGGGAATTGGATGTGACCTATTTATTTTTTCCTGAATTGACCTTATGTTGAACTTTATAAGAGTAAGTACAGACTGATAATGAAAATATGAAGAGTATGTCATTTGCATGGCAGATATACATACATGTATGGTACTTATAATAGTTTGGAGAATGATTGATATGTACTAGGTATCAAATATAACAAATGTACATAGTTTCAGAGTGTTTATAATGTTATCTCCCTCAAATGAATAAATAAGTAAGCCACCAAGAGAAATTAAGTCAATATAGATTTCTGTCTCTGAAATCTACTGCCCTGGGGTTAATTCATATGTACTTCCACCTTATTATATTGATATCACAAACTTCAATATAAGAATGTAGAAACATTTATGGCAATGAATTTGACATGTTTAAATGAAGCTTTCATTGTGAATTCTAGATCCATAGTTTTATCAGTAAGGTCAGGTCATGTGTTCAGAGGAAGCCTTGAGATATGGTGACAATGCATATAATCTGCATGTATCTGGGACATTGCTGATTTATTGTTCATTGATTTGTATATAGGTTTATTGTTTACATGTACATGAACATGATGAAAGTAGCATCAACATAGGGAGTTTTACATGCCACACAGTTTTATTTAGTTTTGGGGAATTTTGTGCAGTCAGCATAAACGGCACCACCTTGTTAATCAGTGTCAATTTGGGCATGTAGTAATTACGTTTAGTTTACTCTCTGTTAAATGATCTGATGTCAAATATTCAGGAGAAGGATGATCTAGGAACAAAGAATTTCTGGATTTCAGGGTGATGCTTTCATAATATAAATTAAAACAGACTTTTACAAATATAAGCTGTATTTTGGTGTCTTTTGAAATTTCACTCTCTACCATCATCTCATACATTCACCTCTGTCATTGGCTCACTAATATCACAACGATAGTGAGCTTGTTTTAATTTATTAAAGTTAGATATTTTTTTTAATTTTAGAAGGTATTAGGTAGACTTTTACTCACTGTATCTTGAACTATAACTTTAACTGAAATAGATCCTTAGAATAACATTTTTACTTTACATCAAAAATCTTAACAAGCCCATTGCAGAGGTGTAGCATGAGAGAGAAAGGAATGACAACTCTGCATGGGAGATTGTTGAAATACATGAAATTTTCTCATGGCATTGTTAATTTTTTTTTGTTGTTGTTAATTTTATTGAAAACCTTGCTTATTACTTAAAATGGACTGACTGAAGCGGGATGGAGAATGTTCGCTTAAGAGATAAAGGTTTACTTGAGCATATCGCACCTTTTGGGAAAATGTATAATTTGCGGTATATGCATATTTTTGCCCCCACAAAAGTCATATTTTGAAAATTTCTTGAAATGTGCTGAATTGTATATATTGTTTGAGAAATCTAAATTAACAAAAAATATCATAGTTTCAAAGTAGGTTATTGGCAATTTTTGTTTCTATGACGTCACAAACCATTCAAATTTTGTGTTATTTTCAGAAAGAGGAAAAAAATGGACAAAATTTGTTCAATTTTTACCATACAATTTATAGAGCGCAGGCCTGCTCCAGAACAATATTTACATATTTCATTGATATTATCATTCTACACATTATATCAAAATATTGAGTTGGAGCAGACCTGCGCTCGGTGACTTTTACTCAAAATATCGACGTAATATACACCTTTTTCTGTATAAATCATGGAAACTGAATTTACGTCATTTTCCTGGCGTCATATCTAACATATGGCGTCATGGCTTATGAAAATATTCAGTGATCTGAAGTCTGCATATATCCCCCTGTTTTAGAACACAAGTTTATATTACTCCATCAAAGTTTGATTTTGGGGGCAAATATTGGTCCTTACTGAATATAGTCCTTTTGAGCATTATTATGTAGCAATATTGAAGTTCTTAGAGGAAGAATACTAAATGAATGTATTCCAGAATGATACCACATAATGGATTTTCATGCAGTCAAATATTTTTTATAGAGGACTTGATTTCTGTGATGTAGATTGTGATTAAATTCAAATCAAAACAGCTTTGAAATTCATTATATAAAAAGTCATAGTCTCTGAAATCTGCACATGTAGATGATTTTTAGCTCTACTGGTCAGAGACCAGAAGAGCTTACGCATTAGTAAGATGTCCATCTTTCTGACTTTTCAAAACGTTGCCATAGATTTCGGTAAGAATTGGATCATAAGTAAACTATACTAAGATGCATAATTCTGTGTATTGGTTTTTGATTTTGACAGTGTTGCTATGGTTACTAAAAAAAATAATAGAAATTCTTTGAAATTCTTTCAAAACACTATTTCTCCAACATTTTTGGTCCAATTTCAATAAGACTTGGTCCACAAGTTATACTATACTAAGATGCGTACTTCTGTATATCAATATTTGAATTGACAGTGTTCCCATGGTTACTAAAAATACAATTTTTTTTTTTACTCTGCCTACAGGTTTGGTCCGATAAGACTTTTTACACAAGTATACTATACTTTCTTTATTGTAAGTTCACACCAGTAGAGCTAGAGCCTCGTCAGAGACTTCTGGTTACATTGTACTTTTATACATAAGTTACTATTTCATTTCATTGCATATTGTTGTATATAAATGTATAGAAGAATGAACTAAAAATTTAGTAGGTAGCTTCTTTTTTTCTCCATTGTAAGTGATCTTGTACTTTATATACATGTACATATCCCAAAGCCCATTTCAGAATGATGAAACTCATTAGCATTCATTCATTGTGTTGTGGTATGTACAGCTGTAAATTATGATTATTCCAGTAATTCATGTAAATTGCCCAGTGTACTTTTAAATAATCAGGACTTTCTTTTTCTTTACAGGTATCAGGGCGTGGTCAAAATGTCATGTAAGTCATCATCACAAATTCTCAGGACTATAAACACAAGGATATTAAAGCATGTTATCAAGAATATGATTAGAAAATGGCACTAAATTCCTTAATACTAGGACAAATTTTAAAGTTTTGATTTTTGATTTTTTTTTTTTTGAAGCACTAGTAAGATAGCTAATTTGTATCTTCTCAGAGTGATAATTTGGCAGGCAAATAAACCCATTAAAACCAGAAATCACTTTGGTCTCTTCAAAATCTGGATGTCAGTAGGAAGCATGTGACTGTACTTCTCATAACACAGGAAGAGAAAATTATAAATATACAGTACTATAGAAGGCCTTATGTTGGTAATATCACTTGGTAACAAGTGACACTATAGAAATTATTTATGACTTTTAAAAAAAAAATGGTGGCATATGTTTAGGAATTAAAATTATTCATTCAAAACATAATATCAATATGACTGATTTCTCTTTAAAATTTATTTGAAGTAGATTTAAGTTTACAACCTTATGAACTATAAATGATATGGAATAACATTAAACATGTTAAAGTCAGATGGCACTTAAGTGAAATTTGCCATATAAACTTTAAACAGTTTGTCAGTCTCTATGCATTTATTTAAAAGAAATCAACAACTTGAAAACAGATTTAGGAAGAAATGTACTTATTTTTTAACATTCAAGAAGATATGACATGATACTTTTCACCCATGCATATTTTTCAAGAAGTGCTTAAGGCTTCATGCAGTATGCTACAGTAAAAGGTATCAAGTCATACCTTTATGAACCTTCAAATCTGAAATCTGTAAAATTGCTGCAGATTTGAAATTATATTCAGCATGTTTGATTTGAAGTGAGAGAAAAAAAAATTTAATTTATCGTAAAGTGTACATGTGTAAAGCTCAAGCCATAGATAGGTTGTGATATTGCATTGGTATATATGACCATTTTAAACTGCATTTGGAAAAAAAAGAATATATATTACCATATAAATTTTATCAGAATGCAGAATGTAGTATTTCTATATAAAACAGTGTTGAAATGCATCTCTTTGCAAAGAGCATACTTATTATTAAGGAATGTTTATTTTAGGTGTGAAGATGGGATGGAGACAGTGGAAATAACAGAGAACACAGTAAATCCAGGGCAGTTAAAAGTTGGACCGCAAGACTTTGAGCTTCTCAAAGTTTTGGGCAAAGGAGGATATGGAAAGGTATTTGTGTCGGAACAAAGATTTGGAATTAGTCTGTTATGGGATGATGATCGATATATGCTGCAAAGGAAGCATCCATGATTTAACGAGTTAATTGATTTGTCTTGAAGCAAAACTGCAATCTGTAAATGAAATTATTTTACTTATACTAGAATTATTAGATTAAGAAGTATACAATAATAAATTATCTTGGGGGGTTGTTGACCTTCATTCTCAGCATGTTTATTGTTTATGACAGAGAGGTGAGTGGCCTATTGATTTTTTTTCACTTTTGGCTTTAAGCCATTCTTGCTGCTGAAGAACATGTAGGTAGGAGGCAAATTATGCTGTTCATTATGTACACTCCTTCAGATTATAGGATATTTAATGAAAAAAAGATAAATAATATCTCATGAAATCACAGTAATTATTCTGAAATGGTTACTTATACTTACTTTAAATAATATTTAAATGCAGTAGGAAAAAAGATATTTATCAGCACATAGTGCACCATAATGAAAATGTATGAATAGATAGCATTATACATTTATGAACTGGGTTCGAGGGCAACATGCATTTTGTTGGACCCAAGAACCAAACTGTTTGCATGAGGCTGTTAGGCAGTTTGGTTTGAGGGGTTTACAAAACCCAGTTGAACCCTGTCAATAAATGTTTTGTTACATACCTTTTACTTTTTATTTTAACATATCTTGTGCTGGCTTCCATGTTTGCGATAATTGATAAGATATAGCTGATTCCACCTACAGTGTGATGTAACAGGGCTCTCAATTCTCTATATTTGGGGCCGTTCAAAAGCCCCATTCCCAATTCCAAAAAGGCACCTTTTTTCCCAATTGAATGTGTTAATTTTCCCAATCTCACTTCCCCAAATGTTAAAGAACATTTAGTAAGATATATAGTTACTAAACTTGTAATTCATATTTCTCTGCATTACAAAACAGAAATTTAGTTGATAACAACCACCAGGAACTCAATATATCATAAATTTAATGTATATAATGTCTAGTTATGATTTTCCCAAAATTACCCAAAAGGTCGCTAATTTTCCAAATTTTTACGGCCCCAGTCCAAGTCCCAAAAAGTGGTGTGAGAGCCTTGTGTAAAAACATCATAGCAGTCCAATATCTCACTCATTGACAGGTCCAATATCTCAGTGCTCTTACATCGACTTTTTTTGACTTTTTTAGTATAGATTTTTAAAGGTATAACAATATTATATATTGTGGAAATGAAATCTTTAAACATTGATAATGTTAGTATACAGTTAAAGTATATCATTGAGGGAGTTAGCAAGATTCCAGTTTCCTGAGGCCAGGACTATTTCTTGAGGCAAAGCTGAGGGAAATATTCTTGGACAAGGGAAACTGGAATCTTGGTAACTCCCTCAATGATATACTTCTTAACTGTTTTATTATACCATACAAAAATAAAATATAGAGGATTTTTTGGATAACCAGGAATTTGGTTTGGAATCGGGGATTAGCTAAATTGACTAAGGCTTGGCAAAAACGGGGAATAGTCCATTTACAGTGATTTCTAGTGAATTATTCAAATCTAACAATCTAATTGTATATAGGGAAAAATCAGTAGAGATATAATATTTTTTAACAGCTTTAAATCTACTTGATCTGAAACTTCTTTTAATCTGTTTTTGTCAGGTGTTCCAAGTACGAAAGATCTCAGGTGCTGATAATGGCAAGATATTTGCCATGAAAGTGTTGAAAAAGGTGAGAATGTCATGAGCTACATAATAAAAAAGAAATGTATATATAGAGGGTATTCAATGTTTTGTAGTTGGATATGGAATTTATTTCACAAGTAGGACAGTGCCTTGCACTCATGAAAGGGAGCAAAAATTGTCTCCTGAGTAAAATAAACTCCAACTATAAAACTTTGAATTTTTTTTTAACATTTTCTCTAGTTTTCATTTTCCCATTTTAGCTGTCTCTTTATTGAAATTAAAAACAATATTGCATGGTGAATATATGTCCACAAGAATGATGGGCACCATATGAAACGTTAAAACTTTTCTAGGGAAATTATTGCCATAGATTCTAAACATGGATCCAACATCAAAAATTGGATTTTCTGTAAGAGATTGCTCCAATCAATTCAGTAGTTATGGTTGTTATTTCCACATTGTGTAAATATCCTTTTTGTTATTTTCATGGTGTTGAAATAACACCTGTGAAAATAACAGTTTGATTCAACTGATAAATCACAGTATTTTACTGTAGAAAATGTAATAGATATTGGTCCATGTACTTTTGCACATATTTTGAGCTTGACAAACTAAGTAAGTAATTCATTTCATATAGTACATTGTTTTATTATATAGTGTATTATACAGTGTATAGTTATTTATTATACTTTATGTTTATGAAGGGTATGATTTTGAAATGTTATATAATATCAATCAAACACTAAAGTTCAAAATATGCAGGAAGTTGAATATCCTGATTTCATTTATGATACAGTGGATAGAGAGAATTTTCCTATCTGCTTTTATATAACAGAGTAAGGGACAGAGAGTCGAGTTGCTTTTAAAACATCCCAGACATATGGATAGACATTCTCCAACTGGAATGAATAAAAAAAAAGTATATACCTGTATATGAGTCAGCTTTACAGATATAAACTGTACAGTTGACAGTTCATGCTTCTAAACTATTTGTTAAGATTACCCAAACAATCATACGTGTATATAAATGTAATTTAATTTCAAAAGAAGTATACAGAAGAGCAATGACCAAATAATTGTACCACAATACAACTGTATTATTTTTGTAGGCCACAATTGCCAGAAATGCCAAAGACACAGCTCACACAAAAGCAGAACGCAATATTCTGGAATGTGTAAAGGTACCTTAATACAAAAATCTTGTTAAACCAATACATGTAATTGTATCACATCAGTCACTTTCAGATAAAAAGCAAAAATTCTCTACAAAAATTGAAACAAGAGAGACAGAAGGAAATTAGAGAAATCATATTTAAGAAACAAAGTCTGTGGCAATTTATAATTTACTTTAATTCAAAATAGTTAAGAGAATTAAAACACAGTTTGATAGATTTTTTTGGAACTTACATTGTACATGTTTATGTATATTATGTGCTGCTTTTTTACTTTACTTCTTATTCACAGTATGTAAAACTATAAATTTCTATATTAAAGCATCCCTTCATTGTGGACCTGATCTATGCATTCCAAACAGGGGGTAAGCTTTATCTGATCCTGGAGTACCTGCCGGGAGGGGAACTGTTTATGCAGCTAGAGAGGGAGGGGATCTTCATGGAGGACACAGCCTGGTGAGAAAGAGGGGTGATAAAAGGGGGTACTTTATTGTTTCCTGTGTAGCATGACAGACATGGTCTCACCTTGTCTGGTGTCTGTGGTACAGATCATTCATGTCTGGGAAGAGTTTCACTTTCACAAAAAACAACCTAGAGATCTTTTATTGCAAATCACATCATTGAAATGATAATCTTGGTATTAAAGATACAAATATCACATGCAGCTTTAATGGTCATTTCATTCTCTTTTTGCCAAAAACTGTACTGTAATAACGTGTGATTTAGGTACCGATAACAACTTCTGATATCCTTGTAACTGGAAAAATCACAAAATGGACATCAAAGTAAATAGATTGAATTCTCTACAGCAACAGATTTAATTTATTCTTGGGTAAAGGTAGAGAAATTAATATAAATGTTCTCTGCTTCATCAGGATCATTCTTTAGAAAATGTTTTCATCTAATATAAGATGCAGGAAGAAATTTTATTTTTCTTGGTTACAGATATAACCATGCCATAATTACTAAAGTAAATTAATGTACAATGTAGGTATTGTTAGTGAAAATGTGAGCTTTGAGCAGGATATGTATGAATCATTAAATTGAGTGATTTTTAATGTAAACATACATATTGTTGATAGAGAGCAATCCATATGCTTAATAATAGAATTTCAAGGAAACTTTTTATCCACTTGTACATATAAATTAAAAAAAAAACATGTAAGCTGTTATACATTGTAGTGTATTGTTTCTGATGGGTTTTAGAGGGAATTTAAAATCATTAAAATTTCTGATATTTCTTTGAAGTACCTGCAGACAACCTATCTTCCTTTGATAAGTTTAGTTTAAATTTTAGTAGAATTTATACATCAAGGACCAATTTCTGGTAGAAACAAATTTACAGTGTAATTTAAATGTCAATTTTCAGTAGGTTTTAGTACTTTCAAAATGAAAAAAATTACCTTCTTAAAAACTGTGATTTATGATATTGATCAAAATATTAAAATATACTTTAGGAGAAAGTATTCTGGTGTTAAATAAGCAGTAAATTTTGGATTCATATATGCTTTAATCAGTCTAGCTTGTATGATGGAACATTGGTTTTAGTATGAGGAGTGTTTGAAATCTGTCAATCTACATGTATTACCCATATGTATTTAGAAAAGATATTCATGTCAAATCCATTTTCTCTTTCAGTTTCTACCTAGCAGAAATCACACTAGCAATAGAGCACTTACATTCTCAAGGCATTATTTACCGAGATCTGAAACCCGAAAACATTCTTCTGGACAATACAGGTAAAATGAAAATAATCATTTAAAACATCTGTTGACACATAGAAAATAAAAATATGTCTATGCCATGTTGAATTTATGTCATATTTTTCAAACAACATTTACATTTATATAACATTAGGCAAAATTAAATACCGTATAAGTGGAAATTTTAGCGAGACATAAATTCAGCGATTTATCCAAAAAAATGGTATATATTTTCAGTGAGAAGTAATTTTAGTGATTTTATAATATCAAGAGAGATAACAAACGATATGGAATAAATTGTTAATGATATTCAATTTTATCGATTTCAGAACCCTCGCTAATAATGAGAAAATTAAATCCTTGCTAAAAATTCTGCTTATACAGTATAAATGTTGTAAAACAAAATGTTAAAACAGAGGAAAAATGCTTGTAGTAGATATCTGATATAAAATGTAGCTGTTTAATTTTATCAGGACATGTAAAGCTGACAGATTTTGCTTTTTTTTTATCAGGACATGTAAAGCTGACAGATTTTGCTTTTTTTTTATCAGGACATGTAAAGCTGACAGATTTTGCTTTATTTTTATCAGGATATGTAAAGCTGACAGATTTTGCTTTTTTTTTTTTAATCAGGACATGTAAAGCTGACAGATTTTGCTTTATTTTTATCAGGACATGTAAAGCTGACAGATTTTGGATTATGTAAGGAGTCTATAAATGAGGGAGGTTTAACTCACACATTCTGTGGAACTATAGAGTACATGTAAGTATAAGTATAAAATATGTAAAGCTCTGTGTTTGCTTTTGAGTCAAATGACTGAATTTACACTTGTGTCTTATATAAATCTGGGTTTTAAATTACATGCAAGCCAAATTTAATCGAAAATCTCTTGTATTTTATGCTGAAAATAAAACTAGATTTACACAAATGGATTAGACCTTATATGAATTATATTTGTGCTCAGTAGCATTTCATTGATTTCAGGATAAAAGGTCCCAAGTGTAGTCAAACAGAACAATGAATATTGATTAAATCAGGCAGTATACATAGATTTTCATATGAAGAAATTAAAACAGATTCACTGAACACAAATATTCATCAAATTAAAAAAACAAACAAACCTTTCAGTCTTCTTAAAGAATCAGTGGTGCATCTATATTCATTGCAAACATTACACCAGGTTTAGATTCACAGAACCTATATTTTTTAACAGAACATCACTGAGATGTGTATAACTGGGGTGCGTTCAACAGCTCTTGAACGGAGAGCTAACGTAGGGAGGGCTAGCATAAATATTTAATGCTAAGTACTAGGGATGGGCGATTTTATCGGTATACCGGTATATCGCTATTTTTTATTGCGTGATATGTATCGTGATACGGATACTAAAATATCGGTTTTTGAAACATAACTGTTCTGGAAATTATTCATTTATCTGTTCAAACTATTGAATGACAATTACAGGAAGTGTAAAAAATGTTAAAAGTAGTTAAACAACAGTAGCCAAACATGCTTTATATTAAATAAATAAAAATTTAAACATTAAAGTTATGTTTTTATAAGATTTTTTAAAGAAATATCATGGAAATTCATTTGAAATAGTAGTAAAAATTGTGTGTAAAAATATCATGATTTATCATGATATTTTTGGGAAAAAATCGTGATATATCACGATACGAAATTTTTGCCAATACCCATCCCTTCTAAGTAACAAATCCAAGATGGCCTCCTTAGTTGAACCTTCACAGCACACTAGATTTTAATAAAACAGGATATTATTTTCTACATCTTAACGAATTAAATGTATATTTACATATATATTTCTGGTTGAAATAAACTTTTTTTGTTTCAAAATATAAGTTTTTACCGATATATTTTATCCCAAATCTTAGACTTTGCAGGTAGGCTAGCTGTCCGTTCAATAGAGATAGATATCTATCACCTAGCTGCTAGGTTAGCCGCTATGATCTTGAACCCAGCCCTGGTTTAAGAATTGTTACTTACTTTAAATAGTAAACCTGTTTTAACACACATATGATAGATATTTGTCACTTTACAGAGATTTTTCAAAAGTAAGACTTCAATTGTATCTGTATTATTTCAGAAGTCCACAAATTTCTCAGTAAATGGTTTTTATCTTGTGGTAACAGTTTTGGAAATAAAAAGATTGAAGTACACTGTATTTTTGTACAAGGCCAAAAACGCTTTTATTTTTTATTGAGCTTATAAAATTACAGTATAACATCAATTGATATTTATTTGATTTGAAAAGTTCTTTTCGTTCACAAAATTCCTTTATGTGATGTGTTTTGTGTCCCTGTGTAGGGCCCCTGAGATCCTAACAAGGAGTGGCCACGGTAAGGCTGTGGATTGGTGGAGTCTGGGTGCACTCATGTATGACATGTTGACTGGAGCTGTGAGTATGCTGATTGGGTTTTTTTTTCACCATTTTATGTTAAATGTGTTCTTGATTTTACAAGTTGTCTGTGTATGCAGTTTTATTTAGTGAAAGTTTTCTTTCCTTTTTTAGCCCCCATTCACTGCTGAAAACAGAAAGAAAACCATTGATAAGGTTAGTTGTTTTGTAGTGATATCTGAAATTGATACAAAGAATGGGTGGACTTAACGCCCTATTTTGAATCTTTTTGCGACTACTCTACCAAGCTGTAAATGAAGTGAATCCCAAATATATTACAAGCAATAGAAAGAGTTACGTATACATGGTTATATTAGGTAGAACATTTGTACAAAAGCAATGCCCTGTTGCCATGAATCAAAATTGAAGCAACGATACATTAACGTCGTCTTCCGGAATTTGGCATGTACCCGGAGTGGTTTTTAGGTCACGTAATCAATATTAATAGGAGGCGGGCCTATCGATCGGCGTCATTGTTGACATCTCTCTCTCTCTCTAGAAATTTGAATATGTGTATGGCATTTACAACGATGTCAATATGAAATAAAAAAAATGGGTTGACACGCAAAATTAAAACATTTAATTTGCTAAATTCTGAAAACGGCAACCAAACACGCTCAAAGACGTGATTTAGATCGAGGTCAGGTTGAAGAATACAAAGTAACTGTTTTCACGAGTACACTCGCAGATGGACATCACGTGATGAATTGTAATATTTAACAGGTCAATCGAAGTCAAATCAAGGTTAACTCAGTCATAACAATGGAAACGAGAAGTTTGTTTTGAACATGTTTTTTGCTAAATTGAGTTTGAGCGCACGTTTGTCGGCTCTTCTCCTTTTAATATGACATTATTTTGTTCAATATACAACTACAGTTTTCTTAAGAACAGCCGACAAACATGCGCTGACTATGTATTCAGACGATGAAAAACGCGTGACCCTGATTATCTATTGATATTCAAGAAATCTTTAGGCACCATGCCTTCGATATTTATTTAGCTTACCTCGAAAAGAGCGTTTTAAATTCACATCTGTACCATGAATACACGGTTAAGATATCGGGGATTTATATGATGGAAAGAAAGAAACATTTTATGAAACTTTCAATTACGGCATTTTTTCTGGCCAGTTAAGTCCACCCATTCTTTGATAATAGGAAATCAAAATGCAAATTACATTATACATGAAATTGTATTCATGAACTTTCCATAAACAAGAATGAATACTTACAATTTAATTTTACAGGTAAATGGTTTTTAATCAGCAGTATTTAAACAATTATTTATAACTTTTTACAGATCTTGAAAGCCAAGCTTAGTCTCCCTCCCTATCTCACGAATGAAGCCAGAGGTCTCATTAAAAGGGTATGTGCAGTTAAAATAGATAGCTTACAATTATGTGTCACCAAAATAATGCTCTTTGAATTTTATTACTTGCTACAATTTTACATTTTATTCAAATTTTTTTTTCAGTTGCTAAAGAAAAGTCCACAGGAGAGATTAGGCGGAGCAGCTGATGATTCCAAGCCAATCAAGGTATGGCAAACATTACACATAAACAATAGATATGTATTAGAGATGAGAATCATTCAGTCAATTGGGGTAAAATGAACACAGAATCATTTTGCTCTTTATAAAAATGTCCACTTGCTCCAATGTTACATAACCTCGTAAAAACTAAACAAAAATAAACAGTTGCTTCAGAAATAACAAATAACATCTGTGCTCATATGAAATTATACAATATGAAACCCAGCATTAAATCTGATATGTAATTTAATATTTCAGCAACATGCCTTCTTCCGACATATAGATTGGAATGATCTTCACCAGCACAAAGTTGAGCCTCCATTTAAACCTTGTGTGGTGAGTGGATCCAGTAAGCTATGAGAAAATATTGAAAATCTTTTCCAGAACTGTTCATATGGCAACATCTCAGTTTGGGACCAAATAATGATCCATATTTTATAGGATTCATATTTCAAGATAAGCAAGGCTCAGATTATGTGCTTTATCTGTAGAGTGCTACACATGCATAAGTGTTTAAATAAGATTTGTCTGGATACTTTCAGATTGATACAGCTGACAATAAATACTGTTTTGATGTATTGATGATACTCTGTTATTTTCTCTTAATAGACCAGTGAGGAGGATGTAAGTCAGTTTGACACCAAGTTTACCAGACAGACCCCTGTGGATTCTCCCGATGATTCTGTGCTCAGTGAAAGTGCCAATCAAGTATTCCTAGTAAGTGTGTCAACTCTTATCTTAAACGTTTGCATATGGTATCCACATTAAGGTGCCTCAAAACCAATTGACTTCTATTTTATTGGCTTCAGAACAGTATGGAATATTCACATAATTTCACTTGAAGTTTTACGGGCATCTATTCTTGTCTGATGACAACATCTCTGAAAAAAATTTTGTTACAGTGAAACCTCATTTTCTGGAACTCGAAGGGACTAAGATAAATCTATGAGATATTCGAGGATTTAAGATGAGGTTTAACAACATATCGATGTTCGAGATAATGAAGTTCAACTGTACTTATAACAGTTTATGTTGATTTCTCTTAAACCTTTAAAAATTCAGATAAACCTTGTTGGTGTATTAACATACATATACTGTAATTTTGGTGACTTCCATTTTTAGACATATTTCTTGTCTGGACTTGATAAATAGTAGTACATGTAGTTAAATATTTTTCAGGGTTTTACATACGTTGCTCCTTCAGTTCTAGAAGAACTAAACAAACCATGGATTTCTGAGAAAGAGCCCCGATCTCCACGTAAAGTGGGAACAAGTTTTAAAGCTTCCATGAGGTATTTGGTTTCATATTGAGACAACTAAGGGATATGTTGAGTTTAATATTTTGGTGCAGGATTAGAGACAACTCTTGAGTTAAAGTTTAAGTTGCATTATTTTTATGATTTTCTTGCTACATATTTATTAGAAAAGAGTTTCTGTCACTACTAATGTAGAAACTGAAACAGTCAAATATAATATCAGTGACTTATATACAAAAAACTTTTGTTATAAAAGGACTGTAAATTTAATTTTTGTCATAGTCTTAAATTGTATTGTGATACAGTTGGTCATTTTTTTGGTTATTTTAGACATTCTGTATTATACTTTTTAGTCCCCATCAAATAAATCTAGTGGAAGGGTTCAGGGTGGCTGGACATGTTAATGGAATGGACGACGTAGAGGTCATGGACACAACAACTACAACCATCCCCAAAAGATCCACCTCCCCAGCAATCGCCACCAAGAATACAGCCTACAAACAAGCTGCCTACCCCGGGAGCCAGAACCGCCCCCCTCACCTTAGGATGAATTGACTAGGGGCCTTTTTTAGGAAAAAATTAGGATTTAATAAATAATTTTCTTTATTTTATTTTTTAATTGCAGGTTTATTGAAAACTGCTCTAGACTTACAGTGTATATTTATTGAAACAGAATGGCTTGTGAAGTCAGGAATTTGGTTCTCAAGCTTCGTCATTGATGCTAAAATGTACCAATTTTTTTTTCATAGTGTGTTTTTGTTATAATAATATTTTTAAGATGCTTGATTAGTTACCTAGAAATGTAAAATTTGTAAATTATCAAATTTTCCTTGTGTTGTTTTTGTTTTAAGCATGTTTTAAAAGTACTTGTTTAGTTACCAAGAATTGTAAAATTTATAGACAACTAATTATTGACTGACCAAATTGCAATACAAATTTATGTATCAGGTATTACCAAGAACTTTTGTGGCCATGTAATTACATGTGCATTTGTATTGAAAGCCAAAAAAAAAGAACCTTGTAATTGACAACACTAAGCTAGATGTGTACAGTATTAAGATCACTTTAAATAGCACTCTTGTTTATGATAAATATCTGCTTATGACAGATTCATCTCAAAGAAATACATGTTCAAAGTATTGAAGCTGAATTGGAAATACACATGTAATTAAGAAAAGACTTTATTATTTTCTCCATGAATATTTGGTTTAACAAATTATACTGTATGCTATCGTGAATTTTTAAAAGAATTGCTTTTGAGAACATTTTAAATTTTTTCACGGTTTTGTGTAATGATTTACTGAAGGAAAAATATGCCTGTTCCAGAGAGTAATTTATCTAGACTTTCCATTATTTAAAAAAAAAATGCCAAATATTAACTAATGTGAATACTGTTTCCCTGTATCCATGATTTCCATTTAATATTTTAAAAAATGGCAACCAGATACTAAGTGTAGTTTATACTAAAAAGCTTCACTTGACAGCGATATTAAATATGATATTTTCCTATGTCTTTTCAGAGAAGCATTCACCGACACAAACGTGATTTAATACACCTTTAATATATGTCTTGAGTAATTTTGTTACTGTATATTCTAGAATTTGTCAATATGCAGTCCCACTTCCACAATATAGTAGGACAGTTTCATACATATGATGATTTTGTTGTATTAAGCTTGTATTTACAGATACCACAATTTCAGATCTTTACTTCTATATTTTGCCATTATATGGCTGTATAGATCATGTTTAAATTGCACTGGGTAAATGTTCATCTGTCATTTCATATCCAGAGCAGTGGTGTGATCTTAGGCTTACTGTGATAATTTGCTGCTGTTCAAAATTAGAAGAATGATTTGATTTGCACATTTTACGGATATAAATTGTTGGGAGGCAAGGTCTTGGATTTATTGGAAGAGGAATGTTTATTAATTTTAGGAATTGTTTCTGTATTCATTTAATTTTGTTTGCTTTATGACTTAGGAATACATTTTGTACAAAATCATAAATGACACACATTTTGATTGTCTTTCATAGATCTATTGTAATTTAATGCCTTTAATTTAATGAATACTTTCTAATATGATAAATTACAAAAGAACATAATGCATTAAAAAATCCTAGAGTAATAATTTTTTAAGAACAAATGCAATAATATTTTGATTTTGAAATGGTCAACATTTATGTATGACCACTAGAAAGATGCCCACTGCCAGTATACACTTGAAAAAATTCTTTTCTTTCCATATTTTGTTGAATGTGCAAACAATTTGTGTATTAGTACTTTTGGCTGTGCCAAATGGAGACAATTAATTACCAAGAAAGCTGAACACCTTCTTTGTTTGGTTGATTTTTATTTTATTTTTTTTTTTTTAATTTTTTTTTTTATCATTAATTTATGTTTGATGTGTAATAAATTGTTAGAACAGAATTTGGATGATGGAAAATGAAAGATAGGCCAGTTATATTGTGTTCATGTAATTTGTGTTATTTATAGCACAACTTCTTGTCGAAAATGTATAAGGTAGATTGGCCTTAGATGCATTGATACAAATATGAGTAGAAAGAGGGAAGAAAGTTTTTCTCAAGATGATTAGAGAAGCTGTAGCTTGTGTTGATTTTTTTGTTCTTATTTTTATTTTTGTCTGCACCCCTCAGCAATTCATCACCTGATATACCCAGGCAATCATAAGTAATATATTTTATTGTTATTTTATTTCCAAGTGTGCACCAGTGAAAGCTGGAGCTTTATTTTTGTACAAAGCTTCATCTTAATTGTTACTGCATAGTTTGTCATTTGTACAAAAAAAAATTCTATCAGGATATTCTTCCTGTTTTGTAAATATTTGAATCATGGTCTAATTGTTATAAATTTTGTCACAGATATTTTCTTGGTCTACATTTCATCATATAATTTTTTTCTTCAAATTTCCATTTCATCGACCTGGATGAAAGCTATTCTTGGAAATTTTCTTGTATCAATATGGCTATAAATCTCCAACAGTAATAATGTTTCAAATTAGAAAATTATGCCGTATTCATTTCTTAACAACAATCCCTTCAATAGTTTTATAGTGATATGAATTCTGTATTATAAGCATGGAATACATAAAAGTGCACAAGTACATGTACATACAGAATATAAAAAGAACACTACTGTGAATATCTCATTTTACATTTTAGCAATGTTTAATTCAAAGAATTCCCTTTATGATAGTTAATGCAACTTCAATCAAAAATACTATGAATTGCACCTGTCAATGGAGGATTTTTTTTGTTGCTAATGTAAACTGGTTTTATGCACTGCTGTTTAAAAGCATTCTTACTTTGTTGGATGAAAGAGGAGAAATCTAATTTATTGTATGAGAGTTTTAATTTTCTGATCATTTTATTTTCTGTAGCAGGTTATCCTCATTTTTAAAAAAATATCATTTTAAAAATTGATAATTAAAAGCAATGAAATAAATCATGTGGAAATGCATTTGGCCTTGTGTTTGTGAGAAATTGCATTTAATGTTTTTATTAGGGATGGCAATTTGTAATCGGTTAACTGATTACTTGGTCGGAACGATGGTAATTGGTTAGAAAATCTGTAGTTGGTTAGTCAAAAAAATGAAATATAGGTAAATTTGAACACAAATTTAGCATTTTCACTTTATCTATTTAAGCTGATTTGGAGGTAATTTTGACTCATCGGGTTGAGATCATGGGATAATTGGTCAGTTTGTGAAGATTCATTGTTTAAAACACCATGCCGTTACATTGACTGTCCTGTAATTATTTATATGATATTAAATGAATCACCATTGAGCACTGTGAATTGGTATGGGTATCTTTGCAGTTATCTATCAAATTATGTTTATACACAAACATGGTAAATTAAGTGATAGTTCATACTTAGTTTTGATTATGGTAACAATGCAGATTGAACTTGTGTGACATCTGATCTGGAAAATTAACAATGTCTGATTTCTCAGGCATGTTTCATGGTTTCTTAATTTCTTTTCTTGTGTACTGAAATAAAATATGTATTCATGTATAGTTTTCTGATCAAGATAGAAGTTTCTAACTTTAAACATCTTTTGTAGTCTTCTTGTGTATATGAATAGAACTACTTTGGGGGGGGGGGGGTACTGTTAAACATATGTCGAGAACATGTAAATATGTATTTTGATATGATTAATCGGTCAGAATGGGTTGTGGTTACAGATTAGCAAATATATATTCGATTGCCATTCCTAGTTTTTACCAATAAAATGAAATGAGCAACATCAACAAAATGAAGTTAAACATGTGAACAATCTGGTAGATTACTATGTAAGAATTTATACATGTTTTATTGAATACTGCAGTGGGAGAGGTCCTGGGCTGTGACATAATCATGGTTAGGCCCTAGGGGTTAGATACTGGACCATCATAAATGGACCCAACTGGAAAAATACATGTATATGTTATTTAACATTGAATAATTCCAATAGAAGGAGAAAACAACAAATAAGGTTGTGTAAAAATCAAGTGTCTTGAAAAGTGGGAACTAGCTAAGGTTCCAGCTAGTACCATAATATTGTTACTCAGCATTAGATATGTAAGCTAACATTCATTATGCAAGGGCTAGGCTAGCAAATCACTCAAGATAGCAGGGACCAAATATTAAGGCTATGGTGAAAAAGAAAACAAAAGTATTTTATCCCATTCTTATTTTCCCCTAAAATGTAAATTAAGCCCTTTCTATTGAAATTACTGTAAATGTACTTACTGTAAAATAACTTATTTTTGTGGGGTCGAATTTTCGTGGTTTGAGGTAAAAATATTGATTCAACGATTTGATTTTGTGGTTGAGAAAGAAACATCGTACTGGATTTAAAATTTTCATGGAGGGACAAGATTTTTTTTTTTATCTCTCCATAAAACCCACATGAAAATTTGTGATTTCACAGTAATTTAGCAGCAATGATTCTTTAGTGTCTTTGTGCTGCTGCAGTGTCTCTCTGTTATTTCAAAACAAAAACTTTAAAAAAAAACTTTGCTCCAAATGAGCTAATTTATGATTATGCTTATCAGTTGATAAGGAAATCTGTGGTAAAATAGTGCATTATTTTGCATTAAAGTTTTATTTATTTTGCATTAAAGTTTTTTTTAATTGTACACTGTGTATGTTAGTTAGAATAATCTAACTGTGTCTCGGGACAAGCCCTCACCTTAAACCGGGTCCGTAGGACAATATCATTTTAACGATAGAACGTTCTATGTGTATGTATGTGCATGTATTATTATTTTACAGGAAAAAATAAGGTCGCCTTCGAAGTAGGAAGACGAGTGCCTTACATGTGTTGTATAGACCATAAAGGTCCCTTCCGTCCTTATCTAGGGGAGTGCTAACCTTCTCTCCTTTCTTACAACACGCCTCACAATGCGACTTGAATTAGCATTATATGCTCAGATTTAAATTATATTAAGAAAATAGTGTAAGAAAAATAGATAAGCATTTTCAAAATAAATAAGGAATAAATATTCAATATACTTCTTTTTGATAATTAAAAATAAAGTTTAAAAAATCTCGTTTATTCATTGTTTAAAATTCTGAAAAGAATATATTGTTTGAAATTATTTATTTTTTTAAAGAAATATTTAATAAGGGACGCTACTCTGTAAAATACCGGAAGTTAGAAACTGAAAGTAGACAATGTTTTGAAAAACAACAAATTACTCCTGGTCAGACATCTGATGAATTAGATAATATAGTAATTTACGATAAGTTTCAGGATTTCAACAAGTTAATCCGATCGAACAAACACATTCTCAACGCTGCACAGCAACCGATGCAGGTGGAATTGAGAGGTTTTTTTTATCAGTTAATTTGTAGTAGATCAAACTCGACTTGGAAATACTTATCCCAGTAAGGAGGAAAAAATTATCCTTATCCAGCCACCTGGATTCAAAGGTTATAAATGCCTGTAAAAAGTTTATAATCACCAAATTGTATTCATACATCTAAGATCGTATGGAAAACCACAGGATGGTTTAACCCCACCCCCAACACACATTTTTTTTTAGACACGATATCAAAAATACATTAATTCCTAACATACCTTGCGTACATTATGATATTATTTCCCATTCCCATCACTTAACAGGAGGAGGAAGTTTTAGAGTTTGTGATTATATAATTTTATCATCAATTTCAGTTTTATCACGGATATAAATACTTGGGTGTGGGGAAAACTGCATAATTTTTAAAGATTCAGAAGATGAGTATCTCAATACTCATCACCTTTATAAAGGTCTGACCAATACATTAATGGAACTGTTTATGGAATTAAGCTCAAACCATGCAATCTTCAATTATATGAGATCTAGTGCACTTGACTTCTCATTTCTTATGGTAATATAAAGATGATTTTATTACAATTAACATAATAAATATTAAAGCCTTGATGACTAGTTACTTTAAGTTCATTACAGTGTAGTGGTTTTGGTTCTATGAACCATGGATGTACAGTGTAGCCCTTGATAGCTCAGTGCTCTGAAGATCTGCTTACTAAAAATGCAGGAGTCCCATGTCCCCTGGAGTAGCAGGTGAACTTAGTCAAGCCAGGGGTTAAGGAATCTGGGTCGTGTTTCTTCAAGGGTGAAGACAATATAAGGATGGAAGAATGTGGTTTGATCTATATGGACCGAGGTTATCAGCCTTCATAGCTCAGTGATTAGAAGCACCTGACTATTAATGCAGAGGTTCACGGTTTGATTCACGGTCCAGCCATAATTTTTCTACTTTCTTAATTGTTACATTTAGTGCCATTGACCATGTTCCCTGGACTTGCAAGTGAAAATCTGCGAAGGGCTAAAGAGCCTGTGTTGTGTGTCTTCAAGAGCAAAGAAGGTTTAAGGAGGGAAGAATGTAGTGGTTTGCTGTAAAATTATTGACATCGTTTTCATTTTTCCTTTGAGATCCGAGGTTTTACAAAACACAAAAGCCTTGTCAACCAGCAAGTCTTACCTATACATCAAAACGATGTCATTTAAGGACATTCGAGGTCTCTTTGAAAATCTATCTATTCACAAAATCATTACTAACATATTGGCATCAAAAGTAGCATTGATTTTTTGAGAAAGTAAATTTTTTTAAGCAACCTGAACCAAATTTTTACTTATAATGTATTTTCAATATAATATAATATAAACTTATAACATATCACTTTCAAAAAAATTTCTCTAACTGCATCATTTCAGAGCAATGTTTTAAACTGAATCATTTATTATGAGTATATACAAAAACATGTACATGGTATTAAATTTTCATGATCAACAAGAACAAAGAACTGAAAAAGACAGATTTATTATGAACAATTGTATAAAAAGAAAAAAAAATCTGTATTACATCACAACTGTCACAAATCACAGCGGCATGCACCGGCTGCAATCATCACTTGCGACACTTCCACTTTGTACTTGTACTAGAAATTACATTGTATTCTACATAATGTCATAATGTACAAGTCATTCAATCGATCTCTTCACACTGTACAACCATGTTCTAGCCACCGCATGGTATCTGAAGCTAGCTGCATTTTTACTCTACCTTGGTCATTTGTGGAAACTTAGATGATTATGGACATCCAATCACAAGACTAAAATGAAAAAAATAATATGACTTAAAAAAAAATAATTTAGATATATAAGTCTTTCATAAACACAACAAGCTTTTAATTATGACAATTTTCTATATGAATTATGCAAAGGTACTTTGAACTTTGTGATAATGACAAGAAACCCCTCTAAAAGAAGCTTTAAATGTGATCACAGAAAAATAATTCATTACCTTGCATGACATCAGGAGATTCTGTGGTCCCAGGTCTGATACGACAGAAAAGGTAGGTGGGGTGTCACATGTATTTTCATGAAGTTTCACTCCCTCCTCTAGCAGCTTCTTAACATTTACAAGGGTTAAACAATCTTGCTACAAATTAAACACAGTTTTAAATTTATGAAAAGTCAAAAATATTTATTTTTCTTTACATCAATGTTTAAAAAACATACACTTGAGATATGTGGCATAAATGCCTCCACTGATATTCTTAATATTTGAAAGAATAAGGATATGAGAATACAAAAGGGTGGAAATGAGACAAAAAAGACTAATGCAGTTTTTGTTTTCTTGAATTGCTCGTAGTTCTCAATACCACAACATACTTTAGCTGCATGAAAATGGTGATCATTACAAACACATTAAATAAAGGTCCAAAAAATGCTGAATAAACAAAAATTTCAAAATCTAAGGGCAACAACTTTTGGGAGAATGGGTCAATTAACATGAAACTTGAACTTATAATCTACAAGCTCAGCAAAAAAAAAAGGGGGGGGGGTGAAAATTAGATATTATCAAAGTTTAAGGAATTCACTTTCATTAAAACTGGTTCAATCAATATGAAACTTGAACTTGATCTGAAAGTCATCAATATGAAGACATACCAAAAATCAGCTCTTTTTCTAAAAGCACAGCAAAAAAAAAAAAAAAAAAAAAATGGAAGTAAGAAATTTTTAAGGTCTAAAGGTAATAACTTTAGGAAAAATAGATCAATCAATGTGAAACTGTAATTTGATCTGTAAGTCATAATTATATACATGTAAAGACACATATATATGTGCCAAAAATCAGCTCATTATCTATACTTGCACAGCAAAAAAGAAAAAAAATCAGGAAAAGTAATTATGATGGATGGAAAGGGGTTACACTATATGCCCCAACCACTTTATGGTGGGGACATAAAAATCCAATCAATTTATTAAAAAAAATCAATCACAATGGCATAGAAGAATTAGGGTATAATTGGGTCATCATTTTGTAAGGAAGTTGAAGCCAAAGGATGATGTATGATTAATTCAATGAATGTCTAGCACCATTTAATATGTTCTTTTCAGTTTTGTATATTTATATGAGCTTAATTCCATGTTTATTTAAAACATTCAAACATATTACCATAGCTTAGTATAGTAATTCAGCAGGCAAAATATACCCAGTTAATTTTTGAATTACACATATTTTTTTAAATAATAACTGTGCGATAATATGTATACCGGTACTTATTACTGACAAGTATTATTTTCTACTTACTTCAGTATCAACTCTGACTCCACATTTACAAAATATCACAGATTTGTTTTGCAACATGCAATTCCTTAAAAAGAAAATAATTGGAATGAGAATAATATCTACATTTTTCTAAATCATTTTGGTAGTAAATGAGTGGTATTTGATTTTTTTTTTTATAAAAAATATGCCATTTTATTGATATCCAAATGAAAAACCAAACATTGAAAATAACATGGAATCTAATTTCAAGAGTACATGTATCTATCTATCTATCTATCTATCTATCTATCTATCTATCTATCTATATATATATATATATACAGGGTTCGACACTAACTTTTTAAGGCTTTAGTCCAGCCGGACTAGTGCTTCATTACTTTTACTAGTCCGCACGCGATTTTATTAGTCCGTCAAAAAAAAAAAAGAAGCATCAATGTTTTTTAACATTAATTTAACATGACAATTAATATACGTATTATTTTTTGAAATAAACAAAGTATTTACGTGAAATATATTATTCCACAGATTCATGAAATCTCGCAATCAGCAAGTACGATCGTATTCCTGATCTCGTTTTTTTTTTATCTTTACATTACATCCAAAACGTCCAACATCTTTCTTAAAAGTGTCATACTAAATCATGATCGCTAAAACCTTATACTTCATATTGATCAGTCGAAAAATTAAGCGTTGAATTGACCCGGTATTGCGTAACTCCCGCCAAAAGCTAGAAATCTAAAAATACACGCGGGATTTCTTAGTAAAAGTTGTCGAGAATCGGACATCGGTAATTTATTCATATTCTTTTTCAATTTTTTATTGGTCCGTTCGGACTAATTAGCCACATATTTTATTAGTCCGAATGAAAATGTATTAGTCTGAGACTAACGGACTAACGTTAGTGCTGAACCCTGTATATATATATATATATATATATATATATATATATATATATATATATATATATATATATATATATATATATATATATATATATATATATATTGGTAAGAGTAATAATTACTTTTGACACACAGGACAAATGACATCTTCTGCTGACAAACTCTCAATGGCTGAACACAGTGCGTCCTCTTCCTGGCGTAAGCTGACCTCATACTTCTCAAACTCTGACAACATCTTCAGTTCTAAGACATAAATAATTTTTTAAGTGGAAATACTCAATCAAGGTTGACAGAATTTTAGAGGACAAGGATTCACCTATCAGGTTTTTAATATTAACGTAAGCATGCCATACCCTCTTGACGGAGTTCCTCCTGAATATCTTCAAAGAGATTCAGTACACTTTCAATATCAAAATCAGCAGCAGAAAAATCATCCATCTATGAGCAAAGATTTTCAAAAATCATATATCAATCTCATATAATTCAGAATAAACTTAAAATGAAACAAATTACAGTGATTCAAATCACTGGATGAAGTAATATTTCCCGCCTTTTTCTGCAGAAAAAGTTTTTAATAAGAATACAAATTACTTAATACTTCCATAGATAACATACATTCAAAATATTTTCTTCTATCATTGGACTGAAATAAAGTAGTCAATACAGTGTATCAGGTGAGAGAATACAATTCCAAGCATCATATTGTACCTCCACATCAAGTTTCTCCTCCCCTGAACACAAATTCTTCTGCATTGTCTGAAGCTCCTCCCTCATCAGATCAGTTATAAATTCATCCTTTTCATTCGTGGTTGTGTTGATGTTACGGAACTTCTCCTGGAGTTTTCCTCTGCTTTCTCTCAGTCTGGCCATGCATCTCTGTATTCAAAAAAAATATATGAATTTGAACCCTTATGTGCATTACCGGTACATCATAATTATTCTCTTTCATTTTGATCTAGCTCTATATCAGAACTAAAATTAAAATAACTTTCAGGAGTTTCTTTCCATTCAAAGTTCAAGAATCAAAGAATAAATACACCACCTCATATACATATGGCCTTAATTGTTTACCTAATTGTTCAATAATTATTTAAGCTTTATATGGCGTATCTGAGCTAAAAAAATAAAAATACAAATTTGAGTGTATATGAACATGATATGTCATTGAAATTTAAAATTTTCAATGATTTTGAACTTGAATAACCTCATGTTTCCATAGTTAAAATGACCTTAAACTATGTCTGTTATTTAAATGCGGAGTTGGTAAATAAATCATTTATTGTTTTAAATTTCTAATATCTTTGAAGCATGATTGATTTAAATTGTGTAATTTACAGGAAAGACCTATCTTTATATAAAGTAATAAAACAAATAGAAAGATCTTTTTAATTTTAATTAGTCTGAACTTGTAAAAAATATGCCATATTTGACTTTAATATAAAGGCTTATAATAATAAAACTTTATTGATTTTTTTTAACGTTTTCAACAATTAACAATTTTAATGGTTTAAATAATCATATGGTTAGTGTATAGTATATGATAATTTTTTAGTTAGGCTTCTATACTCATACACATGCAAGTACCTTTCTGTAGGTTTCTTTCCATGGGGGAGTTCTAGCTTTGTACAGAGCCCTGTGATCTTTCCTTGTTTTGTCACTTACTGACATACTCTAGCTCTCTTTCTACAAAACAAACTGTTGGGTAATCTCAAACTCATGGTCATATATTACACATGCAGTTTATGTACAATTAATTAAGGTAAATTTCTGACAGATTAATTAATAAAAATGATCATATTTGCTCCTGGAGTAAGACACTTTCTGATATCTGAAATTAACTACAATTTTAAAATCAGTTTTTTCATACATACATGTTATATTTATTCACATTTCTATATTATATTGACACAACTGTGTCTCCATACAATAATTTGGCTCCAAATGATAAAGTGCAGAGATTATTTATGTCTCTGGTTCAATGAATAAAAATGATAGGCCTATCAACGATATGAAAATTTGTAAGGTTACTCACGGTGTAGAATGAGTCCGCGATCTAACCACAAAAAATGTTTTTTTTTAAGTAGCTCAACTGTTCAGTCAACTTTCTGTCTTCAATGTTTCATATATTGGATTTATTCCCCTTTGAACACTAAAACTGATGACGTTTTGCGCAACAGAAAGCGAAAACAGACGACTGAGACGCCTTAGTTGTAAATGTTTATGTTATAACAGTTTTTATTTTGAAGCGATCGACAGAGGCTGATCAAAATCCGTGATTATGTAATACAACTCTAGTAACATCCTAAATTTGTTTTGATTTGGTGTTTATTTTGGAGAAACTGATTTGCAGAACTGTCAAACTCAGGGGGAGTGAAAATGTCTGGTGAAACGAAAACATTCAGGTATGTCTTTTGTAAAACTGCATTATATTTTACTTGCGTCACTCAGATATCTGTTCAATCCGTCCTGTTGTCCATAAACTTAGAATATATTCAGCCTTTTCCCTGAAATGACTGAGTCAATTAGGCAATTTACGTGTAATTCTTGGAGACTAGCTTCATGAATATGATAATGAACAATTAAAGACAACCCTCACAAATTGTAAAATTCATGTCACATGAGCCAAGAGTTTTTGGGGGATGGGAGAGATTTTAAGGCATATCATACTAGACTTCAACATGGGAGAGGGGACTTCACTCAGAGTTGCTGAAAATGAAATTGAACATATTTTTTCTATTGTACATTCATATATTCAACATTGTGTTAGACTCAATTGATTATTGATTATTCTTGTGTTAAGTTAATGTGTATCAGCAGTATATTCATGTTTAGCATTGATTTTGATATTTCTTTTGTACAAGCTGTGGGACACATGAAGTTTAATTAATTTTCGTGAAATTTCAGGTACAGAGCTGTCAAATTAAGTTTAAATAACTTGTGCCCATGCAATACCATTGTATATACATTTGTATTTATAACAATTAAATATGTTCAAATTATAATCATGATAATTGTTTGATATTCAGTTGACCATAAGGCCCAATAAGTAGAATTATGTCTTCTTGCTCTTGAATTTTACATACAATTATAGTCTGTATGAAAAGGTAATATAGTTTTACAGTTTATAAAATATTTCATTGAAGTTTGAAATTAGTGACCTGGAATGTAGGAGATGAAGAGCCTCTGGCAGATTTTACAGAATTGTTGGATCTAAAGGCAGATTCTCTACCTGATATTTATGGCATAGGGTAAGCATTTATCATCAACATTTTATAATGATAAGTTGGACAAATTCCAATTTCCCAGGGTGAGAAAATAAAAATTCATGGTCACTTGTCCCAAAGTACAATGACAAAATGCTGCCATGTTATTTTTTGCCATGCTAAATACATGTAATGAAGGTTTAAATAGATAATAAGGTAATATTAATTTTAAAAAAAAAGATGCAATGCATATTCTTCATATTATTATTAAACAATGAACTGAGGTATTATTTAGTTACTTGAATAAACCTCAGAGCATTAGTGTGACAAAATTTTACCCATCACCAGGGGACAAGATGCTGAAGCGAAGTTGAAATCAAGAACAAACTGTCCCTCCATTTCTCTGCAGCTACATTATGATGACTTCCAGTTTATTTGCGTTAGTTGTTCCCTTCAGTTCTATACTGGTCATGTGACCTGAAGGGTATATAAGCTAAGACAGGAAAGTTAAAGTAACACTGATCAGAACAGAAGAGCCAGACTTGGTAGGTACTATGAGTGATACCTGAATAACCCATGCTTCAGTCCTTCCTGTACGAAATGTTCCACCTGGAAAATAGGGGGAATAGAGGTGTACTTTGAGAAGGATTCCGGGCGTCAGTTTGTCTCACTACATATATGGTGATATACAGGTTCTGGGCATAAACCAAGAAGAAACCAAGCGGAATTGTGCAGAAATTTGAGGCGAAAAATGCAAATGAGCTACGCCCGGAAAAATAAATGATGCCTGGAAACTAAAATGATGCCTGAAGCAGAATTACGCCTGGAAAGTCCTTATTATTATGTAATAATATGTGACTTAAAAGCCTATTTAGCCAAGAAATGCAAACTTATGATTTAGTCATTTACAATGTTAAAGTTGAAAATTTAGCCATTTGAACTGTAAGAAAACATAATGACAAGTCATTAACATCTAAAATTGTATGAAAATATATGAAAGCTGTTTTATGTCTTTGCATAAGGGACACTGAGACATCATCAGGAGTGTAAAATAATGCCTATAGGAATTTGATAAACTTTTTGAAATTCTTTTATCACTCCAGTGATGACAATGAATCAAACAAAATACTTACTTGTAATACAGTTCATAAAATAATATTTTACTCAGTACTTTACAGTTTTAGTGCCTCTATGTCATCTCCGAATGTGTTCAAGGAAACTCGAATAATCTAAAGAGTCAATAATAATCATTGTACATTCAAATTTACCTAAATAGGTACCAGATATTAATTATCACACCTACCAGCAGATGCTGTGTCATCCAGAACAAGTGTAAAAGCCTTAACATTGATATATCTGTATTTCCTATTTCACTCACACTAAACTCCCTCCTTCCTGATGTAATTCAAACTTAACCTCCTATCTGAAATGACCCTTAATTGATAATTAAATGGACCAATCAGAGGCTTTTACTCCTCGAGAAAGTTCAAGGAGTAATGTTTGTTTCAGTTTTCCTGCTATTTTACGCCAGGGAAAATCTGAAGTTGCAAATTGACGCCCGGAAAGTAGAAATGACGCCTGGAAGACGCCTCTTCTACTCAGGCGTAACTTTTCAAAAGTCTGTCTCCGTCTCAAGAATGCCCAGAATTAGCCAATTTCTGCTATATTCCACCCATATTCTAGGTGGAATCCGCCTTTAAATTTCATACAGGTTGGAAGGTGCATGCACTCCAGAGAAATGGCAGGGATATTGTAAATACACATGTATTGCTAATTTAAATATGTGATTGAGATCTCTAAATTTTACCTGATTAAATTATTAGAAAACTTATGCAGAAAACCAGGTACATGTATAAGAGTATCCCAAAGCTCAAACAGAGGGGGAATCTTTCCCGCAACAATAGCTGTTGACGGTCAGATTTATAACAGTCAAATGCCATAAACAACCTGGAAACCATACAGTGCAATGATGTCTGCTCATGCTTGACAATTAACTTCTAATATGTTCAAAGATTAGATTTTTTTTTTACATATTATATTCCCAATTAATGCATCAAGAAATTTATTGTAAATAATTTTGGTCTAATACCGTATTGATCAATTCACATTTTCAAATATCAAACTATTGAATTGTAGATTGCAGGAACTGGTATCAGGAGAGTTTGCTGCATACAAAAATTCATGGACAACTCTCTTTACAGATATTCTAGGCCCCAAGGGATTTTGTCTGGTAAAGTTTTCTATATTTCAGTATAAAAGAAAAAATCAAAGAATTCAGTAATTCAAAATTTTGTGCTAATAAATAAAAAATTGGATACTCAAACAACTGCAGTTACCAGTAAAACATACATGTATTGCAAAAAAAAGAGGTGGCTTAAATTTTCAGTTTAAAAAAAGAGAAGGAGAAGTCAGAGAGAGAGAGAGAAAAAAAAATATAATTGACAGGTATTCTTGAAGTACCTATTGTATATTACTTGGTACTACTCAGTAATAAATTTTTATTTCAGATAAAAGCAGTGAAAATGCAAGGCCTTCTCCTTATAGTGTTTATTAAGAGAGAGTACCTTCTCTGTGTAACACACATAGAGTCTGAGACTTCAAAGGCGGGGATGGCAGGATGGTGGGTGAGTGTTACCAATAGCTGTCAGTGGGGATGGGTAGAAAGGCGGTGCAAGTAAAGTATATACATTAAATTACATAAATAAATCTCAAGAATACGATTATTATGGCTAACTGGTGGTTTTTATATATTTTAGTATATTATGGTGATTTTATAGTATTGGTAGAAATCAATGTAAGAAATTAATTAACAATGAAATTTTAAAAAAAATTCAGTTTTAGCTCACGGAGCCATATAGACTCAAATAAGACTTTCCGATCATCTGATTCTCTCTTTCTGAATCTGTGCACATCAAGGAAGACTTTTTTTTACATTTATATATCATTTTGTCAAGAACAAGTATGCCAGTTTCAACTAAACTTAGTGAAAAATATTTTTGAGTGTAGAGGATTCAAAATACTTGTTCTATTAATATTACTGACCATGCAGTTTAATTTCAATGTTTTGATTTTGTTTTCTCAGTTTATAACTTTTAAACTTAACAAATCTTTACCCGTACATCATTAATTAACAGAAACATAACTTTAAATTCAAGCATATAATCAGGAAAGAGAAATTTCAAATATAGTCTGCAGTATGTCTGCCACATTTAATATTATTTACATTTAGTTATTAGATGTTGGAGTTCTATATATCTCTGCTATCTTTGTTTCTGGGTTGGGGTCATTGTGGGAATTCTCTGAAAGAACAGTGACTCAAGTGAGCGTTATACACCAAGAACTTTTTTATTAGAATAAAAATGTAGAATACTGTGAAGAAGATTTATCTTGGTCTTTGATGTTTTAGGGAAACAAAGGAGGAGTCAGCATTCGATTTGATCTCAATGGAGTAAATCTTATCATTGTTAATTGTCATCTGGCAGCTCACATGAACAACTCAGCTGAAAGGATCGAGGTATTGAAGTGATTAAAGAAGTCAGTTCAAAAACTGCTTTGGTAATATTTCTTAATTCTCTGACTGGAAACCTTTGTGAAAACAAGATTTTTTTTTTTTTTGCTGCAAAAATCTTAATATTTTAGATTGAATTTTTTTTCACAGGATTTTTTCACTGTTCTGGATACTCAGAAATTCAGAGATAAAGATGTAGATCATATATTAGATCATGAGTAAGTACGATTATTAGAAAGAAAATAAAAGGATATCAGCAGTACATACTGTACACTTTGTGTAGATTTTTAAACTGTTGGTGTTTTACTGTATATATTTTTAACAGGCTTCCTATCTACCAGCCAAGGCATTTACCCTCCTTGTCTGATCACCAGTGTATTGACATGTTTGTTATCTGCTTGATAATTTTTAGCTCAACTGAGCCAAAGGCTTAAGTAAGCTTTTCTGATTAAATTTGTCAGTTGACATCATAAACTTTTCACATTTTCATCTTCTTCTCTAGAACCACTGAGCCAATTTCAACCAAACTTGGCACGGAGTATCCTTGGGTAAAGGGAATTCAAATTCTTCATATGAAGGACCAGGCCCTCTTCCAAGGGGAAAATTTTAAAAAAAGTGAAAATTGGGTGGGGTAATTTAAAATCCTCTTCTCAAAACCACTGGGCCAGAAAAGATGAAATTTATGTGAAAGCTTTCTTGGGTAGGGCCACTTTGGGCGATCAAAGTTTTACAAAGGAATACTTAGGAAAAAAATAAAATTTTTCTTTTCATGAAAGCAAGGTCATGATTAGTCATATTTATATGAAAGCATCCTCAGTTAGTGTAGATCCAGGTTTGTTAAAATCATGACCCCCAGAGGTAGGATAGGGCCACGATGGCCAATCAAAGTTTTACATAAGAATATGTAGGAAAAATCTATTAGTCTTCTTCAAAACAGCAAAGCCATGATTAATCATATATGTATGGAAGCATCCTCATTAATTTCCCATGAATATTAATTCATTTTTTTTAGTAACTACAGAGTAAAAAAATTCTTTTATTAGTTTTGTGTTTTGGATGGGAGATCTCAACTTCAGGATTGACAATTTCACAAGAGAAGAAGTAGAGAAATATATTGAGAAGAAGGATTTTGAAACTCTTTTCAAAAAAGATCAGGTTAACTTTTTTATTTTTGTTATATTGTTACATTTCGTCTACTGATTTTATCCAGAATATGGTATGTGTACTCAATTTTAGCAGCATTAAAATTTAGTGCCTTACATGTACTTGTTTACATTCTGCTTAAATTGTACAAATATATGATCAACACTGAAAATATTGACATTTTTAGAATGAATTTAAACACAGACACATACATGTACAGTTGAACTTTAGTATCTCAAACACCGATATCTGGAATACTATGAATATATTGAAGTCATTTGGGAGTCCCAACCACATGTTCTTTAAGTATTTTAACCTCAATATCTCAAATCCACAGATATCTTGAAGCTTTTTCTTGGTCCAATCAAATTTGAGATAACGAGGTTTGACTGTATTTTATGATTATGCTAATTTAGGACTTGAACTACATGTACAGATTCACTAACAGTAAAACATGGTTACAATGAACTCACTTATCATGAATTCACACTTAAAGCAAATTGCTTTTCATTCCTTATAGTTTTAAAACACATTATGAAACAAATTACATAATTTTATAACAAATTAAAACTGGCCATCCCTGGCACTTTGCTCCAAGCTTGTTTTACTTGTAATTTTGAATTCATTGAGATAAGTATACACACACAGAGTAAAAATCTGGTTGTGTACCAATAAAAGTAGATGTTTTATACTTACTTTCCTTTGTTTTAACTTGTCATATAAATTATATCTTCATTTTCTATCTGTTACAGTTAGTTAAATGCAGGGAAGAAGGCCTCATCTTTTGTGATTTTGAAGAGGGGAAAATTGATTTTCCTCCCACCTACAAATTTGATAAAGGAACAGATAATTATGATAGCAGGTAAACCAGTTATTATGTTGTGTTATAAATTGATTAAAATGGATCTTTCATCTAAGCAATGGCAATCTTTTTTAACACAGTTCAAAGAAACGAGTACCAGCATGGTGTGACAGAATTCTCTGGCAGGTCCATCATGATTCTTTTGAGAAGATAACATTAGCAGCTGATCTTCTAGAGTACAGATCTGTACCTTTCTATGTCATGAGTGATCACAAACCAGTGGTCGCAACCTTTAAGATTAAAGTAAGTTTCCATCACAGAAGTAAAACAACTAAAAATTAACAGATTAAAGTTTAAATTCAAAGGATATGATGTCAAATTATAATTCAAAATCAACTGGATTGTATAATTCTCTTATAGATATTGACAAAATTGATAAACATCCAAAATGCACCACCCTTACAATTTTGGTCTATTAAGAAGGGATCTTGGGGAGAGGGTGGGAGAATTTTAGTTACTTGAGAATGATGAGTTATTTTCATTTTAAATTGTTGTTGGTACTCTATTTCATTGTGTGTTTTGATAATCATATTAATATTGAATAATATCATTTTGCAGGTATTCTCATGCCAGCGATTTCCGGCACCAGTAACCTTTGATGTAGAGAAATGCTGGAAAGCTGGTCAAAGTGCCACAGTTAAATACAAAATGAGAAAAGACTCAGAACTAATGTCCTCTAGTCGAGACTGGATAGGATTGTATAAGGTTTATTAATTAAATTTGTATCTGTACAGCTCATGAACAATATGTCAGTGGTTATAATTGCAAACTACTACTATTGAAATAACAATAAGCATACCAGATACATATTTATTTATACTGTAAAACTCAGTTATAGCTAAGTCCTGGGGACTTGTGAATTTACTTTGTTATATCAATAATTCATTCTCTATATAAATGAATTTGTTAAAGTATATAATTATATAGTGAATTTGCAATATATATCTTTTCTTTCAAGTACGGTTATCAAATATGTTAAGAGAATCAGTATGTAATAATGCAAAACTTAACTTGGATTACTATTGTTTTCTAATGAACTGAATTTCAAATGTTAAGAATTTTGTTGAGGATCCCAAAAAACTTATATATAGTACTGTATATCTGTAAATCCCATATATCATGTTCATACTAAATTAGTTTTACTGTATGTTGTCAAAGTGTAAAGTATATTTTATGAATAAATCTTACGATTATTTCTTGAATTCTAGAGTGATTTCAAACATCTACATGACTATGTAACTTATGTTTGGGCCAAAGAATATGCAGAGAATAGTCCTGAAGGGGTAGAGGTGACATTTTCAGGACGGTACCTTTCTTTGTCCCCGGGGACCTACAGGGTGGCCTACATCAGTAACTACAAGGACACACTGTTAGGGATGAGTGAGGAGTTTAAGGTAAAGGATGAAGTAAGCTTTTATTCAGTTTGAGTTTGGATAATTGAAAATTTCGTTTTGAAAATTAGGGTATGTAATTGGATTATACAGGACTGGAAGCTTGGTTTTTAAAATACTTTATCCTCTATGTCATATATATTTATATGAATATGGAGTTTTACACCATTTAGACTTTCATGTTTACATGTAAATCCAAGACAAATATGGTCTGTCTTTGAGAAAAGCAATCAGTTTTACCTCATCTGTTAATTAAATAAGTTTTTGTGAATGAATGTAGCAATGCCATTAAAAACTTAAATACATGCATTTTGGCACATGTTGTCAAATATAAAGTCAACAAATAGTACAAAGCCCTCCACTATAGACTTTTTTTTAATGCTTTGTCATTAATATTTTCAGATTGTATCTTGAGGTGCTTCTATAGAGAAAACATTTTCCAGTTTGGGCAGCATCCTGATCTTTACTTGCCGAAAAGAACAAAGAAATCCATAGAAAGTGATATCAATTTACATACTTATTTTATATATTTTTTACCTCATGTGTTTGAACAACTTTAAAAAAAATGAGTATTTTTGCTATGTAGCTCAGCTCTTTAGTATGGAAATTTTGACCAGAGAATTCATATAAACACAAAAAGTGCAATTTTTCTGTTCTAGGTTATTGAGTTGTCAATATTTTTAAACTGCAACATAAACATTGAAATGCCTTTATGCTCATATTAAACATATTTTGTACTACTGCTGGGTGTACTATGACAAAACTTATCCTGCATTTACCTTTAATAGCTTTGTCATCTCTGATATTAAGACCAAAAAAAATTTAACCTGTTTGCAAAGTATTTGGGATGGAAAGGTCCAGACACAGGCTAGTAAGAAATTAAACCAGAATGAGAAAAATATTATTTTATAATTATTTTATTTGAGATTAAAACTTTATACCAACATTTCTTTGCTTTAACACACTTTAAATATCCAACATTTAGTCAAAGCAATTGCCAATGCAGCTTATTTGCAAAATTGATACATTTTCTTTAGACATATTAAGAAATGTCAGCATACCTGGTTGTTAGTACATATACTAATTTCATAAACTTAAAAAAAAAAAAAAAAGAAAAACTTGCAAAGTTTTATTGCATGAGGATTTACATGTAAATAAAAAGTTGGGGGGAATAGGGTTGCAGATATATTTTACCAGTATTAAAGGATTAGTATATTGCATGTTTTGTCATTAAGATAGTTTTACATGTAGCTGGTCATGGAATGTTTAAAATGGCATCTACTTTTTAATGACTGTATGTTCACATTATTGCCAAAGAACACAAAAAAAATTTGTTTGAATGCAGACCTGCGCTGGGTGACTTTTACTCAAAAGTCGATGTAATATACACATTTTTCTCTATAAATCATGGAAATTTTGAATTTATGTCCTTTTCCTGACATCATGCATATCTAATATATGGTGTCATAGCTGATGAAAATATTTTTAAAATGATTTGAAGTCTGCAGATATCCACCTGGTTTAAAACATATTTATAGATTTTTCTGTCAAAGTTTGATTTTGGGGGCAAATATTGGTCATTACTGAATATAGTCCTTTGTATGAACTACTCAGTTATGAGTTAAATAGATTAAGTTTGATATACCTATCCAAATATCTATGTTTTGTATGTAATTGTAATTCATATGGTGTATTTCATGTACGAGTGCCAGGTATTACACTAGCTACATTTAGTAGTGAAAAATACAGTTCAGTTTATCAGTTTTGCACATCTTTCAAGTTTGATGGAGAACTCTAATGGATATGTGTTATTGCATTTTTTTCATGATTGAAATACATTTATTTCTATTGTTATATTTTTATAATCTTTTTTTTAGTAATTTCAATTTTATGGTACAAAAGCTTGGTTTTCTATTAGAGCTATCTTGTTTATGTGATTTTTTTTTACTAAAACAATTAAGAATTTGTGTATCTTTTATCAATTTATTGGAATGCTCTTGGAAAGAGATTGTATGGGGATTGAAAATATACTTCAATTTCTTTAAGAAGGAATACTTCCAAATTTTAAATGAATAATAGCATGTTGCATAATATGAAAGACCCTTATTGCAAGGACTAACAAATCTTTCACAAAACTCTCTGTGCATGCACATACACATACATGTATTATTATTTGGTTTGATTTTAAAAAAAACTATTTAAGTGTTTAAGAAAGCATATAAAACTAAAACTATTTATGTATATTTATTTTATAATACATGTATAAAAACAAAAAAGGTTATGATAATCAAATTGATAAAAATGTTTAGACATTTATTAAGTGGAATGTGAAAATTAACTTGAATTTTTTTGAAATTCACATTTTTTCTAGTTTTGATATAAAGACTAGAGAAAAATTTAAAACTGTTTAATCTTATCTATAGTGTGAAATATAACTCTTGAGAACTGAATAAATATATGACTGCATACAATGAAGTGTAGATTGATCTTGATTATGGTTCTTGATGATGAAAAGGATTGTGTGTATACATTGGTATAATATCAGGAAATAATACAGATTATTTCTGTGATTTTTAATTTTATATTTTGTTATTTTTACATGGAATATGGTGCATTATATATCACAGAAGGCTGTGAGTTTTAAAGAATAAGCTCTTTCAAGGAATAAAGATGACATTGTACTTTTTGCTCAAATATAGGAAATAAATGTTTGTTATTAAATTTTGATGTTTGGACTATATTATATTAGAAGTAAAAATGATGTATACATTTTTCATGAACAATATACAATATTTATGTCACCCTGGACAAAGTCTGGGTGACATAATGCTCCATCTAGAATTTTGTTCACGAATTTTCTTGCAGATGGCCTGGGCAGTCTTGATGAAACTTCACAATATTTATATTCACCAAGTGTAGTTGTGCATTCAACATTTAAAAAAATCGAAATGGCCACCGTTGCCATGGAAACAGAGGAAATATGAAAATTTTCAATTTTATTTTTCTCAATAACTGTCTTCCCAATTCTTTTTGAAATTAAAGGATTTTTCTTGCAACAAGTCAAACTGTAATCTCGCTATTTCGTCGAAACGTGCACTGGTGTTCGTAGGAATGCCAGTACTAATTTTTTAGTCCCAAGGAATCTTTCTGAGATTAGTCGAAGTGATTTCTGAATAAAAGGAATCGATTGGACAATTCTTTACTGTTGCCATAAAAACAAAAAAGGAGAATCTTCTTTACAGTTTGATTTTTCCTCAAACTGCATAATATTGATATGTAGTAAGTAATTCTTCAAGTTTCCGTGATTTCATATTTTAATTTTTAACTATTTCCCGTCGCTATGGAAATAAAAAGAGGGTATTTTCAGAATTTTTAAAATAGTTGTAATGATAATAATTTGGTTAATACATAGGTACATATATATGATACCAAGTATAGCCCTTGAAAGCTTATTTCCTTTATTGCGGATGTTGGCGCGAGGGGGTCATTTCCATGGCCGTAGGAACCGGGGGGGGGGGGGGGAGTGCCCTCCCCCCCCAATAATTTTGCCGATATATAGTTACTATAGTAAACATAGATACTATATGCTTGTGCCCGGGCCCTCAATAAAAACGTCTGATGACCTAGCTTTTTTTTTTTTTTTTTGCTTGTCAGGAAATTTTTGGTAGTGCCCCCTCAACTGTCAACTGAAAATGCATGGTTGTGCCCCCCTCCCAACCGAATTTGCTTCCTACGGGCCAGTGATTTCTGTGCATGGGAATCGGAGTACCCAGAGAAACTCCATGCGTTGAGCGGGTGACAGACCACTTTACCCTCTCACATACAACCACTGCCAGGGATCAGAGGATCCCTTTACAGGGATCAAAGTCCGGTTGCGTCGGTGAGAAGCGAGAACATGCGCTACCCAGACACCCTTAGTTGCTTACTACATACATGTATCTACAACCAATCTTTCTCGCAGAGTTGTCGTTCGTTTCTCTCTCAGACACCCTTAATTGAAAGTATTCAGCCGATGGTAGAGAGTGATCTACAACATGGACAATTAGGAAAATGTCCAACAACTTGGACAATTAGCATCGATTTTTCGAAGTAGGGGGAGGGGGGTTATACAAATAAAAAAGGAGTCAAAGTCTAAAACCTTGTGTATGTTGGGGGGGGGGGGGGGGCTCGATCACACTGCAACAATAACTCGAGGGGATTGGGCCGAGCGGTCTTTGAATGAAAATTTGTATACTTACTAATAGCAAAAAGATTATTCAAAATAAAAAACTACGCCACCCCGCGCATAACAGCCCTGCAACTCCAATATTTCCCCATTGGGGTCAGTTCGGGGTGACCCGTGTTACTGTGTATAGTAGCAAAGTTTTGTAGTTTAATTTTGGATGTAGTAAGGGATTTAATTAAACTAAACGCGAGATTCGGGGGGGGGGGGGGTCCTTGGGCAATTTTCCGGAAAATTCTTTTATCCAAGACACTGTACAAAAGAATATTTTGCAAGTTCAAATTAATGAGCTAAATGAATATGAGTATGTAGGTCAAGATCATTTAGAACAAGGCCACAAAATTTCCCTCACCAATGGATTGGTTTTCTTACCAACATGCTACTATAGTAATTCAAAGGTTGTTCTGACTTATAGTGCGTCGAGAGTACATATCTGCACACTTAAGGGGATACCAACGATGTCATCCTAGAAAACACACTTTTATTCTTAATCTTTGGTTATAAAAATTAAAAATTACAATAAATTTGGCTATACCTGTACTTGATTTTTAACTTGTTAACAAAATTAATTAAAGTCTAAAAATGCAAGTTTTCAACATTATGTTGAAATACAGTATGGGAATCTATCAATAAATTCAGGCTGAATATTGCATGTAAAGCATTACTGATAATTGTTTGATTAAAAGTATGTAGCCCCCCCCCCCCCCGCCCTTGCATGAATTTGTGGGCGGGGTTGATAGAACTTGTGTTATCAGAATGGGCGACAAAATGTGCTTTACACAACGACAAAAATTGTCGTCGGCGATAATAAGTTCTGCAAATACCAGCTAGACATTTTGTATTGTTTTGAAGAATGGTTTACTGGGGTCGTAGAGAGTGAGGGGGTTATTTCATTTTTATATAAATTTATATTTATTATGTATTTGTACCATTCTCCCATTTCACAGTGTAGAATACAGGGGCTTGTTTTACAAAATAACTTAACGACTAAGACCAAAACTTCAGTTGATTGTAAAATCTTGCAAAATTAATTATTCTGTTAAAGATTGTAAGCATGAAGACATCTTTCTAAATTCATTTCAAAACGGTTTAAACCATTTCAAATTAATGTAAAATGGAAAGTTATGTGAAAACTATATTTTGGTCTTGGTCGTAAGTTGTTTTGTAAAACGGGGGCCCAGGACTTAATTACAACCGCTCCTTTGCACTTCAAAACGACAATTGCGCAAACAAAAAAACCATTCATTTATCATTTAGTGAACATGCAATCTCATGAAAACTAAAGATAAATACTATTCAAAACTTCTAATCCGTCACTTCTACATGTACCAGTGTAGTCTTGCAATATGCGATGTTATCGATCATATCTTTAGATTGTTCAAAAACAATTCATGTACTTTTATTATTATTACTTAATTATCTCATTCATTAATTGATATTGAATTACTGATGAAATCTATACTGCGAGTGCGCGTGTGACCACCATTTCATTTGCATGAATGCTTTCTCAAATGAGAAATCGTGTAGAGAAATGCTAGTAAGCCTGCTTCCCAATCAAAATCACTTTTTGCGAATAAATTTTAAAAAATGAGAGAAAAAAAATTATGTAACGATTATCACGAACACTTGTTACCCGACGTCTTGACTGTGGACAAAGATCTTCCGGTATAATGCATTGACACTTTAATGTGGAGAGATAATGCAACTGCCTAACACCCTGAATTTGTGTATTAGTGTAAATTTATACTCGAATTACCCAGAATCAAAACTAAATATGAAATAGCGATAAAAGCAGAGAGTATTGCAAAAGTGACATCTTTTATGCTGTTTCCTCTGCGAACATGAGATTTTTTTATTTATTTATTTATTTTTTTATTTTTTTATTTTTTTTGCAAAGGAATTGTTGAAAGAAACTGAAAACAAAAATCAAAGACGAAAAAAAATATTGTTACAATACACGAGTACGATTTTTCCTTTCACGATAAAATCGTCAAGCTTCAACCCCCCCCCCCCCCCCCCCACACACACACACCAGCGATTTCGATATTCTTGGTGTTAAAGGACTGATTTTTACTAACAAAAACTTTGTAGAAATTTTGGTATCGTACCGTCGTTTAGGAGAGAAGCTATTGTAATAAATAAAGTGGAGGGTTAGAAGTTTTGATTAGCATAGCTTTCCATATCGTCATGATCTTCCATATTACTTTTAATATGCTTTTGATCCCTCCCCCATTGTAAACCTTTTAATATCAAACTCGGGCCAAGGCAAAAGCGAATCTGTCCTGATGTAGATGTCCATCCCTCATCTGAATTATCGACAATTTTTGTTTGCTTGTCTTGTATTTATTTTCTGTTTTGACGTATTTTTTTAAATTAAAGACAAAAGCTTTTTCTTTTGTACAAAATAGATTTTATTACATATAAATATATATTTCACCTAGAATGTTTTGACGTACAAATCTGATAAGCAAAAACACACTATCAAAATAAACAATCACATACGAACTTTTCATAGGTACTTACATGTACACCTTTACGCACATCATGCATGCATCTTGCAGAAGCACTATTATCACACAGATCAGAGTACATTGTACATGTAATTACATATATAATGTTATGTACAAAAAAATGTATATATAGATGTCTTCCCAATGAAAAAAAGAATATTAATTAAGAAGTAAATGTCTTATACATGTAGAATTCCATATAAGAAAATGAGATTCATCAACAGAGACGAATGTACTATACCGTTAAATTGTATTATGCAATATTTTAATCAAAATGATTAAAATCAGCTGTTCTGATACGTCCATAAGCGCAACTTATCAAAACAGCTGATTGTAATCAGATTGTCTTTTAATCTATAAAGAAAAATATATCAAAAAGCTATGGTGAAAAACAGAAAAAGTAAAGGTGAAAATAGGTACACATTTTGTAATATAGTTGAGCCAATACCTCTTGGCTATCACATTGGCAAGTAATTCCGTACTACAATCGAATACAACCAGCACGCGTGTTCGATTGCTAACAGGCATTTCTTTACTTTTAGGTACTTGTCCATAATGCCTATCTTCATAGGTTGATTGGCTGTTTACTTTTATAATTGGTTTTACAAGAGTTATCAAAGTCTTGAATTATTTTTTTATTACTTCATTTCATTCAAAGAGCACCGAGTTCACGTTGTGACCGGGCTTCTGCAAAACAGAAAAAAAAGAAAATTCATGATTAGAAAAAAAGATGGAAAATGACTGACTTCTAATTTTCAACTAAGAAAAAAAAGCTAAATATTTGTAATCTGGTAGGGATACTCACTTCTGAGTGTTCCTCCGCTTTCTGATCTTGTTTTCCTGTAGGAACCGGCGTATCCGGTATATCCTATTTCTGATACGGGGCGTTTGCGCTCTGTAGGGTGTTTTCCTGTCAAATCTCCAGTAACCCTTAGAACACGACTGCTTCCCATATCGTTCCGTTTGGTGTACACGGGGGCGCTGTGCCCGCTGTACATACTGCCCGGGTGTTTAAGGTGGTCTGCAAATGCAGAAAAATTAAGTGTAAATGTCGTTTCGACTTACTTACTTTCAAATGTAAACGATGTCAATAAATTTCTAAATTGCAACTTACTTGGATCTCCGTTGCCAATGACAACCGGGTTGGAGTATTCTGCGGAGTTAACATACACCATTGAGCTTGGCCTGCTCTTGTAGCTAGGTGGGGCCATGACCACCGAACCTGCGTAGTAGGTATCGCGGTCATCCTCCAGATAAATTCCCTCTACACCCATATTCACAAGTTGTCTAACTTTGGGTAAAAATAAAGAAAAGAGACAAAGAGTTGCGGTGGTAAAAAGTCCGAAGGCAATACAGGCATCGCCGTATTCGTGGCCATAGGCATCGTCGCGGTTCAGTCCTCCGACCAGACCCCATGCAATCCAAACAGGAATAGAAAATCCAGCTGCAATCCCAATAAAGACACTTTCTCTGTGATTTGTAATAATACCATGGGCTTTCATTGCAACAATGGTTGTCATGAGAATTAAGAACATAATGTACAAAAGGGAGAGAAGATGGTTTTCAAATGGTGTCCTTACAAAATCTTGCATATCACTCCATCCTTTGTTAGCTTGCCATGTGAAATGGTTGCAAATCCATTCCTCTCCGCCATAATTTGCCGTGACTTTCACAGCATATGGTGGAACCTGGATAAGCCACTGTACGTTGATAACAACTTGGACTCCAACAGCAAACATGAACATTAGGAACTGATAGATACCCTTGAGGTAGTTTGGGGATTCCATATCAGCAAATATGGATTCAGAGGATTTCGATGTTAAAAGAACCATGAGTTTTACTAACAGAACAGCAAAAATAATGGCATAACAAAAACCTACCCCAAATCTTGTTATACCACATGTAGCATCGGTAGGTATAAAGATAAAAGCAAACAAAGTCAAGTAGGACAAGAGTATTCCTAGCAATAACAACTGACCAAGCCACATAGTACGCCATTGTCGACCAATACTTGTACCAATCAACTTATAGAGAATATACACTTCAAAGACAAGAACGGCTAGAATTCCTAAACCTGCTAAAACACCTAGAGCAATAATCCACTTCTGACCAATTTTAAATCTGGTGCCGTAGAGATCTCTATCACCACTTGGCGCGTATATCCCCGTCATTTCCTCGTCGTAAGGGTATCTTAGCATTGCATATTTTCCTCCCTCTGTCGGGTCTGTTGTTGTGGAAACCATGACTTGTGAGGTCGGACTAGCAGTTGAAGTTGTGGTTGACAAGGTTTCGTTGCATTCTAGGCAAGGCGTGTTTGGGCAACTCGATGAAAAAGTCGTCAGTGTTGCCAATAAATTTAGTCCTGATGCAGGGTTGTAGTCGGCAACCTAAAAATAAAAATAAATAAATAAAAATAACCATATTGTAATAATTCAATCAATTTAAGCTTTCTTCTAAGTGTGTTTATTGAAATAATATTATATACGTATTAAGGTTTATATATATAATTTGACCTCCAAAGGTGAAAAAAGTTTTCAGCGTGTCCTCTCTCTTTTTTTAAAATTAGTCATAAATGAATTACCGGTCTTTGTTTATTAAGTTTCTCTTGGTACTTACATGAGTAACCTGAACTGCCCGTCCAGCTTGAGCCTCATAAAGGTTAATTCTTAAATTACTAAAAGAATTAGAAGCATCCCCTTTCATTTGTCCACTGGCTTGGAAATAATGCATGGCTCCGTCAGTTGTGTTAATTATCCCTGTATATATCTGCTGACCACGATTGTTGGTGTTGAGATAGTTGGAGCAAAGATCACCAGTGCTACAAGCCTTTGTTGCACCGTTCTTGATTCCCTGAATGACAGCTTTTACGGCGGCGAGAGTATAAGGTACATAGGGACTTCTCGAATATTTGTTTTCAAGAGTTTCATCTTCGTTGCAGGTTCTAGTTGCACAATTTAGTTTTGCGTTCCAGTATTCCGTAAACCATTCTTTGTTTCGAGTGTTAATTTTGGGTTTGAGCGCATTCAGGTATCGATAGAACTCTGCCACGTCAGAGTCTAATGGAGTGGGGCTTTGTAGACTGGTAGCATAGGAGCTCACGTCAAGACCGTCTACGACACTGGAGTCCCAGGTACCAAAGAACATCATTCTCGAAAATAATGCGGGGTCTTTGGTTTTAAAATTATCTTTTAATTTCTCAAGGACAGATCTTGCCAGACCTTTGGGCGCTAGAAGAACCACATGTCTGACTGACCTCCTGTCATATACAGCATTAGCCAGGGTAGACAAGTCGGCAGCGGAAGGTTCTGCAGGAATACTAGCCGGATGAACGATACAGACTTTCTGTGTTTGCTTTTCAATGTCCTCTTTGAAAGTTTTGAATTGTGCATGTCCGAATTCGTTATCTATATAAAGTACTTGCACATACTTTGCATTTAGCTGAGTAGCGATTAGCATACTCAGGGCTTTTAAGTGTATGGCGTCACTGGGGACTGTCCGAAGAAAGAAATCGTAGGTCTCTCCTTTGTCAGACAACAAACTGGACGAGGCTGCGTAGCTAACCTGTGTTTTATTCATATCCTTTAGAAGTCGCGCAGATGACATAGCATCATAGTTATCACCTGGTCCTATGTAAGCCAAAAGATTTCGTGGGGAAGGCGGGTTAAGGTCATTCAGTTGAACCTTGCACGTCTCAAAACTCAGAATATCTTCCAAAGTTCGTTGGTAACGGGAGCAAGTATCGAATGCCACTCCACCAATCGACACCGTGGGATGAATGGTCTTATATTTTTCAATGGCCCATAGGAATGCCTCCAAATTGATAATTTCTTCTTCCCGGATGGGGGCGCTTGCACATGCATAAGCATCGTTGACTCTCTCATGAACTCCAAAAAGACCGCCTATATAGTAATGAAGGTTTGGGGCACTGCCTGAAACTGGTAAAATTGCTCTTTTGGTGTAGAGACAAGGCCCACTTGAAGCAGCGGGACAGGTGCTTTGCGCATGGGCACATCGAAGAACAGCAGCTAGAAACAGCAGAGTATGTAAACTTCTCATCCTTGGCTGAAATTTAAAACGCAAAATTTGTATTCAAAAGTGTTAGATAATATTTATTTGAAAGGGGGGGGGTCACTTCAGATCTCACGTTTAGTCACATCTTCCATATTTACCAATTAAAGACCATCAAGAGGCCATATTTTTAAATAAATCAAATGCATAGAGGGTTTTTCAATTTTTGTCTGTTTCTTAACGAACATTTAAAACTTGTAATTTTTTTTTTCAATTTTATTAATTGATACCAATACCATTTGTCACCAAGGAATTTTCATATCACAAAAAATAATACACTTTGAAGGACTCTAAAGATTAATTGTTTTGGATGAATATAAAAAGAAAAGATTCCATCAGGGAAGGGGGGATAATATATTTTATTTTCCATATTAAACTCTTTACGGAAGAGAGACAAATGCTTGAGACTAGTGCTTCATTCAATTTGTATTATCTATATCAGATGCAAGGAATCGATTAAAATTTGTTAATATTTGTTGTTGTTTTAAACGAAGAAAAGATACATTTTTGTATTTTTGAAATGAGAATTATTGAATCGTCATTCATTAAAATGTGATCATTCTCCCAAAAGCAAAGATGAAAAAAGGAGGTATCGTGTTATATCGGGCGCATATGACTTTAAATCAATTTGAAATAAATTTTTAATGATACCTTCGAAGAATATTCCCTATATATAAGGAAGTGTGTAAGAAAAAAATCTGTCAAACAGCTGCAAATCAAAACAAACTTATCGAAAACTCCGAACTTTACTGAACCTATTGTAAAGGAACTAAGTAGTGCTGCAGCACATTTTAATATTTGAAATCCAGATACTTCATAGGAACATCGAATTATAGATGGTGTGTTTACTTTTTTTGGTATATACATAAAAAACCTTAACAAACCTTAAACAGTATCAAATGAAACGTTAATGTAGATGAAGTGTTGTACCACAAAACGTCACTGAGAAACCGTATGAATGCTGTACTTTTGATGAACTGGGAAAAGTCTCAACGTAATATGCACAAAAATATACTTAATTTGTAAATGATTCTTGTATCTTGTGAGAAGACCAAAGTAATTTATAAGATGGAAATATAAAAGAGAGAGAAAAGAAACGATTCTTTACAATAGAGGTATATTTTAGAGTGGCAATTCTTCCTCTGTCTACTATTTAAAATATCAAGAACAATTAACTCTTTTTTCTCTTCTAAAGATTACAGTTGGGAATAACAGGATCTTTTAGGCAACTTTCAGAATAAATCTTTTTATGATACAGTAAGAGCTCAAGTTGGGTGGGGTGGGTAGGGGAAAGCAGGTATGGGTGGAGGTTATACAGTCATCATTGGGTATCCAAAAAAGAAAAAAATGAATTCAACCATTGTCTTAGTAACAACCTATTTGCCTTTTCTTCATTTTATAGGATTTGTATGTGGGATTACACCCAAAACCAGTTTTGCCAATGATTTCCATCACACTGCAATATTTTATGTACTTGCATTTGCTAATTGTCAATTAAGTGATCGAGGTTAGGCTACCCTACTGCTAAACGTTTGTTTTGTGGAATACTGCGATACTGTAATATATCCTGCAGCTTTCTTTACTTTTATTATTTACATGTACACACCTCGACACATCCATTCATTAATTCTCCATTTATTTTTTCCGCGGTTTTAATTTTGTTACCATTGACTTAAATATGTATTTTATTTTTATTTTCAAGAACCTTTACAGTACCACATTATTTTTTTGAAGACAGAGGGTGGTGTCCTACGTGCATTGTTTACAATGTTCCAGTCATAACATACTCTTATTCCATTATAATGAAATCAAGATCTTAAATCTTGGTTTGAATGTTGGAGATGGTGTTTTAAAATTAAGATATCTGGCATATCTGAAAAAAAAAAGATTTTTTTTTCATTCTCGCTCACAATAATACATTGGTTTGTTGATGGAATTTCATTCACTGATACACATGTTTCAGGGTTTGGTCTTGTGTTTGGAATTGGCAAAATTCATGAATATGGATTTTTATGCTAGATGAGCTTACCTTTATTTTGGGGGGTTTGTCCTATCCCCTTCCCGTGTCACTCTCTCCGAAATCCTGGAATATCCCCGTTTACCTCTTTCTTGGAGGCAACAAGATTTAACCCAACCCAGACCGGCGTTCTAAAAATACACACCCAATAAGTCTTTAGAAAACCAAACTTGTGTATTGTATTGAATACCTGTATACAGGTAAACTAATGTTGCGAGGCCTCGGACTCTTTCATGCTTGGACAGCAATAAACCCCGAGGATGATTCTTGTACCTTAAAATATCATGCTCAGTGGCGCGCGACTCGAAAAACCTGTCCGACCAGTTTTACGCGAAGAGTGGATAAAAATAGACTGGGTTTGCGTTCGTTGACAATATCGATTTAGATTTGCATGGATGTTCATAAAAGTCAATAAATGAATACTTAATATTGAAACGGGCATTTAACCTGTTAAATGTAAAGGGATAACAAATTTTACCTAAAAGGGAAAAAAGCCACATTTTTCTATATTTAAAATTATGAAAATGAAGATTAAATTAAGACCGCCTACAATATTAAATTCCATACAACAGATTTGAATTTACTCGTGGAAATCAATTTATGTACTCCTTCGATTACTAACTTACGACTGCCATTAATAATTTGAGATGCTTTGATGTACACTGTTTAATTCTAGTAACATTTTTCACTTTCTAAATTTTTAGAATACTTTAATTAATCCTTGTAAAAAATATCCGAATTTAAAGTGCGTTTAGGCCAAATAATGTTTTCATTTTTTTCTTCTCCTGTGAATTTGCTTAAATGGCGTTTTTTGCTCTTTAGAAAAAAAGTAATAAAATGAATCATGTTGACTTCTTAGGACAGAAAAGAATTTATCAGTCAAATATAACAATTAATATATCGATTATGGAAATTTTATATTCTGTAAGTGAACAAAGATTACACATTGTTTGATTTTTGTAACAATTACTATAGTATACTAAATTCTAAAGCACGGCAATGAAAGCAGTGATGATGTAGCACACACACACACACCCTCCCACCATCAAGGAGAAAACGCACCATTACTACGAGATAAATTGAGTATTTACAGAGTGTGTTAGCAGTCATGTTACAACGCACTTTGAAAAATTACGCACTTTGAAAAAAAATTTCAAAGTGCGTTAATTTTGGGACCACGTTAACGCACTTTGAAAAACAATTGTTTCTTTTCAAAGTGCATTAATGTCGACCAAGTTAACGCACTTTGAAAAAAAAATGTACACGGCTTGGTCAATATTCTTGCAAATTTTAGATATGATAATTAATTATTTGAACCTGGTTGGATAACTCTTCGGTGATGACGTCAGGATCTGAGATATAGACGTTTCAAAGATTTTTAAAGATCGCATTTTTCTTAGGGAAAAGGGAGCAATTATGATTTTTCCATACCATGAAAATTCTCTCTCTCTCTCTCTCTCTCTCTCTCTCTCTCTCTATTTTGTCATATTCATCTATCTATTTATTGTGAACATATATGAAACAATGGTTGACTCATTTATTTGATAGTAAGAAAATAAACCTTAGCCACATTACTCACTCGACTGAAATTTTTACCTCGTTCACCAATAACTTTTTCTCAAAAAAGTTATGCAGTCAGATTACTTCTAAATCTGTAATTTGATATCATAAAAACGCTAGACATGTCAAATAGCATGTTTTAATTACCATGTAAATGTATTTTTTCTGAGGAATCATTGTGGATACATTTTGAATAAAGTTTATGCGATTCTCTTCTTTAATATAATAGGGTCAATTGTTTTTTTTTTGTTTTTGCTTTTTGTTTTTGTTTTGTTTTTTTTTTTTCAGGAAAGCTTATCTCAATTTTTTCATCTATTTTACGTTAACTCAAATTTATTGAGAGAAATAATATCAATGTCATACCAGTTATGTAAATACATATATTTGTGTAGGAAAGATAGAAAGTTGGGCTGAGGGACCTTCTACCTGTCTACTCCTCGTTCTCGATGAGGGTAGATCAATTCATTAGTTTTTCGGAAGAAAAATAACAAATTAATGCTGTCTATTATCAAAATCTAAGTCCAGAATTTTTAATTTTTGTTTTATACGTATTTTTTCAAAGTGCGTTAAGTGTCCCAATGGTAAAAAATTTTGATGTACACTCTTAACGCACTTTGAAAATTTTTTCAAAGTGTGTTGCCACAAGTCATGTCAGCCTGAAGTACGTATACTTCTGAGTCTTAATTGTAGTGCGCCCTATCCTGGTACAAAAACTCTAAACAATTCTTCAAGTCACACCCTTCTAAAATATAATGAATTCTGTAACAGATATTATAAAAATATTGCAGTCAGTCAAGCACAGGCCCGAAGAGCGCGGAAGGCCACCCCCACCACTTTTTTTTTTTATTAAAGTGATTTGCTATAGAAAAAAAATATTAAAATGCTGCCCCCCCCTTCCCTTTTGTTGCTGTAAGGTCGAGCTCTTGCAAACTCGACGATTTGAAAAAAAAATGTACCAAAGGATTGGACTCAAAGCGGCCTGACTGCGGATCGCAGCCCCCCCCCCCACCCCCACCCCCACCACGAAATAGGATTTTCGAGTTTAACGTGTTTTTTTGTTTTGTTTTGGTTGTTTTTTTGTTTTTGTTTGTTTGTTTTTTTTTATATTAAGATTTTTTTTGGAGGGTTGCCCCCCTTTTTAAAACCCGCGTTGCTCTTTGCTACAGGCCTGAAATATACAGAATGCCATAGAGTGATAAACAATGTAAATATATATGTATATAACTTTATACAGGGTGATTATTATTTTAAATTACCATTTCTTTGATTAATCCTTATAAAAACAATTAATAATATCCTTTCCTATTTACCCCTTAAAAAGGGTAAATTGCCACAAAGAAAATTTTAATTTTAATCTTTAAAAACAGGACATAGCATCATGGAAATGAATATTTTGATATACGAAATTATTTATCCTTATTTACTCTGAATTTATACCTAGTCAAACAATACATTTATATTTTTATGACATAGAAAGATTTTACAGCAAAAAAAATAAAGCATTGTAATCAAAGCTCTATGAAAACGATGAACAGAATAATCTATTTTTATGTAAGACTGTATTTGCATTATATTACATACAAATCACTGAAAGAAATGGAGGTGTAATATAAATGTTTTAATAATCGTGTGTAATTTCATTTCCTGTTAAAACGGTCATATATTGAAAAAAAAAAAAGCAAACAAGTTTTCTCATAGACAGTAATACCAGCATGTAAATGGTTTCCTCTCAATGTACTCTCCTTCGTACCTGGGTAACAAGTGAGGAAGCCAAAATTCTATAATTTACATAGATATGCACATATTAAACATAGCATAGAATGTGATTGTTTTTTGTTTGTTTTTTATTGTTCAGGTGAGCATGTAGCCCATGGGCCTCTTATATGATAAAATCATTATCAGTCTGAAATTCGACTATTTATATTACATGACCACGTGACAACCCTCAAATCGAATACCCTCCAAGAATAATAATAAATCTAGAACACCACCAATCATATTCCAAAAGATGATTTGACTACCGTGTGAAATATAGGAGTTTTAGGAACCTGTTTTACAAAAGAACTTACGAATAAGACCGACAATTTTACCTGTTTCTAACATCTTGTGTATCCAATATTTGAGATAAAAATTACTCTCTAAAAATAGATTTCCAAATTCTTAAGAAAATCAGAGTATATGCATTTTTTAAATTAATGTTAAGGAGACATTAATTCTCAAAAGCATATTTTGGACTTAGTCGTAAGTTATTTTGTATAACGGGACCTAGGTTTTTGTCAAATTGTTCCTTTCCGAAAAATAAATTGACAACTGTGTAAAATGTAATAGGAGTGTAAGGAAAAAAAGTAATGTCAAAGATGGACAGACCTGGATAACAACAATATATCCGAACTTTCTTTTTGGTATAATGAACAATTTCTTTTTATACCAACACTTTCTAAAAAAGTTCTGGTGTATTGTTTTTATCCCGGCCCATCTGTCTGTCACAATATCTTCTTTCTCAACCCCTCTTTTGTATTTATCAGTAACCAGATTGATTGGTGGTGTCCTGTAGATGTGCAATAGTTTTTGATTTTCATATTCATCCGGGCCAATTCATTTTGGGGGGGGGGGGGGGCTTTAAAAACACACACACACACACACAAACACACACAATGAGATATCGGGACCCTTCCTTGTAACACTACTTCCTTTTTGGAAAACTGCTCATGATCTTGTGCTACCCCCAAGGAACCTAAGAACTCCTCTTACATTTTACACAATAAGCAAATAATTTCTTGGAATATATTTGGTGATGTCCTGTAGAAGTGCAATAAGGAATTTTAATTTTAAACCAGGAAGCTATTTGAGGCCGAATTTATTGCTTTTTTTTTAACAGACAAGTAAAGATTTTATTATATGAATTAAGGACATATGCAACGTATATATACACTTTCTTTACAACGTGCATACCTACTGATAATTTTTCAAGATATTCTTAATTTAAAATCACAGTACAAATACAAGTTCGTAGACAAAAAAAAAATCAGCAAACATTACCAGGGGTTTTGAAGGGATCTCAAATGATAACAATCCTTGTGTTTTTCGAAGAAAAATTTACAAAAATATAACTGTATGTGATTTTTTTCTTTACAATTTAATTCAAAGGTGGTGTACAGCATTATTAGGAATATCAGTTGCATAAAAGTCTATCAATTATTGAAATTTTTTTTACAGAGGAAAAGAGTAATAAAGCTCAAAATTACGTTGCGTGTGTCCTTAAAAAACAAAAGCCCATGGCCCATATGCTCAACTGAGCATTTTACCCTCAATTTTATAATGTACATGTATATTCATGTAAAATATATAATTATTGTGGCTTCTTCACTAGTCGCCCAGCTGACCTAGGTACAAAGGAGAGTGCTTTAGAGACAAACACTTACGTATGGGTATTACTGTCCCATGACAGCATCTAGCATTTATTTGTTTTTGTGTTGTATTGAATGAAATTCTGCGCATCTTTTTCAATTTTACATTCTACTCTTATACAGGAAATATTAGTATGCCTATAAAATGTTTAAGTGCATTGTATTTAATATATTTTGGAATATACTGGCTATAAACTGGATTTGGTCTGGTCATGAAACCAAAGTTCTCCTAAACTGTCCGATTATTGAGCTGCGTCGTAGTTTTTTTTGTTGGTGGTGGTGTTGGGGGGAGGGAGGGGGGTGGCCACAAGTCCAAAAAAGGAGGTGGTGTTACAAGGAAGAACCCCAATATCTCATTGACATAATACGCATAATGAAGCTATACTCGTCCAAATTCTGTCCTGTTAAGTTGAAACAAGAATATTTATTTATACATCTGTATATACGTTAAAAAACTTAATACTGTAATGTCATATAGAATAATAAAAACTAGTTATATATAGATCCTTTTTTAAAGCCGTCTGGTACTTCAAATATGGAAGTGATGAAGGTTAACCATCTCATGGTGTTTCTCTGTATTGCATACGGATTCGATGATACAATATTTACGTTCTTTGACTAAAAAGGATAAAAACATAACCGATAACACGTGACTACTCAATATTCGTGATCTCCTCATCATGACCATGCCTTAATACATCATAAAATTCTGTAATTTTTGTAAGAACCCTCTGTACACTGCACAGTAAAAAGTTCTAATGTGGGATTTTATGCAGTTACAGTGATCTGCCCATAGATCTCAATGATGTTGAAATCAACAGTGTTTGACTGAATCTGTAATCAATTCAAGCATTCTAAGGAATTTATCATGTCAAGAAAAAATAATTGAGCACTTGATTTGCATGTATTTTCACCATTTTAAGCAGGCTCTAAACACTAACGAAGAAAGGTTTGTGGATTTTGAGAAAATCGTATCATATAAAGGTGTACATATTTAGTTTATCTAATTCATATACAAAATACAGTTAGGTATACCTGTATACCAATAAAAAAAGTATTAAAAAAGTATTGAACAGAAATCGCTATTGTTTACTTATACTTCGGAAATACATGCAAATCTTGATCGAATGTTGCTAATACTTCAGTAGATTTCAAGTTGTTTCATTTACTGTAGATTTACATGAAGTTTATCTTACAAAAAAGGGCAGACATCTCTAACTGCATAAAACTACCATGGAATTAAAACTCTAGAGCTTCCTTAATAAGCAATAGGGATTTTTGTTCATCAGTAAATTGTCTTTCAACATTTTTCCTAAATGAAGGTAATTGGCTGGTATCGAATGTTGAAAATGAATATATGCTAAATATTTTATTTACATCCTTAAACGATGTAAATTTCTATATGTTCAAAAAACATTTACACTAGTGTATAGTGGATCATTAGGAACCACGGTATATTATGTGAACAGATTATTGAAACAGAGACAACTTAATTGGTATTCTTTGCGATAAATATCTATTCCCCACCCCATCCCAAAACAAGAATCAACATTAAAAAATAACAACACAATGGTATTATAAAAAATACAAAATGCTATATATGTAAAACTTCATTACATCATAAACAATATACAAAATCATATACATAAATATATTTCAGACAACTTTCATTCGTGACATAGTGATGTAAAGGTTCTATACTTCAATGTGTTAAATGTTTCTCATCTAATATCTCACTTCATATCACACTCATTCACTCCATAGCTATAGCTAAATGTTCTCAGCGGAATAATTCTCATTTTAGCACTAGGAGATTCGGGGACAAATAATATTCGGTTTATCATAATCAACTTAACAAGAGATGTATAGAAGCTAGAACTTTTAATTAATATTTATCACAGCAAGTTCTCCCTGTTCTAGTAAACAGAAGCAAGCCTTGAATTTCGGAGTGCATATAGCACCGAAGATATATAAAGTCTACCGAAGACATTTGGCAAGACACCAGTAAAAATGCCATCTGGTCATTCCATTGGAACAGTTTACTGCATATTCCATTTTCAAGCGTTTGCAGAATCTTTTCTTAATTCAAAGTTCCTCTATAAAACGCATCCTTAATATGGTACTGGAAAAAAGAAAAAGAATTCAAACGAAGATTCCAACAGGTCTAGAAAAATGAAATCCTACTACTAATGAAGTTATTGTTTACTTACAATTTTTCTCAGGATAATACATTTGTTCTTGTACATTCATACTGCCCCGCATTGAGTTAGTGTCGTGAAGCATACCCACATTGTCATACTGTCGTCCGTACATAGAGTCTGAAATGATAAAAAATGTTTTATTATCTATCATTTACTAATCCATGCACGACTCACAATATGTCTGCATTACTTTGGAGTTGATATATTTACCTCTGACGCTTCTATGTTCCTCTTCCTCTTGCTCGAGTTTGGCGTCAAAGTTATTGAGAAGGTACACTCTGCGCAGCGGACCTAGCACAAACATGATGGTGGCATTCATCAGAAGACTTATGGCTATGGCAGGGTCTCGCATTTTGTATTCTCCTAGCGTAGCAATAACACAAGAGACTACCCACACTGGAATTCCCAAAGCAAAAATACCCAGGATCCATCTGACTTCCCTGTGATTCTTGGTTGATTTCCATGAAAACAAACCAAGAATAACACTTAAACAAATAATAACCATGATGTAAACAAGAGACAGCACTAGACCTTCATCGTAGAAATCGTCTGGCATACAACGAGGCCACAACATATTGTTGTATATAACACGTTCCATCGTGGGACTTTCTAAGATCAACCATTCTGTGTTTATCAGACACTGAATGAGGACAAGAAGACAGGCCACAAAGAAAAGACCCAGTGGTTTCCCGAGCTTTTTATAATGCGACACATACTCAACTTCTTTCTCCTTATTTCTCCAGCAGTCAATCACCTTTAAGAACAACGCTGAATAACAGATCACATAGACAAGACCAAGGCAGAACCTTCGAAGACCACAAACTTCTTCCGTGGCGTGAACGATAAAAGCAAACACCATGGCATACATTAAAACAATACCAAACGATAACATAAATCCTAAAACCGTTGTTCCACTTTTGAATGGGTAGTTGACCAATAGGTAGATGAACACACAAAGAGAAGCAAACACTCCAATACCAGCTAAGGTTGCAACAATAATGCCCCAAATATCCCGGAAACGATCATCAATTTCAGGAGCATTTTCAACTTGAATTACTTGTCCTGTTTGTGCATTGACGTAACTTCCATCATCTAATTTGTAATATGAGACTCCTGGGGTTCCCTCGTGCTCTTGGTAGTATGTGGTGCCATTGGCATACTCACACAGGCAGCGCCCTCCAATTGGACAAATAGACGATGGAAGTGCTCGTGCAACGAAGCTTGAACCCTGGTAGAGGCTTTTCTCGACATTTAGTTCTTGTTGGTATGTACCAATCTGCAAGAAAGAAGTAACTTATTGAATAATATAATTTATGAATAAAAATAAGATATTTCTAAAGGTAATGATTCTATTCTCAACAGGTACAACTATAAAAGTTACACTGCAAATCTTCTGAAAAGCATGGATGAAGATGTAAAATATTATGACCAAATATTGCAAATGACCTACCTGCTTATATTCGTATTGTCCAGTTGCAGAATCTCTTCTAAAATTAAGAATGTTGTATCCAATGTCACCGTAACCACCATCTGTAAATCTGAAATTGAACGATTTATCGCCCAAGTCATTTGGCAAAACACGATACTGTGCCCCAGAAATACCGTTGTAAATAAGATCTAGTTTATTTTCTTGAAGGGATAGGCAAGAGTAGATTCCCAAATTAGATGATTTGCAAGCATCAATTCGGTTTAAACCCTGTGCGATCATGAAAACAGATATAATAGTATGTAGTACATATGGATCTTGGGGTATCATGGCGTCTGTGACCTGCTCATTTCCTGCACAAATCTGTGTGTAGGTTTTTCTGACTGAGCTTGTTAGAATCCTACATTGGTGTAATGTTTGATAAATGTCTTCAAACCAATCATCGGGGAGGCCATGACGATTTTGGAAAGAAAGAGTTTTCAAAAACGCTTTGAAGTTGTTGATGATCTCAGATTTAATTTGGATAGTCAAAGCTCCTAAAGCAACGTCTTCGTAACCTTTTACTACAGACATATCATTTGACCAAGTATCACTTCCAAACCAGATGAATCGCTGATTCAGACCTGCTTCTGAAGTTGCTTGTAGTAAAAGTCTTGCATGATGAGCTGTAACAAACAGGACAACAACACGAGCGCCAACTCTCTGGTTAAGACTATCAATGACACTCCTGGCATTTACAATCGTAGCATCAGTTTTCATGGACGATGTCAGAGTAGTACAAGTTTTCTTGTTCATGGCTGTATTCTCTAAGAAGGTTTTAATTGCAGATTTGCCATATGCGTTCTCCGTGTAGACGGCAGATATGTAATCCCATCCAAATGCTGTGATGACTTCAGCCATGACAATTGCCTGGATATTGTCAGGAGGAACCGTTCTGAGGAAGTAATTGTGAATGGTTTTATCACTAAGTTCCACAGAGGTTGCACTCTGACTCATGCTGGTTATTTTCAATGGAGATAGGATACTACTCGTAGCAATGGCATTTTCCGAATTTTTAGCCAAGTGAACAACAATGGTTGATGGGTCTATCACCTGTCCAACACCTTCGTCTCCGCAAATTCCCTCTCCGCTGAGTAAACTGTACAAATCTTGTCCTATCCTACCTGTTGTGGAGCAGGTATCTAAAGCTATACCTCCAAGTTTCAGTGTGGCAGGAAAGTTAACATACTGATTAACCAAGTTTAATGCGTAAAAGAAAGCCATCAGATTCTGGAAGTTTGAAGCAGTGTCAATCTTTCCACAAGCATAAGGGTTATATGGATCTGATTCATGAATGTCAGACAGATACACGACGTTAAGTTGGTTTCTGGATGCATTTAACATATACCTAGAAGGCTGGTATTCGGGAAAAGGACAGTTGCAAGAAGCAACCCCATCGCATGGTGCGTACCAGTTTGGGTCGTATCTAGCATCTATCTTCAGATAATGCGTATCATTGTAGCTTCCAACCTGTGAATGTAAAAGAAGCATATATTTATTCTTTTAAATGTGTCAAATTAGAAAATCTTAATAATTCAAATATGTGCAACAGTTTTTGTTATGTCCCATCATTTGGAATTTTTCTGCATTTATTATGATCGTCTTAGTTTGTTGTGAGAACTCAATAGAAATAGGGTAACAAAAATACGCACGTCTTCAAGATAATAATTGTCTGGTTGGCCTGGGACCTGGAGGGACTCCCAGATATGATAACCACGATCACTTTGTCCGTCTGCCGTAAAGAAAAAAGGTTGTTGTGTGGCATCCTCGAAGCGAGCCTGTTTGGCACCATTTAATATTTCTTGGCGCCTCTCTCCGCTGGTACGGAACAGATTGCACAGGCCTTGAGTATCGGGTGGACAGAGTTTCTCAATAGCTTTCTGTGTCCCAATAGCTGCAGAAAGAACGGCATTGACGACATAAAGAACATATCGGTCCTGGATATAGCCCTTGGCTCTTGGAATTCCATACTTTCTTGTAGGGCAAGGTACTTTACTTCCACTAGATAGGGAACAATTGTAGACGAGCTCATAATACTCATTAAACCAGGGGTTAAATGTGTAGGTATCTGGAGTCTTATCCTCTAGATATTTGTCAAAGAGTGGTAGGTCAGCGGTCTCAATGTCAAATGTCACCGCAGTTCTGTTTCGCTTTATATTTTCAAGTCCATTCCAGATATCTGGATCTTCACCCCATTTGTCTGTTCCAATGAATCTAAAAGCACTTCTAAGAGAGTAATCTTTCTCAATTTCCTCTAAAAATGGCATCGGGTCATCAACAAAAAGAATGACTACTTTAGCATCTGCTTTGTTGTAAAGTTGAGCCAAGGCAGATCTAGCTTCTGTTGCTTGAACTGGCCCGCTTCGTCCCACAGTTATGTTCTGAGCAATACATATTCTGTTAAGAAAAGCCAGTCGTGAAAATTCTTCTCGACCAAATTCTCCAACACTGTCAAAGGAATGGATGACTTGAACATGGTAGAGCTTAAATCTTTTCAAAAATGAAACAATTGCTCGAGCTTGTTTGTCATCTGCTGGAACAGTTCTTATGAAATAGCGGTATTTCATCTGGTCCATTAACTTCAGCGTCGTCGCTCCGTAACTTATCTGGGGTATACCAAGAGAATTCAAGACATCTGCAACTCGGATGGAGGACTCGCTTTCAATTGTTCCAATATATGCATCAAACCTAGCAGGATCCAAGATATTTTCATTATTCTTAAGTTCCAAATTCTTGCTGTGTATGTTGGCCACAAGATTTCCTGCGCGTTCGGGACTTTCACAAACGTCAAGAGCTATACCGCCAAGGGTTACTCTTGGTAGAATATCACTTCGACTGTTTACGTACTCAATGGCGTAATGGAAGGCCTCTACTAGCTGTACGCCATGCTTGTGATTTATCTCTCCACATGTATAAGGCGTTGGACCTTTCTTATGTACGTCGAATAAACCTGAAATTAATAATTAATCTTTTATTAAATGCTACAAGATGTTTTAGGCAGAAATCGTAACCGAAATATATAAGGAATTTACTTTTCTTTATCAATTACATTGTACTATTACAATATGAGACCTTAAATTCCTTCTTAGGAGAATGGGCGTCAAAAGTCAATAGCATATTTTTAAGTTTTCTTAACGACAATCTATTCCTTAAGAATGTACATTTCCATAATAAATCGACATTTCTTAGAAAAGCCGGAAAATTAATGTCGATTAATATCAATGAAACCGTAGGTGAGACGTATTGGAAATACCATACCTATCAACATGATGTCTGCGGGGAAATATGTGAATTTCTCAGTGCCAACACCTTTCTCATAGCACACAGCGCAGTCACCAACACATTTGGCAGGAATGTTTGCATAATTCTGGGTAGGGAAAGTTGCATCCAGCGTAACTTTGAGATGGTCAAATGTTCCTTGCTGTGCAAATAAGAATATGCGTAATAAGGAAAATTAAACATCTCATTTTCCCTCAAAATTGCATCACAATGCTTTCCTAAAAATATTTAGAATTGAACAATATAGTTACCTCAGTTGGTGAGTAATTATTCATTACAAAAACTTTCATGCCCTTTTCAACTTCTCTTTCTTCAAATCGGAATGCTTCATTTAGAATATCGGTATACGTCATGTTATCCATGAATTCATTGATCATTTGTTGGGTATTTATATCCGTCAGATATCTACAGAGTAAAGTCCCTTTATTAAGTAGGGTACTTTTTGAAAAATTCACCAGCTTCTCATTATTGAATAAAACTTTTTATTTCATTTGATATTGCAACAGGCTTTAGCATGACATACTATTTTTTTTTTCTTTCCTAGGTGCAGCCTTGGACGTTGTCCATTAAATGGATGCCTTTACAATATTTAACAAGATAAAATCATATAGTATACAAAATGGTCATATTCACACATACTTTGAGCAAACATGTGTATATCCGACTCCACATTTCATCTCGAGAGTTTTATGGACACCGTGAGCAATGGCTTCCACAGCATGGATGGTTGGCAGCACTGTGTAATCTTCCACAAACACTCCTGAAGCTAAATAGGAAAAAAAATCATTGTCATGCTTCATGCATTATTCAATTTTATTTACAATGAATACATTTTCAGAACCGTCTTTGTATACCTACATGATGTTATGGGTCTGCCGTCTGGATTAACGCACTGGGATGGATATTTCCAGTTTTCACCAAGGTTACACTTATAGAAGTCCTGATAATAATCATAGAACCAGAGGTTTTCCTTATAAGTGTTTGGATATTTGTTGCTAAGGTAGTTTCGGAATTCTGAAATAGGGACCTGAGGCATACCAAACATCAAGGATCTCTCGGCAAAAGCTAATAGATTTGATGGAACGTTGGAAATCATTGGATTTGACCACACCCTGTTGGCCATAAAGATGATATTTGCCGCAGCATTATTAATGGATTTTGCTCTCAGTAGGTCTTCAATATAGCGATCTGGATCGGCAAATACAGCTACAACTCGACTGGTGGACTTTACAATGTAATCAATAAGCTGATTCATCGTACCATCAGATACAAACTCGTAAGAGGCTCCAATACATATCCCTTCAGCTTTTGCATACTCCCGAAATTTTTCGAGTGATTCTCTGGCACCTTCTTCTGGTGCGTTCAGTGAAATTATGTATTCAAAACCCAACGTTTTCGCTGTCTGAGCCATGGCCTTGGCTATCATACTATCTGACGGAATAGTTCGGAAGAAGTTTTTAAATTCTGTTTTATCATCCAGAATTGGACTTGTCGCACCTGGTGTGACGACACCCATTTGTTGACCTGCTGTGTCAATGGTAAAGTCATTGCTGTAAGTCAGCCAGTAAGTAAACTTCTGCAAAGGAATTGTAAATCGGCCGTTATCTAAGGGAAATACTCCGGCATATAAGGCTGATACTAATGTCGAAGCTCTGTTTTTGTCCATGCAACCATCAAAACCGATTCCACCCAATTTTACGCCAGGGTTAAGTTTGACAGACGCATTTCTAGAGTTGATTCTTTCAATTGCAAACTTGAAAGCCTCGGTATTTTGGAAGCCGTTTTTTGATCGAAAGTCTCCACATAGATATGGGAGTCGTCCTGGATAATGAACATCAAACATAGCAGGAATAATGACGTCACCTGGAATATCCAGGTAGTTCTGATTGCTAAACATGTACAGGCAGGTAGCGCAGAATTCTGTGCAGTGAGGAGTAATAGTAGTTGCTAGGGCATCGCCATATAATCTAACCTGTCCAGTCTGAATCGACAAGTCATTTGTCTCAAAGTTATAGCTTCCGACCTGAAATATAAAAATGCAAGTTAAAATTAAAATTCAATTTTTACTGAATGTTAAGATATAACCATTCAAAAAATTGAGAAATTATGAAATATTTTTAATATGAATATTTGATTGAAAAAACACATATTTACCCGTATAAATGCACCATTTCTGAAGTTCTGGTAGTTAATAATAAAGTTGGCACTTTTATCCTTCATTCTGAATATTTTGCCAGCCTCTACTTCAAATGCTAATTCATCAATCTTCTGCAGTAAAACGTTGCCTTTATTAGCTGCTGTTAGAAAATTACTGCAAATTCCACTGTAGGATGTCCCACAGTAATGTTTGAGAGTCTCATTTAATGCGTACGCTGCAGCATACACACCAGCCACGACTGGAGAGGCAGCAATGTCAACATCAGATTTGCTGATTTTATTTGTAATTGGATTTAGAGATGAGTCGGCACAAACTGTTTTATATGATCTCATATTTGAGGCATCCAGTGAACAGTTGTAAGTTTCTTCATACCATTCTTTGAACCAGGGGTTGTCCGAATATGTGTTGGGTTGAAGTCTGGAAAGATGATCATAAAAGCCTTGCATGTTCAGGGGATCGACATGGACGTTCCATAAACCATCTGCCATGTCTTCTACGCCTTGCAAATATCGAGCTTCCATTCCATGTGTAAAATAATGAAACATGCCACCAGCATTGTTTACTCTGACAGTGGTTAAGAATGTCTGTGTATCGGTATCAGAAGCAAGTAGGAAGACAGGCCTTACATTCATTTCATGCTTTAGCATGTTAAGAACCTTTGATGTATTTCCATCCCTTCCAAAAACAAAATGAGATACAACGCATATTCCTTCTTCAGCCGCCAACATTTTAAAATTCATAAACGCTACATCATAGTATTCAAAATTACTCTGCACAGCTTGTACATAGTTCCATCCAAGTCGTTTTAACATCAGAACTATAGCCTTCAGTGTATAATAATTGGAAGGGAAAATATATCTGTAAAATGGATAAGACTGAAGTCGCATGCTTGAAGAATAGTACCCCAGTAGTGGTCTTTTCAAATCATTCATTAATGATGCCAAAGGAATAGTGGGTTTGTACAATAACGATCCCATATACACATCGATGGTGTTTGGGTTAAGGGCATTGTTAGAAGAATCCATGATGGTTCGTGAATGCTGATGAACTTCCGACACAAGAAGCTTTCCAAGAACTGGATTCAAACAATCATCAAAACCAAGCCCACCCAATTTAACATTTTTGAGAATACCCCTGTTATTTACTTCTTTGATAGCATAAATCATAGCTTCTACCATCTTTGCTCCTGGTCTAAGTCCTTTCCTGAAAGCCCCGCATCGTAAAGGTTCAATTCCAGATAAATGAACAGTGAAAATTCCATTTATGATGACGTCTCCAGGCTGATACATGTACGGGTAAGTGTTAGTAGTTCCTATGCAAGGAATACAACCCGTGCTGGGACAGAGTGAGGACGGTAGAGGATTCAACAGGGTGTCTCTGCTGTTATCGTACATTCGAATTCTGTTACTGAAGATTTCCAGACGTCCATTTATATGTGATCCCAGCTATAAAAAGATTACCATATTTAAATTTACAAAGATGAGGTACTCCTGCAATACAATAAAGCTTTGAAAAAACAAGAGAACTACATGTAATTATTGAAAGAAAGACTGGATAATATAATTACTTACTCTCTTGAACTTAAAAGGCTGACTTCCTGGATAGTCATTAAAATTGTAAATATCGTATGTTGGGTTTATGATGTCTCCATTTGCATCAAATTTGACTTTTGCTGGTGCATTATAAGGTTCAAGTCCAACGGATGCCAAACTTTCAACTCTCTCTTCCTTTGTGTATGTAAAGTCAACAGCTCGTAGATAATTTTCGTAGAATTCCTTGGTCGTCATGGCAGACAAAGCTGTACAGAGCCCAGGGATTCCATTACATTTGTCTTGGTGAGCCTTCCTCAATGCGTAAGCATATCCAAACACAGCGTGAACAGAGGGTTCCACAAACTGATCTTGGACAAACGAGTTACGTCTCTCAGCCTCCGAAAGCGTTGGACATGCAGGTTTGTTGTTGAATTTCGGATTAGTATTACTGGGCAGACGACAGTCATTTTCTGTCATGTACCAATCTTTGTACCAAGGGTTCTCTGCTGATGGGTTGTTGACGTCTATCCTAACCCAGTGATCTTCAAATTCTATAATTTTACGAGATCCTGATAGGACGGAAATAATACCTCTAGGATATTTTTGGTTGGGAAAATTTTCAGAGAGAGAAATGCTGTCAGTAAATATCCACTGAAGTTTCCCTGCAGCAGGTTTAACTTCGCCTCTCTTTAATAAAGCACGGGCCACTGTTCTACTTCCAAGATAAATGATTCCGGTTGCTTCTGTTGACAGCGCTTTAGACAATAGTCTGTCTATTGTAGAATCGCTGTCGTCGTCGGATGGGGTGGATATTGCCATGGTCAGACATTTGTCGGCCGCTACCAGTCGAGGTTTGATCTCCACCAATGCTGCTTCTCCATAAGTATCCTCCGTGTAAATGACGACAACATACTTCCAGTTTACCTCGTTCATGAATGCAACAATTGCCTACAATTAGACCTGGCAACGTAGAGTATATGTCCTTTTTTTAATTAAAAAATGTATATTTACTCCCCTCTCCTTTCATTAAAGAAAAAATTAAATCAACTGAAAATGGATAAGTTGTTTATTATTTTGTACACTTTTAAAATCGTTTCGTGAAAAAAATAATTCTATACAAATGTTTCAACTTTCAAAAAAAAAGAGGATATTAATGTATAAAATTTTAAAAAGTACTCAGAATATTTTGTTAGGTCAAAAAAATAAATAAATAAATAAAATAAAATACAGAGAATGCGACGATTGTCGTAAACTGTCCAAACTCGAAAATCCTATTTCATGTGTGTGTGTGTGTGTGTGGGGGGGGGGGGGGGATCTCTAACTTTTCGCTACATTTTTTTCGAAAATGGAATTTTGTCAAGAATTAAGAATGGCATAAATGAGACTTAACAATTTCGTTGCAATACCGTTCAACATTAAGCTGAAACACTTTATTTTGAAACATCACAGAAAAATATATGTGAATAGTACTTAAGTACTTACATCCATTAAGGGACCATCAGTGGGGACCGTCCTCATGAAATAGGGGAATTTTTCTGTGTTACTTAAATCAGTAGCTGTAGACGTTGGAGACACCAGTGGGATGCTGTTCATTGTGGCAAAGCTGTTCAGCTCTACGGTCACTGAACTAGAACTTGCTCCAACCAAACCTATTGTAGAAACATGTATGTTATTAATATTGTATAGGAATTTATGTTGGCCGTTGTTAAATTTAGCTTATTTTTCCCGAGGCACGCAATCTTTGTTGCTTTAATTCGTGCAAATATGTATTTCACTGTTTTCTGAATTTGAGATTTTTAGGTTTACAAGTTTAAATTTATCAATACGCTGAAAGAACTAGTGGTACCGCGGTGATCAGGACACTTTACATTCTGGACAATATTTTGAAAACAATTCTTTTCCCATCTTAGTCTGTTTCTATTAATCGAGAAATTCGCGTTCCACATCCGGATGGTCGATTTCTACGATAAATTTGTACTATTTCATTGTAAATTGCAGATGCTACAAACATACTTTTTTCCAAAAAATCATGAAAATAACAACTAAATCTATGTATGTAAAAGTGATACGATTAAGTTTAGCCACATTAATTTCATTTTTTAATCAAATTATCTCAATGTTGTCCTGTAAAGTGATAAAAAAAATTATATTAAGAATTTATAAGGGTGATGGCACAAAGAAAGAAATTTGAACATAAACGACGTCTACAATTTTTAATAAATTGTATTCTAGAGATTTGATATGAGCATCATTTACAACCCAAATAAGCCCAAAAATCATCTATGCCGTAAATTGTTTTTGTTTATAATATTGTAAGTTCTTAATCCAGACAGTTGCTTTCACGCCTTCTGTTTGAAGGGCTAGGCGGATACTTATGATTAATTAATTGCCTTTATAATTGACGCATCTCTCATAAAGGTCATTATCTTTTTAAAGTTATTCAAGCTTTTTTGAACGAATGTAATAGATTGTCTGAAAAAAATATTAGTTTTTAAAATAATTCTGTTTTGCTTATTGATAAGTTTTGGTTTTTGACGCTACTTTTGTATTCCTAGTCCAAATAATTGTTCCTGTATTATGGTAATTTTATTAAAGTTTGTTTAAGGAGAAGACTATCTAAGTTATGGAGTTTGTGTCTTACCCTTTTGACTTTGTCAATATGTTCATTTCAATTCAAAGGTCAAAGAATTTTATCCTAAACCGTGCATTAATTAAATGAGAACTTGTTCACATTACATACGGTTCATAAATTCATGAGAATTTTGACATTTGGAAAACTAAAGTGTCGATTTCGAAGTGTTGCTAATTTGTAATTTAACAAGATACTGTTCGACCAAATAATTTTCCATTTATGAAAACGTCCATCTACATGTACGTACGAAACTGCTTTAAACTTGAATACAGTTTTAAAAAGGTTAACAAACAAAATATATTAAATATACAATAAAATATATGTTTGCTTTTTTACGAGCTGTAGACATAGAGGCACATGCACATAACGATTTTCTTGATTTGTAGCAAGTTATTTAAAATTAAATATTTAAGCTTGAAATCAGTAAAATAAATTATTAATTATTATGAAATGGACTTGTGTTTGTGCTGAGTGTTGACAATTTTTGCACTGATTCATACGTGAGTCTGAGTTTGCTTGGAATTGTGTTCAGGTATTGTGATTATAGCTGAACACAATTCCAAGCATAATTTAATAACATTTAATGATGATTCTGAACAGTACTGTAATGTCACTTTAGCTTGGATAATTATAGAATATAGCATAAAAACAGCAGTCGATCGCACTTTGGTCAATTCATGCAGCCACCTGCCAAGATGTCTACACCACAAGCAAAGAGAAGGCGTGTTGAAGTTCCTGCCAGTGTTGAGAAAAAGATATGTGAGCGTAAGACTGATAGTCCACATTTTCCATACCAAGAGGGGGAACAGGCCGAGCCTATTTCAACTGCCCAAGTCTTGGAAAGCGTCAAGACATTAATCAGATACTTTAAACACCGTGCAACTACATCAGAGGATGCAGAAATCAACACGAGATGCCTAAAGCAACTGTGGGTTTTGAAGAGAATGCTTTCTGAAAGACTCGCCCGTGAATCCCGAGGTTATATGAAGATTACAGGTTTCTTTATGGATGCAACAATCAAGAAAAAATGTCTTGAGCAACTGGGGATAATGGAGAGAATCATTTCTGAAAGATTCTGTGAATCCCGCGGTCAGATGAAGATAACCGATTTCTTTAGGAAATAACTCACTGTGATTTGTGATAAATATGCATTTCCAAGTTTGCTTTGTGAAGGATACTTTAAGTGAAATATTAGTGCTTCCCGGTGTTATATGTTTATTCATAAAATACTAACATTTAGTGCATTTGGTAAATAAGTGTTTGATATTGTGCTATTTTGTTTCATAATCTAAAGAAGATGGGTGAACAAGGCGGGCGAAGTGCCTATAGTGCGACAAACATGAATTGAAAAATAAAATCTCAATTATATAAAAATTTTCTTTGATATTTTATCTAACATTAAAGTATATTTTATGCTGAATCTGTACAATTTACAAAAATCTCACAAAGACTGAAATTATTTGCCTACGAAATAGCTTAAACACACTAAAGAGGACAAAAAGGATCATTTTGTCACACTTTAACAAAATTTTTCGATATGAGTGGGTCTTCGCTCCATTTTTTTGAAAGTTGATCCTAAAAGTTTGCATAAAGATATACATTTTTTGGTTTACAAAAACATGGAGCAAAGACCCACTATACCTTAAAAGTACACTTTTATGACAAAGCATTCGCATCTTTCCGAGAAATACTTGAAGTCCATTAAGTCAAGGGTCATATCACAAACATGATTTAAATGCCGCTATTTGTCAGGAGATGCGTGGCGTAGTGGTTAGCGTGTTGGTCTCAATACAATATGAAACTCCGGATTTTTATTTTCAGGGGGTTCGAATCCCACGAATACCATTTTATTTTTTAAATAAAAGAATAATTTTTTCCGAGATCTTTTTTCTCAGAATAGTTTTGTTGATCATAATTTGATAAATTTCAATAATGAGAACTTTATTTTAAAGACTTAATTCATAAATTGAATATGATTTTATTAATATCGGAATCTATAGGCATTCTGCACGCCTTGTTCACCCATCTTCTTACTTATTTATAAAACTTGCAAAATAAAGCAAAAAAAAAAAAAAAAAAAAAAATTAAACTGTTAGTTTTCTGATAACTATCTTTGTACATGCATCCAGATGTCTAGATGGAAGCAATTTACTTATTCGTACGCTTGATTTATGCGAGCGATTTCATTCTGGAGAAATTACTTTACTGTAATATATAATAAAAATACTCAATATACGTACCCAGCATGAGTTGTGAGTCGTTTTTAACACAGTCCCTGGATTCAGCACTAAACTGAGGGTACAATCCCTGCGCACTACCCAGGGCTATGGATTTCTGACCACAATAATCGAAGACCTTCATACCTAATAATTGAACATAGAATAAATTTACGATATACTTATTGGTCCAACTAACATGTGGCCAAAGTCCTTCTTTCAGATCATAAAATTGTATGCCTTTTAATTTAGTCTTGTTTATTTTAGTGAAGTGTGTCAACGACAAGATATTGTATATACATATATGTATGTATTTAGAACTTGACTGAATAAAAAAAAAAGAACTTTATAAGCAAGCTACATGCGCAGGAATAATACTATTAACTAAATTGTAAATAATGCACCGTAGAAACAATAGCTATACCCAATTTCACTCCAGGAATGTAACTGTCGTTCAAAAATTGTCCATTCAGGATGATATTCTTTTTGTTAAGTCTGTCTAGAGCCCATCTAATAGCCTCATAGGACTGCATCATCGCTGCGGGAGAGATAATCAAGATTAAAAAGAAAAGAAATACAAAATTCAAAATTACATTTAAATATAATACGATAAGCAAGTTGATTTACTTTCTATGTAGTCTCGACTTTTTTGGACTATTGCTGAAAAATTTCCATTTACTATTGAAATGTAACAAAATGAGTAGGGTGTTATACCTGTATCGATATCGCCACACCCAAATCCCGCAGTCCCGGGACCTCTAAGACTGAAGATCCCCCCGATCATCGCTTGTGCACCCTGTTGTATGATTGCACTCTGACCCTCCACGGGGCACGTGCTTTCTCTCAAAACTGTCGTCTGCGCCAATGTAGAGACGAATGTAAAGCAAAAGACCAGCCACACACGCAACATCTGTTTGAAGAAAATATCGTAATCTTCACAGCTTCAGAAGAATTTGGTGTGTTAACTTTTTAATTTCCATTTAAAAATTTGTAAATAAGAAAATACTATAGTTTCCCTTAAGGGGTAAGGTAAGAACTTTATCATTTCTTTTTGCTCATGATAAGAAAACAAATATCCGAACACAAGCACCTGGCAAATGTAATTTTTTTTCTTATAATAAAAATTTATACCCCTACCTAACAAATCACAGGGAGGGATTATATTTTATGACAAAAATAAATAACGTCAGGTACCTGTGCGTCAAAATAATGATTATCAAAACAAAAAACAAAAACACACACACAAAACGTAATTTCAATGTATTATGTAAGCCCCTTTCGTCCATGTTTGATTTGAAATTGTATTCGAAATCGGAAAAGATACTCGGTTGAATCAATTTTAAAAATGACAGTTTAAAATTCGTCTAATTAATTGAAAAAGTTGATTCCTTTTTTTTTTTGGGGGGGGGGGGGATGCATACTGTTCAGGTATTCACGAGTTACTGTGGTGTAACAGAAAAGTGATAATTTTCCTAATAAGTGTATGTAATCTGTGGATTATGAGGATAGTCATAAAATCAACACACTTAATAATATTGTATATTTTGATCTTTTTATACATAATGAGATTCTTCCCATTCATTAAGGAGAAGATAACTCTAAATTGTTTATCGCTATAATTTGTTACACTTATTTAAATTTTATAAATAAAAAGCACACAATGCTTTTTTGTGTACATATCGACTTTTTATTATTTATAAAGCATTTCTACATCTTTAAATTGACATATTAATTTTCTCTTTGATGAAATTTCATTTCAAAGCAATTTAAGGTGCATTGATCACTGCATGTTTTCTTATAACTGTATTTATAAACTATAATACGACCTCATGCAGGGGACGTAATTTATTGTTGATGTCCCGTTCATGTTAAAGAATATTTATACTACGAAGGAAATAGAATATTTCAAAAATAAATTGATAGTGTAATTAAATTAATAATTTAAATCTTAATTGTGCATAAATTTTGTCCTTCTTACGAGGAGTTGAAAGATTAATGGTTTGCAGGATTTGCCTCCATTCTTGTTGTATTATTTAAACATCTTCATTAACATTTCTTTACGATATATGTAATAAAATAAATCTATGGTAATCTTTGTTTTCAATCATCTACTTGCACATCACACCCTTCATCTGTCCGTTTTTTACAATAACAAACCGGCTCAACACTGAGTATAAAATATAAATGTGTTTTCATTGACCAGAAATTCTTACCTTTTTAGTATACGGAATCCCTCTCATTAATGAAATATTAATTCCTCTCCCCTACTCAGGGGGATGCTGTTCAAATTCAACAGTAGCCAGCGATACCCCTTCCCCTCCTCGCGTGTTTTGGGTGTTTCGCGATTTATTTTTAGATTTTAGATCGATACACTACCTGTACATTTCTATTCATTGAAACCTGTCGGACAAGTTTTCCATAGAGTTATTTTTAACTATGGTAGGCGGGGCCAACAGGTATTAATGAAGTTGTCACACCTGAATGGTTTCGTGTAAACCGGATTCGCAATTTTAAATTTCAACTATTGGTAAATAAACAGACAAAATGAATTTTTGAATGAATTTATATATACTGAACAGAAACCTCTTGTTCCTGAATACAGTTGCAGTAAATACTAGTAAAGTGGAAAGGTTTCATTATACATGTAGTAATTTCTTCGGAGCAATATAAAAATATTACAAGGGGGGGGGGGGGGGTAAACTATTGATGGGCATTTTTTAATAATAATGTGTATAAATAACTACATGTATGTATGACAACAATATTTACGAAAGTTAATGACATTTTCCTCAAAAAACAAAAACAAACAGACAAAAATAAAATTAAATCTAATAGGCGTTTTCCTTGTGACAAACAGATCGAGTCTGATTGTAAATGAATAAATAAATATGACAGCTTTAATCAGGATACGTGTATCAAATATAAACAGCTTAGTTCAGATTATAAAAGTGAAGAGATGTGCATCGTATAGACAAAATTAATTTACGCATAGATGAAAATACAATGTACATATATATTAATTGTACAATTGCCAAAATAATGTATATTACGTGTTGCATATAATAATTTAAATAGTTTATGACTTTTGTTTGTTTGTTGGTTTTTTTTTTGTTTTTTTTTTTTTAATGTTCTTATTGCATTAGCTAGGTACAAAAAATCCCTAATACACAAATATATAATATATAAGGCGTTATAAGGCATAATAATGGTTTTTCAGAAGGCATAATAACGCCTTTTTGTAAAGGCGTAGTTATTATGCCTTATAACGCCTTTTGAAATTTTTTCTCTCCATAGATTGATCCTAATAGGAGGCTATCGTAGGTTTGTACGTTTGTTAAGGTTTAAAATGTATTTTTATTATACCGTATATATATGGTCAATTTTCAAAGATAAAACTGACGGAGAAATCACATATTTGCTAGAAATAAAGACTCCTTACATTTTATTAGTTTTTGGGGTTGGGGGTTGGGATGTTCCACGCTTCAGGTGCCTGTGCCCTAAACCATTGTACTTTAACGCCATAATCTATGCTTTACATGTGTAAACTATACTTAACACTGAAAACAATTATTTGCGATTATAAAACATAGTTTATCTGATAAATAGATGCGGTTTCACGATTTGTAAACTATAGTTTACAACTCTAATCAATAGTTACCGAATGTTAATTATAGTTTGCGGTTGTAAACTATAGTTTACAGATACTTATGGCACCGAATGCGAAAAATAGTGATAAACACAGTTTTACATTTGAAAAACACAATTTAATAGTAGAATCTCTTATATTTTGTTTTAGTTTAACATTGCGAATTATTAAATGCGTATAAACCAATCAGATTTTAGTATTTAACATGAAAGTATGATAAATTCCAATGAAAAAAGAAAACATGAAGAACAGTTATCGATCTCATAAGGCTTTAAACAATACCTTGTTAACAATAAAACAGGGCCAAAAAAAAATAAAAAAAATACCTGAAACATCGAAGGCCTAAGAGAGGAGTAGGAATCCCTTATCGACTGGTCACATTCGCCTTGAGCTCTCTGTGTTGATCACGTAAACGGAATAATCCGTAGTGAAAATAAGTATGAAAACAATGACACATGAAACAGGACAGTCAAAAGATGATTTGGCCACTACATGTACCTTAAATATAAGGAGTTCTGAGAACTAGGCTTCTGTAGAAAATCATCGTTTTCGATCCCAATTTGGTCCCCAGGTGAAAAATGAAAACTTCCAAATCTTCTTGCACATCTACAGGACTCCACAAATCATATTCCAAATAATATGGTCACTGTGTAAACCATATAAGGAGGAGTTTGAGGAAGAAGATAGCGAGAAAAACGCGCAGGTGTGTTAAGGAAGCACTAAGATAATCTGACTTGACTAAATCAGTGATACAATATGACGTCATAATAGGCGAGATGACGTCAAGTTTAGAACACAAGTTTTCCTAATATTGCTATTTAGAGATATAATTTGACTCCTCAAAATGAATAGAAATTTGCAAATATTAACAAAAATAAAATGTTTTTATTTTGTTATGCTGTATCTGTCACTTGAATTATAATCTCCGACCAATGACGTCATAACTGTTCAACATGTAACTTGAGAATCGATCATGTTGTGTAACGAGAATTTGGCCAAAACGGCATGTAAAAAGATACGTAAAAGGAGGTTTAGAAGCAAATACCGTGAATATTGTGTGTTATTCATGTGAAGTTAAAGTATGTTAAACAGGTATGTTGATTTATTTTCATCGATTATATCTTCTATTGAAGACAGTCAGCTATTTACGTATCCCGGTTGGCCTTTCCTCTGTCATTCGTGACAACAATAATGCAAAAGAACAACACTAAGCTGGATACTTAAAAACATAAGATTTGTACATATCGAAAGCTCGTGTTCTATAATACTTGGAAAGTGCTGCTAGAATCGTGAGGTAAACGTGGTTTGTAGAAATATCTCAGGTTTTATGCATAAAATGCAAAACATCGGGTAAGGTTTCGTACATATATGTGGAATAATTATTTTCCCGATCGGGCAGTGGGATTCTAGCAGCAGTTTTTCGGCATAAGAGATGTTTTTCAACTATGTTATTTACTCAAAGAAATTATTTAACCCCGGGGTAGTGTTGTTCTCTGAAGTTTTTCATTAAGGAATATTTTGTTATTAATAGCGGTCACGTGATGACGTCGAGGTGGTGCACTACTTGGCCTCGGACACTCCGTGTCTTTATGTAATAGTTAATAATAGTTTATGTTTTATCGGAGACTTTGATGAATTATTAATCTTAATTTTCTTAAAAAAGTCTAAATTTCCCGAGAAATGATTTGTATGCTTCCTTAACATACCCGCGCGGACGGCCAGACCAGGATAACAATATATCCAAACTTTCCCAAGATTTTTTTCCCCATTCAGCTACTGCTTTCACGCGAAAGGAGTTCTGGGAACCAAATTTCAACAGAAAAACGTCGTTTTTACACTTAGAGTTTGCCCCCTCCCATACTGCACATCTATAGGACTCCACAAATCATTTATCAAAAGATGAATTGGCTACTATCTAAACTGGAAGAGGAGTTTAAAGAAGACGGTGACGTGAAAAATAGATGGACAGACATGGATAACACTATATCCATTATTTTTTTTTTTTAGATTTGTTGTTTTTGATATAACTACTGCTTAATTAAAACGTAAGAAGAATTCTGAGAATATGTCTTTTATAGAAAAAATGTCGTTTTGTGCCCCCCAGTTGGTACCACAGATGAAAATTTCAAAACCTTACTGCACATCTATAGAACACCACCAATCACACCCAAAAGATGATTTGGCTATTGTGTACATGCAAAACCAGGTTTACATGTATGTGAAAAACGTCGACTTTTGCCCCCCCCCCCCCCCCCCCACTTTCCAGGATGAAAATGATAATTTCACAACCTTAAAGCATATCTACAGAACACCTCCAAACATATTCCAAAAGATGATTTGGCAATTACATCAAAAGTAAGAGTTAGGGGAACCTGGTTTTTGTAGAAATATGTCGTTTTTCGATCCTAATTTGCCCCCGGGACGAAAATAAAAATTCAAAAACCTCATTGCATATCAACAGGACACCACCAGTCATATTCCAAAAAGATAATATGGCTACTGCTAAAATGTTATAAGAGTTTGAGTAGATACAGAGTAGTGACAGACAGACGGACAGAGTAGGATAACAATATATCCGAATTTTCTTAAGAAACAGCAGGTATAATTATGTTATGGCCCACCAATGTTACAACGCTCAGAAACTGGATTAGAAAAGAAGAAGTCAAAATGTTAAACGTCTTTATTTTTCAGCTCAATTTTCAAACATTTATTTTGGGTGTGACATAAAAAAAAGTCTATAAACAAAGAAAATTTGATTACATCATATTATGTTTATATGTATCAAATAAGAAGCACAAAAATGTGCACAAAGACTGAATACAAAAAGATTAACAAATTGTGCATAGTTAACAAATGAATAACAATCAACATGCTACAAGAGCAAAATAATTTACAATTGTTAACATACTTAACATACTTAGATACATAACTATATTTATAAATGTATACATATACACACTCAAAAATTTCTAAATTTTATCCTCTAAATCGAAAAGAAACTAATAAACTTTTTGGACTAATATACATGTAGTTGAACTTCATTATCTCGAACATGGATCCCTTAAATACCAAGGATATGGCGAAGTGAGTTGGCAGTCCTAATTGCCTTCTATTTATGATTTTTACCCTTGTTATCTTGAATCCTCCGATATGGTGAAGTTTAATCTCGGTTTTGTCATGTTTGAGATAACGAGGTTTGACTGTACTTTTAAATATACTGCTCTCACATACAAAATTGATATCTCTTCAATATAACTGAAAGAACAAATGTTTAGGAAATATGTTGTAATATAATTCTGTCTACACCCACAAACATTACCAGAATAAAAGAAAAATAAAGAAAAAGAAAAAAACACCATTTACATTAGACTACATCTTATGAAATGAGAACATGATTTTGTAATGGTAATTTTAAGATATTTATACAGCTGAAAACTTTAGAACTTGTTATTATTAACACTACTATTCTGATGGTCTGCTTAAACTGAATTAATGATTAAGGAACAGGATTTTCAATATTCTTCATCACAGTTATAGATGTAAAAAAAAATCTGTTTTTCCACTGTGTGAATATATCAAAATTACCAAAGTACAGTGTATTAACATTTGTTATTGTAACAATCTTACAGAACCAGATTTTGAAACAAGAAAGGTTAACAAAAAGTACTTGTATAAGAATTGCACTATTAAGTTACTTGGGTAATACTTTCTACTTGTAGTTTAAATCATTAGCACTTTTGAGTGGTAAGTATAAATGTATATACACCGTCTATGATTCCTTAGAACTTGTATATAATTACATATCTCTTCACAGGTTGAAATGAAAATTGATTGCACAAAAAAGTATAAAAAGTATACAGGTTAAAAATTTCAGCCCTATTTTACACACACACCTGCACTACTCCAAATGTTAAATGAACAAAATGCAAAGTTGTGATTTTTTTTTTTGTATAATTGCAAAGAAAAAATGCTGTTCAATTGGATAATAAACATATTGATATTCAAATTGTTACAATACATTACTTGTTTAAAATCATGGTTTTATATCTCATCATACATATTTAAGAAATGAATTTAATTTTTGAAGATTCATGAGGACATGAACTACAACGCTTCACGCCGGCATATTTCATGAAGCGCATCATGATAAATATGCCGGCGTGAAGCATTGTAGATCATATACCTCAAGAATTTTCAAAGTTAAATTCATTTCTTATATTTACATTATTTTCTGACGAGTTACCACAAATAACGCCATTCAACTGTCATTTTTAAAGCAAAACAGTTTGTACTATAGTTTTGACGTCAAGTAAGGTATTATGACGTAACAATGGAGATATTCATACTCATGCATGGTAGTTCATGAGAAAATGAACAGCCTTCTAATTTGCAAAGAATGTTAAGGAAAAATATTTGGAAATGTAAATATAACTAAATGAAGACTGATAAAATGGTCCTCTATAATTTATCACAGTAGTCAAATTCTGGGCATAATGAATACAGGAATATTTCTACATGATATTTGTATTTTATAATATACATATATTAAACACTTATAAGGCAAGTCTGGCCTTTATGGTTCTTGTTTAAAGTTTAAATACAAATAAGCTTACACAACAACAATCTAAAAAATACATAAATTAACAAGAATAGAACATACATTGTATGGTTGGTCCAATTCATACAAAATCAGGGAAATGAATTTGTATGCAATGAAACAAATTCATACTACTGGTGCAGGGTTGCATGACAAAAGGTATGATTCTTTTTTTTCAAAAATTACTTTTTTTCCTTCTTTATTATGCAACTATAAAATCTTCTTGATTATGTTCATAATAATTTGAAAAAAACAATAAAAAAAATCTCCTCAAATATATGTACATTACTGTTATATCAATTTTATTCTCATGATAATTATTCCCAATATGGGTATCTATATATTGGTGATTTTTATACATAAGGTTTGATATTTCAATGTCATGGTTGTATATCAAAATGAAAGTCAAATGTGTCTGACTAAAATGTTTCCCTTTCAAAATTCTAATACTTTCAACAATTACATATCATTTATATTTCATTTGAAGCTGATTTTAAGATCCATAAATTAAATATCATTTTCATTTAATTTTTCTCTTGAACAGTAGCAGATATTTTCAACTGGAGTCATGTTCTCTCTCCATTACAGAATGAACTTCCACAGTCCATTCTTCTCTACCACTTATCGCAAGTAAGTCATGTTATCTCTCAAATGAAGCGTGATCTTCCATTGTCTATCCATCTAAGCGTAACTGATCCACTGTTCTATCAAATCCACTCTACATCAGCCTATCCCTATATCCACTTTTTTTCTACATCCACCCTATACCAGCCTATCCTCTCCATGCATTTCAATGGCTGACTCACATCTCCTGATGCTCTTTCCATTGGCAACCATCTGTAAGAGGAAATACAGTACTCCTGCCTGTAGAAACACATCCTGGGCATCCTGCATCAGCTGGGCGGGGTTTTGTTGGTCACTGACCGCAGGGTGAAGGAGGGTTGGGCCGAACACCGTCGATAGGTTACTTAATGACATTTTATTACTACTCTCATACTTACTGACCCTGAAACACAGAAGAAATGGATAAATGTAAACAACGAACTCATTCAGATGTATCTCTGATATATATATATCACTGTAATAGTACACTGAAAAAGAGAGCCTTTTGTCCAGTACATGTGTACTAATAAATGTTGATCTTAAGGTACCTGACTAAGTGCTCCACTATAGCCACTATGCAGTAGTAGTTCTCGTTTGGAAGGTCATGTAGAAGTTGAAGAAAGACTTTTTCTTTTGAATCACCATCATGCAATCCTACAAAAAGGAAATAAACTAGTAAATTAGCACTTATTCATTTTATGCATTGTTTTTGTTAAGCACACTTTTTTTCTGGATAGGGTTTCCAAAATCTGAGAACTATCAATCAAATTTGCAAGGATCATTTTTTGTGTTTCATTTTAATAAAAAAAGTTCTCAGTTCTACAGTTTTCAGTTCTACATTCTGATAATACCTAGTCTGTCTACCAAACTCAAATATTAGAAATGATAAACAATTTGAAAACATGACAATGCTTATAAACTTTTATTGCTTAGTACAGGAAAATTTCAAAATCTGTTTTGCTTGTGACAAAACCGAATCAAACTACTGTAGGTCTGTCAAGCTAAATCTTGTTAACCTCTGATAGTTATGACAAAACAAACCTTTTCAACCCGTGGAAACTATGCCAAGACAAACCTCATCAACATGTGGTAGCTATAACAAACCTCATCAACATGTGGTAGCTATGACTTTTCAAATCTCATCAACATGTGGTAGCTACATGTATTACAAAACAAATTTCATCAACATGTGGTAGCTATGACAAGACAAATCTCATCAACATGTAGCTATTAGAAAACAAATTTCATCAACGTGTGGTAGCTTTGACAAGACAAACCTTATCAACATGTGAAAGCTATAACAAGATAAACCTCATCAATCTGCAATTGCTATGACAAGAAACCCTTCCTTAATCTGTGGTATCTATGACAAGAAAATCCTCAGCAACATGTGGTAGCTACAAGATATGACAAAACAAACCTCATCAAACTGGGGTAGCTATGACAATACTAATCTCATCAACCTATGGTAGCTATGAATACCAATCTCATCAACCTATAGTAGCTATGACAATTAAACCTTATTACCCTATGTTAGCTATGGCAAGAAGAACTTTATCAACCTATGGTAGCTATGAAAAGACTAACAACAAGATCCTGTTGTAGCTATGCCAGGACAAATTCATCAACATGTGGTAGGTATAACAAGAAAAAAATTCTCATCAACATGTGGTAGTCATAACAAGAAAAACCTCTTCAACATGTGGTAGTTATGACAAGAAAAACCCCATCAACAACCCATTGTAGTTGTGACATTGTTACAAACATCAGTTTGTTTTGTAAAAAAAAAAAAAAATGCTATTGAATACAACAAGCTATCAAATTATAATTAAACATTAATTTTAATAAAACAAATTTTATAGGGACTCATTAAACCTCTTCCTGCAGTGTTATAAGAAGGGGGTGGGGCTATTACTGAATTGTGGTTATATGAGACAGACTTCATTAACATACTGTAGCTTTAACAAGACGACTCTACACTTACTGGACCTATGATGAGACAAAACCTACCAACTACATCTACTAACTGTAGCTATGGCAGGATAACTCTCCTAAAATGAATCAGCGTATAGAATGGAAATCCTGTTTATCTGTTGTACTACCTCAAGGCAGATAACTAACCTATTGTAGCTATGAATTGTTTGTAGCTGGCTTCAGTAAAGAGTGGTTCTGGCAGCTCCCTGAAGTAGAGTTTGAGAACCCCAGTCACTGCATGAATGTCACTGTCTCCCAGGAGGTTCAAGCCTGCTCTCAGATCTATTGAAAGAATGAAAAGTGGTGTTTAGCATATAAGGCCTTTCCTGTTAAAAAAAATGCAGAATTATGGAGATGTATTTTTAATAGAAGGACAACAATTAAAGATATTAAAAAAAAAAAAAAATAGGTAAAAAAATTATTAGTAAATGTAACGCAGCTAGCTGTTGAGAATTTCAAAGAGTCACCAATTGGCTGTATTCAAGAGATTGTTAACTGATGAAGGCAGTGCATAGGAGATATCCATTGATAAATCAAATAAAAGAAATTAACTTTAACAAAAATATATCAACAAATTAAAAAAACTATCACATACTAATTTGTGTGCTTGAAGATGCCATGCTATATTGCAATGTGACTTTACGAAAATAAACAGAATCGAATAAAACAAAAAAATGCACCCATGCAGTTTGCTATATATACATGTATACAGTATGTAAATAAATCAATTTCATAATTGATAAATGGAAATGTAAGGAAGCCCATTTAGGACCTATCAAAAAATATTTTTGAATTGGATATAACGAATTGTTGAATTTGTTAAAATGAATTAATTGAACAGTCTGGATGTTGACTCAACCATTACCAACTTTCTTAGTATTTGAGTTGCTTGCTAACTCTACATAGAACCATACTACATTTTACTATAATTCATACCGTTAAATTGCTTTTCCACTATTCCCATGCCTTAAGGAATGCAAGACAAGACTGTCAAATTCATTTCACATTTATTCAACTCAGCGACAGTACTGTTACACAAATTATTATAATCACAGTCAATTAAGAGTGATTATTTGTATATTTCATAAAATAATCTATATTTAATTCATTATAACATTTTTTTAAAATTATTATTTGTTATAACGAAATAAATCTGTTATAAAAGATTTGTTGAATTCTTGATAACGAATTCAAAAATTGTTATAACGAATTAAATTCATTTAAATGAATTCTTAAATTTGTTATTACATATTAAATTCATTTAAATGAATTTGACAATTCGTAATATTGAATTCATAAATACTTTTCTATAGGCCCAATTTGTCGAATTTGATTAAACGACTTTGATTCATTATAACAAATTTTAGAATTTGTTTAAAAAAATTTAATTTGTTACTACAAATTTTAGAATTTGTTTGAACAAATTTAATCTGTTATAACAAATTTTTGAATTCATTATAATGAATTCAATATATTTGTTACAACAAATTTAATTCTTTATAACAAATTCAAAAAATTGTTATTACAAATTAAATTCGTTCTAACAAATTCGACAATTCTTTATATTGAATTCAAAAAAATATTTTTTGATAGGTCCTTAATGGGTTTCTGTAAATATGCTTCAATTGTGGATGTGATATATGCAATATGACAGCAGAAAAATATTTGCCAATGTTAAGACAAGTAATAATCCCTTCAGATTTAAGATCATACACTCTACATTGATATCACCTATGTATTTTGTTGAATATGGTTTTCCAGTTTAAGAGAATAATAACTTGTTGCAATGTACATATACCCTTCTCTTTAAAAAAAGGAAATAAAGATTGATTTCTTCATACACCAGTTCATGTTATTTTTTCCTACTGCTTTTTCGTTATTGAATCTCCATGGTCTGAACACAAAGTGGTCTGACAGGTATACACTTTCTCTACAGGGGGTATGGACATAAAGTGTTTTACAGTGGTTTGGAAAAGAAAATATTAAGAATACAGGTACAGTTTTTTAAACAACAGTATGGATACATAAGAGTACGGTATAGAGAAGACATATTAGAATTTAATTTGCTTCTTACAATTTTGTTACATGAACTTGTGAAAGTGCAGTGTAGATGTAAGGATGAGTATCATAAAAATTTTGTATTGCGAAATATCATGATATTTTTTAACACAATTTTTACTATGATTTTAAATGAATCTCTCCAACTTTTTTTTAAAAATATGTTGTAAAAATATAATAACTTCACTTTTCTCATTTTTATTTATATTTAAGAAATGAATTTAATTTTTGAAGATTCATGAGGACATGAACTACGACGCTTCACGGCGGCATATTTCATGAAGCGCAGTAGCGATAAATATGCCGGCGTGAAGCGTTGTAGTTCATGTACCTCATGAATTTTCAAAAATTAAATTCATTTCTTATATTTACATTATTTTTCTGATGATATGTCTCATATAACGCCATTCAACTGTCATTTTTAAAGCAAAAGAGTTTGCACTATAGTTTTGACGTCAAGTGAGGTATTATGACGTAACAATGGAGATATTCATGCCCATTCATGGTAGTTCATGAGAAAATGAACTGTATTCTATTTTGTGAAGAATCATAGGGGAAATTTATTGGAAATGTAAATATATATTAATAAACCATGCTTGGATGCTAGGATGCCAATGTTTTTTTTTTTTAAAACACCTGGAAATTGCAATTCAAAATTTTGAACAATAAAATGAATTTTTCTGGTAATTAGAATTATTTACTAAATACCAATATTTTAGTCTCTGTATCACGATATCGATTGAGCAATAAAAAATCACAATATACCAGTATACCAATAAAATCTCACATCCGTACATAGATGTTTGGATTTTGACCATTTGGAAAGAAATCTTTCTGCTACAAACAAAACTACACAGATTTTCAGCTAAATTTCTATAAAAATTCCAACCATGCTGTGGTGAATTATTTAGTACCTCACATTTCAACAGTGAATACTGACAAATCAAACAATTTGATGATTTTGGTAACTGTACTTGTATAACTGTATATCCTCATATCAAATGTCACATAAAAATTTCTGATTTATTAAACAAACCACTGCAAATTGAATGAAATTTTAGTGTAGTTTCATCTTTTAAACAATCCTAATGGTCACTCATTGAGCTCTACCTACATGTATCTTAATGTCATCAAATAGTCATTTCTAATATCATCAAATATAACAAAAAAATTAATCCAGTAATTTGAAAAAAAAAGAGAAGAATTTATATGTATTTTAAGCACAAGCATGAATTTTCATGTCATTTTAATTGAATATCAGCTTGCTTACTTCATTAGATTTTGCAAAATACATGTATAAGGTAAAATGAAAAAAAAAATTGCCTGATCAAAAGTGACAACGTATAAGAAACCATAATGTTCTAGTCTTTCTATTTTAAAATTTAATATTTACACTGCAGACTAAAATCATGAAATCTTTTTCTGAAAAACTGCACACAAATGTGCTCTATGTTACATTCATCAAATAAGGTACAATGAGAGTACAGTAGATCTTTTCTAATTTAAAAAAAAAAAAGAATTAAAATGATGAAATTTGTTCTTTTATCAGTACAATTTCTGAAAAGTTGGATATTTTTCAGTTCCCTCTCAGTCGAAATTGGAAAATGAATCATCTTGGAAAGATTTCACTTTAATTTCAAATTTCTTACTTAAGTCTAGTCACTCCAACAAACATCCATACAAAACTTTATGCACTTTGCAATTATATATTAAAAGCCAATGGTGAAGATTTTTTTTTATATAGGAGCATTCCATGATCAGCAATTCATAAGACAAAAAAAAATATATTTACACACTGGGACCCATTTACTGTCTAAATCTGAAAATGTGTCATATATTGGAGGTAAAATAAATTCCTCATGTATAAATTTTGAGGAAATCTCTGTAAAACAAAGGGAAATGAAAGATACATTGTAATGTAAATGTACATGTACATGAATGTACATGAGAACAGCAATAGATATTTGTACAGTGTACAAGTTCATAAATGCATGTATGCAAGTACAGTTATAGCTATTTTGTATAGTGTTTAAGTACTTTAGTATTTTACCATTTCTTGTTTCTTGTAAATGAAATATTACAAAAGAGTATGGAGTGCATAACTGCTACAGTAAGTAAATGATTTGAATATCATTCAAAGACCCTTTGCATGTGTGTTAAATAAATCCAGATAAAGATTCATCTTTCAAAAGAAATAAATTTGCCAAAACATGATTATCTTATTATAGGAGTTGCAGTTTAATGTATTTTAAATCAAATACATAATTTTAGTTTGTATTGAGGATAAGTTTGCTATTAAATGATTTCACTCTTTAGTATAGGACCCGGTATAGCGATATTAACTAAATCAGATGTAGAATTTAACGTTTTCCTACTTTTGTCAAATGCTTTCTTAATCCTCTGTATCTCTGATGTCACACCAGAAATTCTGTACACACCAACTTCTTCCATTCCTAAAAAAAAAAAAGATAAAAATACAATATTAAAGAACAAATTTTTTAAAACAATTTTTAATTTTGAATAACTCTTCAAAGGCCATATACTCAGAGTTGCTTTATAGCTACATACATGTATACTTTTTGAATCATGATACATTGACAATAAGTCAAGAAAAATGCCCACAATTGAACAGATATAAAAGAAAGTGAATAAACAAAATTGACTACACCTGATAAAATTAAACTGTACTTACCTCTGGCTTCTACTTCCTTGATACAAGCAGTGACAAAACTTGGAATTGGCTTGCGTTCTCGACTTAATAAAAATTAAAGATATTTGGCGTAAATTCATATTAAGTCTTGTAGATATTAAGTACATTAAGTAAGTGCTGCTAACTTACAATTCTTTCATTTTTAACATTGTTTTACATAAATAATACTCCAAAGCTCCTATCAATTCTTTGGTATCATAGTCAAAATCCAATATAAGCAAATACATTATGAAATATTCTAGAAGAGATATTAAACAATACTCACTTGCAGACAACCCCAATCTTGGTTCCAAACAAACCTCCCTGGATTTTGGAGGGAGACCTCTTCAGTGTTTTTGTGGCTGGTGTGTGTCTCACCGAGATCATCAGTGATAGCTGAGAAGAAAATCACACAGAAAATGTATAAAAATTCATATCTCTACTAACGTTTGTCAATGGACATCATCAGATTAACACTGAAAAAAATCTTTATTGCGAGTACAAAATCATTGGTTTTGCCTGTTACAGTCATTATTAATTTGGCACTCATATATTAATTCATTCATTAATACTATGGACAAACCTCTTTTTTTCAAAATGATAAACATCTGTGAAAGTCTCTCATCTAAAATGTTTTTTTTCTTCATTATTTTGAACTTAAGAAAAGCTTAAATGAGACCTACTGTGTTCATACTGATTTTCTGTTCTTTGAAACTGCTACTGAGCCAAGCTCTACTGAGCTGAAAATTGAAACAAAGATTATTTATTTTTAAAACTTGCAAATTGTGCTTTGAAACATTCATATTTAATATTTTTTGAAATTCTAATCAAATTCTGAAAAAAATATTGCAAAAACTGTCTCTTGTAGGTATTCAAATATTGCACAACTCTGTCAACATTTTTTTCTCTTGGAACACAACCTTATTAAACTCTCTCACATTAGATCACAAACAAAATACGACTGTATGAACAAAATGTCAGTCAATTTCTACAGCTACATAATTTACTCGGTCCATCTACAAAGTGAATTAAATCTTTCTTGTTCCAGTGATAAACTTGTTTTAAAACTAAAACATATACAAAGAGCTAGGTTCACTTTATGCATAAAATGGCCCTGTCCCTTATCAATGAATTGACTATCACCCATTTCATATATCAAAATAAAGTAGAGACTTAGTGCTCTCATTTCCTATAGTAAAATTTATTTTTGAGAATCCAAGTATTGGAAAACAGGCTTTGAGAAAATGCAATGTTCTTGAATTTTGCAGAAAACATGGGTATTTGACTACCTTCAGCAAAGAATTAAAATATGAGCACAGCCCACGATCCAAAATTAAAACATGTTTTGTAATCTTCAGAAACAGATCTTTCATTATATAAGTGCACATTTTGGATCAGAGGTTGTGCTCTATATGAAATATTGAAAAAATACCTCAACTTTTGGCCATTTTTAAGGGAATTTACAGGATATGGGGAAAATGACGCATTTTATGACGTCATAATGCATTGACTAGAGAGAAAATTACGTCATGTTCAATAGATACACGGTCACCAAGGGTCAAAGTTATAAATACTGTATTTTCATCCAAAACTTAGCAGTTTTGATTTTTCAGAAATTCTTAGGGCCAAAAAAGGCCCTAAGTGGCTCTTGCTCTTTTTGAAATACAAGTATCTTGTTAAGAGAATAAATATATGACATTTTAAACATTAACATGGACTCGAGTGAGCGTACCTCGAGTGCACTTCTGCCAATCAGCTCATCTTCTCCCTCTCTGTTTACAGTGTAACACAGAATTCTCAGTGTCTGAGATCCCTCCAGTTCTAACTCAAAATCCTGGTCCCAGTTTGGCTCAATTGAGTTCACACAGGGACGAGTCTTGGCTTGCATGAAGAAATAGCCATAGGAATCTAGATGAAGCTGTACATAGGTGTCTGCAAGAGAATACGTTATTAAAATATGAAAATCTCAAATCACTCAGATTACTTTTATACACATGTATCCACTTGTTTTTAATTTGACATTTATGAAATTGAAAATTACAACACAAAATGTTTACATTGTAGCTACAATGAGTCACAACCCCAATTTTTTTATTAAAAGAACAACCATTGTGAAATCTTTGTACATGCAGTGAAACATGTCGTGAAACATGTCTAATCTGACATGCACTGGGAGACAAATTTGTGTCAGAAAAGACAAGGTGTTCAATTGCCACAGTTTAAAGAACATAGAAAACAGTAAAATGGGAATTTATATAAAGGTCAGAATTCACAGTGAAATGGATTGCACAGGTGTAGGATTAGACAGTTTCCAAAGGACAAGGAAAATCCTGTCTTACCACAAGGACTCTCAAGGCCATCCATTTTATGTATTGTGACATTTAGGGATCCATTCAGCATCTCATCATCTAAATTACATGTTTAAAACATAAGACATATCAATGTAGCTTACATAATACATGTAGATATATGTAAAATTTGACAAACATGCAAGTACATGTACTTGCATAAATCTGCATAATCAATTCATCTGCTCTATATGCATGTTCAACAACACAATTTTTTTCTATTTCACAATACATCAACACACATATTTTTTTCATGAATGCATTTGTCATGGTACTTTGTACAACTCACCTTTCTTCATCAAAACATTTCCTACATTGTTAACTTGCGGAAGCTAAAATGAGACAGATTCACAGATTTAAATTTAAAAATATGTTAAGAAGACAGAAAATTTGAAATGCTTTTTCTTCGGATTTTAAACTCAGATAATATGAAAAACAGATAATTTACCTTTATTTTTGTTAGTTTAAAATAAATTGTGCTGTAAAAGTTTTTGTTTTAAATGTTTTAACTCTGTAATAATTAATAGTTTTTAATTTACCTGTTTGCTTTCATTGATTTTGGCCTGGACATCATGGCCACTCAATTGTCTGTAAAATCCACCTGTGGAAAGCAAAGATAGACTACTTTGATTACTTCTTTTTTAAAATCATCAATGACATCTACTTATCATATTTATTTAATACAGCTCTGATTTTGCTTCTGGTAATTTTTTTTAACCCAAAATCCACTTCAACATGTTCTTGAATTCACAGTTAGTTAGCCTATATCAGTGTTTAAAAGTCAATTCAATACAATATTAGTTTCATAGTTAAAAATAAAACACACAAAAATTAAACTGCTGCAGAAACCAGATAATTCTTAATCTTTTCCATTACTAGCACAAACAAATCATGTCACTAATTTTAAAAAGAAATCCAGAGTTATTCCCCTTTAATCTTGCTGTCATTAGGACTTTCCACCTTTCTGTGGAAAGTCCTATTGAAATTGTTCTGTTTATTATTAGGTCTTTCCACCTTTCTGTGGAAAGACCTATTGATATTCTTCTGTCTATTATTATTATTTTTCTTCCGCTGATTTTTTGTTTCGACATTTATCGAAAAGATTTTTTGTTCATCGTAAAGGTCACAAAAAATTATGAACAAATTTGACCCAATGCGTATAACCTATGACCCCTTTTGCAGTTATTGCCCCTTTCACTAGAAACCTTGTTATCGCTACTCCTCCAAAACCGTAAACCGTAGAGTTACGAAACCTTCACCAATGTCTTCGACTAATTGAGAAGACTCTTCAATCTATTCATTACGAAAGGATTTGTTGAGCCCTTTTATGAGTTATTGCCCCTGAAAGTTTTTGAAGTTTACAAATAATGAAAAATTTTCAAAACGATAAGTCGTAGAGACATGAAACCAACTGCATTAGATTCTTTAACCCTAGACCTTGAAGATTATGTCAAGGTCAAAGGTCAAGGTCACTCCAAATATGAGAAATTAAGCTCTTTTTAGAGCTTTTTTGTCTTTCAACATATACAGTATATCTTTGCATCTTTTATATGTACTTTTAAAACTATTTCAAAGATTTCAATCTTGTCCCCTAAGCTGAACCCTTTTAAAAGTTATTGCCCCTTGTGCGAAAAACCTTTTTATCGCTACTCCTCCGAAACCGTAAACGGCAGAGACATGAAACCTTCACTAATGTTTTCAGGGTCTTTAGACACAACTTCAATCTATCAGTGCGAAAGTATCCGGTGACCCCTTATATGAGTTATCGCCCTTTAACGTCTTTGCGCTTACTAGTAAACCTTATAACTTTAAAACTTAAAGTCGTAGAAGCATGGGGTTAATTGCAATGTGACCCTTGACCTTTGACCTTGAATATTTGTTCAAGGTCAAAGGTCAAGGTCGTTTCAAAAATTTTAAAATTTTCATTTCTTCCATCTCTCAAGCCATTTCTGGTTTCCTTTATATAAAAATAAGAAGAAGAGAGTTAAATGTGAAGAATATATGAAATTTAAAGAAGGTGGAAAGACCTCTAATTGTTCGAGAACAATTAGTCTACTAGTTATTATCATTTTTCTTCCGCTGATTTTTTGTTTCGCAACTTATCAAAGAGATGCATCTTTCATATTAGTCGACTACTTAAATGATTTTCAGATTTGACCCAACGACTTCGATCGATGACATTTAATGAAGTTATTGCTCCTTTCGCAAGAGTAGCTTGTTATCGCTACTCCTTTGAAACCACGAACCGTATGGATACAAAACCTTTGCCAATGCTTTCCACTAATTAAGAGTGCTTTCCATTCTATCAATGCAAAAGGATTCATCAAAGCCTTATATGAGTTATTGCCCCTGAAGTTTTTTTGCTGTTGACATAAATTTGAAAAAAAATTTAACGCATAGACGTAGAGACATGGGACTAACTGAAATGGATTCTTGCATTTTTGTTCTTGATATTTAGGTCAAGGTCAAAGGTCAAGGTCATGCAAAATATGAGAAATACAGAATATATGAGGGGGGGGGGGGGGGGGCTAAACCAATATAAATGTATGAAATAAACTATTCCATGCTTTCATTATCTTGTTTTCTTCTTAAAATGCATGTAGAACATTTTATTCATCATAGCTGCATTTAATATAACCCACATGGAAGCTTGTTTCATTCAGGAATCTTCATACTGAACCTGCAACAATCTTAGGATCCGCAGTCAGGCCGCTTTGAGTCCAATCCATGTTTTCCCACATGACGACCTACATACCATTAGCCTCGAGTCCGTTTTATATTATCGGCACTTTTCTAAGTAGTTTAACTAAATCAGAACATTTAACACCTCTAATTAAACCTTCGTAAGCATAATGCACAAAAAGAGAAATACGATATGCACAGTAAAACACATGTCATGCATTGTACTTCCATGGTAACAAATGCCATCAACACGGAAGCAAAAAAGAAGAGAGAGAGAAAAAAAGAGAGGAAGAGAAAGGAAGGGAGAAGGGAAAGAGAGAAAAATTGACCCCTAATTTGCAAAAAAAAAAAAAAAAAAATCTTTTTTTGGAGCTGCGCGAAGAACTTTTGAACTCTACAGAGAAACGAGCCTGACAATAAATCTATAGCAAAAGACGAATTTTTTAATTTTATTTATTTTCTTGTACTTTTCTTCTTCTTCTTCTTTCTTTCTTTCTTCTGTTCTTTTGAAAGCCAAATGATATGGAAACATGTTTCTCAAAACTATTCAATTCCGATAACTACGTTGTACAACAATTTTTTTTTATTCCTAAATAGGTAGTTTACTGCATACATCTTCATCGGAATTCGTGGCGTAGTGGTTAGCGCGCCTGCCTTTCAAGCTAAGGGTTCTGAGTTAGATCCCTGCTGGAAGAACAATTTTTTTTCCCCATTTTTCTTCTTTTTTACAGCCCAAATTACATGGAAACACTTAAAAAGGTGGAAAGACCTCTAATTGTTCTGTGAACAATTAGTCTACTAGTTCTAATAATGTTTGGTCAAACTAGTGTACATGGCATCCCTCCCCTTTCTTGTACTTACCATGATGGTGGTTCTGTTGAGCCTAACAGCATCCCCCAACCCCTCCCCCACCCCCTTTTTGTACTTACTATGATGATGGTTCTGTTGAGCATACACAGCATCCCTCCACTCCTCTCTCTCGTAATCAGTAGACAGCAGGATACAGTGATTTTTGGAGTCCTCCTTCATTGTGAATTGTAATGGCAGATGAGGCGAAGCAAGGATCAAAGCAGCTTCCTAAATTTTGGGGAAGGAGAATTAATAATATGTATAAGGCTAGTTATTATACCATTTGATCTGACATGAAGACAAAATTTAAGCCAGAGAGGTTTTATTGTAATTTGAATGAAGACAATGATATAGGCCATCTACAATAGCCATTATGATTAAGGTAACAACTGTAACAGTGTAAAGGAAAGGAAACAAGCATGATTTAGATTGTTGGTGAACCTTCCAGGAAATTCTCAGAGGCCATTAGCATGAAAAATAGGTCATTGACCTATATATTTGAAAGTGATTTGAAATTTGATTTGTAGTGAAAAATAGCACCACAATCATAGGTCTACAATGAACAAGTGTTTAATCATTCTCTTCAGTTGAATTTTGCCATCTGAGTAAATGTCATCCTTATGTCAAGCAAGTTCTTGAAAATAACTTGCAGAGACTTGCTTGCCAACACTTATTAAATCACAGGCACTTGGGGTATGGACCCCCCCCCCCTTTCCATTTTTTTTTCTTTTTAAATCTGGGGTCCAGTCACCTTTTTCCTATTTTTGTATTCTAATATGCACTATATATTATCAATAAGGCAACTCTTTTGTTTCTATCAGCTGTTTTTTTAAATATATCGTTTTCGACTGATACATAAAAAGAGAGAAGGCTTGCAACTCTTTTCTCATCGTCTGCCTCACCTCGCTTTAACTTCGCCTGATTATTTATCTAAAGCATAAGAACACATGAAATATGCATATGTCAATAAATTTGTTACACATTCTTCTTCCTTTTCGTATTTCCAATTAATTTTTATGTGCCCCCAATTTGTAAATATTTCGATTAAATCACCCACATTTAGGGTAAATTTTGTTGATGTGCACCAGCTGGGACGGAAGTGCAATAACGGTAACTCTAACTTTACAAATGTTCTGCATTAAAAAAAATCCAGGCTTTGTAATAAATGTATTGTGAAATTTGGTTGTCTCTGTCGTATGTAAAATGTTAATCTTCATCCATCAGAACCTGATAGTTACAGTTAACTTGTTATACACAGAACTTACCGTTACATGTAAAATGAAGAGAAAATTCGGGATTTTTCCCTCTCGCATTTAATGTTCCGAATGACATTACACTTAATGATGACGCCAGAAAATACCGGGCACTTCCGTCCCAGCTGGTGCACATCAACAAAATTTACCCTAAATGTGGGTGATTTAATCGAAATATTTACAAATTGGGGGCACATAAAAATTAATTGGAAATACGAAAAGGAAGAAGAATGTGTAACAAATTTATTGACATATGCATATTTCATGTGTTCTTATGCTTTAGATAAATAATCAGGCGAAGTTAAAGCGAGGTGAGGCAGACGATGAGAAAAGAGTTGCAAGCCTTCTCTCTTTTTATGTATCAGTCGAAAACGATATATTTAAAAAACAGCTGATAGAAACAAAAGAGTTGCCTTATTGATAATATATAGTGCATATTAGAATACAAAAATAGGAAAAAGGTGACTGGACCCCAGATTTAAAAAGAAAAAAAAATGGAAAGGGGGGGGGGGGGGGAGGTCCATACCCCAAGTGCCTGTGTATTAAATAAGTAAATACATAATAATTAAATTGATCATTTGTATCCTTTGTAGAGCCTTTAAAGTTTTATAACCAATAATATCTATTTTATTTGATTATACCTTCCTTTCTCATTAACTGACACTTTTACAAACCTGTTCTTCGATTTTCCTTTTTAATTTCTCCATTGTCCTGGTACCAGACGATAACCAGGATGTCCTCTAAAATAAAAAAATTAATTAAATCAATTTTAATCAAATTTAAGGTCATTTATTTTGAATTGAATATCAGTAATTATCAGTTTTTTGTTTTTTTTTACCAGCTTTTACAGTGAAATTATTATAAAACTGACATGCAAATCTGCATGGTTTAGACAATGAAAAACTGAAAATAATTATTCAACACTAATGTTGCTTTCCTTGATCACTTTCTATTTTAAAAGTTATTTTTTAACCTGTGTTTTCAAACATTTGATCACTGTGACATCATTATCAAGTTTGTGTTTCACTGACCCATGAAATGTTAATATCAATCAAAGTAAGGAAACAACAACCAAAATTACTGTAAACAAAATCTTTCAAAGTATGGATGGTTTCTTATGATTCCAATTACTTTAATTCACTTTAGATACAAGAAAAACTGACCTCTCCCTTGTCATCATGGATCTTCATCTCTTTCCTCAGCTCAGCTTTCAAACTGACAATCTTCTTTTTCATGCTCTCTGTGTCTTCTTTGATTGAGAACACCTTATCCACTGAAAAATTTACATAAATATATAAATGGATGTAAAATATGAATTTAAAAAATTCTAAAACAAAATGAATAAAAATTATTAAATCTAGAAATTTACCGGTACTTTTTATCAAGAGGCCCATGGGCCCAGAGTCACCTTGCCCCCCCCCCCTTTTTTTTTTTTTTTAGATTTTCATTAAAAAGCAACCCTCAACTCATGGGTTAATTATGATTTGAATAAACTTGAATCTACACTGCATGCAGATTAATATGACTACCAGTAATCATGGCCCTTCTGTTCTTCAAGAATTTTTCTCCTACATATTCCCATGCAAAACTTCGATCTCCTATTGTAGCCCCAAATCCCAACCTACCCCTAGGGCCTATGATTTGAAAAAACCTTAATCTAGACTTTCTGCAGATGCTTTAATATGACTAATAATAGCCCTGTTGTTCTTTAGATGAAGAATTTTAAAGATTTTTTTCCTACATATTTAGATGTAAAACTTTGATTTCCTTTTATTGTCCCACACTAACCATGGGGACCATGATTTGAACAAGCTAAAATTTACAATACCTGAGGATGCTTGCATATGCATATTAATACGAGTAATCATGACTTTGCTGGTCTTCAGAAAAAAAAAGATTTTTAGAGATCTTTTTTTTCTATATATTCCCATGTAAAACTTTGATTTCCTGTTGGGGCTTCACCCTAACCCTCAGGGGCCTTGATTTGAACGAAATTGAATTTACTCTACCTAAACATGCTTCCATCTTTTCTAGCCCAATGTTTCTTGAGAAGAAAATTTTTGAAAGATGCAACCAAATTTTGCCCTAATTCTTAATCATCTCTCCTTAAAAAAGGACATGGCTCTTCTTCAATCTCACTTAATAAGACACAAACTTCAGTTACACCTCGTAATCATCTCCAAAGTAGTCCCTGTATCACATGTAACAGGGGTAGAAATTTAAGCAAAATAGTTCCACACACATTTTGATATTTTGGTATATATTTTCATGATGAAGGAAATAGTATTCAAATTGATATAAAAAAGTATCTTTACATTCGTCACGGAAATTTAAACTGTAACTTTACCATTTATCTTTCAACAAGATTATTGTAATTTAGATAGTAACACAGGTGAAAGTGAATCTTGTGTAGTGTGTCTTCTGGTGAGAGATTGGGCTCTTTATTAAAGTTGAATCCTTCACCAAGGATGCTATGTGACAAGTTTGGAGGAAATTGGCCCAGTAGCTCTGGAGAAGAAGTGGATAATGTCAGAAGTTTACAGACCAATGGACAGATGGAAGCCAGACAAAATGTGATTAGAAAAGCTCTCGAGCTTTCAGCTTAGCTGAGTTTAAAAAAGAAGAAGACACAACTCAAAATTTTGCATCTTTAAAAAAAAAAAAATCTCTAAAATACAAAAATGAATTGTTAATTCTATGAAATAATATTTCCTGGTGATGGAACTAAGATTTCTTTCCAACTCCTCTTAGAATCACTCAAAAAAAAAAAAATGTTTTATTCAACACTCTATATCAGCATTTACTAGCTACTATTTTCTAGCCTATTTGATATATTTAGGAAACACTGTGACTTAAGTTGTATAAAGATATCTTTAAGGTACTATAATTCACAAGATCTGTTTTAATTTCCAGTGAGGTCACGTGAGATTAACATATATAGGGAAGGAAAGTTAACCTTGACATAATAATTCTGTGCATAGCAAAACAAGAAAATTGTTAAATAGAAAAACATTAAAATCAAGAGTTTTATTTTTGACTTGAAACTTTATACATGTAATTATGAATCATGATGTTATTGCAATTACAAGAGGCCCAAGGGCCTTGAATCGCTCTTCTGATAAACTGTACAACCTATCACTTCTATTTGAAGCCTCGAAGTATCCTGTATATTTACATGAACCCTTGAAATTCCAATTCACACTCTGAGAACCCAAGATGATTCTAAGCCAATTAGTACCTGAGAGTTGGTCATGGTGACCTACTTATCACTTGTCATTCTCTGAGGACCCATCAACTAAGTTTGATGATTCTAAGCCAATTAATACCTAAAGTATTTTTTAAAATTATAATCATAAAATTTTATAAGTAAGTCAAAGTGACCTACATTTCAATTGTTTTACTCCAAGGACCCAAGATGCATCAACTGACAAAGTTTGATGATTCTAAGCCAATTAGTACCTGTAATATTTAATTAAAGCCATAAATTTTCAAAAGTAGGTCACCGTGACCTACTTTTCAGTTGCTGTACTCCGAGGACCAAAGATACATCGACTGACAAAGTTTGATGATTCTAGCCAATAAGTACCCAAAATATTTAATTACAGCCATAAATTTTCAAAAGGAGGTCACAATGACCTACTTTTCAGTCAACCTACTCCGGGGACCAAAGATGCATCAACTGACAAATTTTGATGATTCTAAGCCAAATAATTCCTGAAAATATTAAATACAGCCATAAAACTTCAAAAGTAGGTCACCGTGACCTACTTTACAGTTGTTGTACTCCGAGGACCCAAGACGCATCAACTGACAAAGTTTAATGATTCTAAGCCAATTAGTACCCGAAATATTTGATTAAAGCCATAAATTTTCAAAAGTAGGTCACCGTGACCTACTTTTCAATTGTTGTACTCCGAGGACCCATGACGCATAAACTGACAAAGTTTTATGATTCTAAGCCAATTAGTACCCGAAATATTTTATTAAAGCCATAAATTTTCCGAAAGTAGGTCACGGTGACCTACTTTTTAGTCGACCTACTCCAAAGACCCATGACGCATAAAGTGACAAAGTTTGATGATTCTAAGCCAATTAGTACCCAAAATATTTTATTAAAGCCATAAATTTTCAAAAGTAGGTCATGGTGACCTACTTATTAGTCGATCTACTCTGAAGACCCAAGATGCATCAACTGACAAAGTTTGATGATTCTAAGCCAATTAGTACCCGAAATATTAAATTAACGCCATAAATTTTCAAAAGTAGGTCACTGTGACCTACTTTTTAGTCGACCTACTCCGAAGACCCAAGATGCATCAACTGACAAAGTTTGATGATTCTAAGCCAATTAGTACCTGAAATATTTAATTATAGTCATATAAATTGAAAAGTAGGTCACGGTGACCTACTTTTCAGTTGACCTTTTTTGAAGACCCAAGATGCATCAACTTACAAAGTTTTATGATCATCGGACTTAAAATGTCCAAATTATGCCTCTAAAACGCTTTGAAATCGAATGCCTGCAAAGTTCAAAAAGTAGGTCACTGTGACCTACTTTTTAATAAATATGTTTTATGGCCCCAAGATGCATCATCTTACAAGATTTAATGATTCTAAGCCTCCCCGTATTCGAATTAATGACCTTAATTGTTTTAAAAATGATTAGCCATAAAATTCAAAAAGTAGGTCAAGGTGACCTACTTTTTAGTTGACGTACTTTGAGGACCCAAGATGCATCAACTGACAAAGTTTGATGATCATAGGCCTTAAATTGTTCAAAATATACCTCTAAATCATTTTGAAAAAGAATGGCCGCAAAATTTAAAAAGTAGGTCACCGTGACCTACTTTTGAGTCAACATGATATGAGGTCCTTAGATGCACCAACTGACAAGAATTGATGATCCTAGTCCTTATAGTAAGAAAAATATCAACATTTTAATAAAATGTGATTTTTGGTCAACTTTGAAGTGACCTTGATACCACGCCCTTTGCCCCAGGGTAAATCCCCGTGCAAATTTTAATCTACAACATATCCTCATCCTTTTGTGTAAGTTTGGTGATAATCTGCCCAGTGGTTCTTGAGAAGAAGATTTTTTAGCAACCAGTACTTTTGTTTCTATTTTCCTAATTATCTCCCCTTGTTAAAGGGTCACAACCCCAGTTTTAGTATAAAAGGGAGTCCTTGGGCCAAGGATACCCTGTGACAAATTTGACAATAATTGGCCAAGGGGTTCTTGAGTTATGGCCCATATTCTAAAAAGTTTACGCACACCGCACAAATGGCCATCGCATTAGCTCTTTGAGCCTTTGGCTCAGAAGAGCTAAAAAGAGGAAAGACCTCATTAACAACTGTCTACTGTTTTATTCTCTTGTTATCAACTTCATCACTGAATGAGTTCACTAACAAGGACCTTGAGGTTAACCTAATAACTTCCTACATCAAGTGTGAATATATTGACACATTTAACTGTGTAAGGGCAGCAGATCAACAACAGAGTTCAGATCTGTGCCACATCCTTTTGGAGTACATACACCACCAGGAAGGAAAAACAGAATTCAGCACTATCTACAAGATGTCACAAAACTTGTAAAAATATATCGTGGAAATATTTTTAAGAATTTCAATGACTTACACTTAGTTTCCATGGTGATATGTGGTACTGGCAGAAACCATTTCACTTCAAATACATTTACACGATTTCTGAAAAAAAATAATCAAAATTGGTTTTAATAAAAATATATTTCATACAGAAATCTTACACTATTAATAAAGGGAAAATCTACACTGTGACATAGACAATTACATCCTTATTAAATTTAGAAAGTCCTGGTTTAAAATACCTAGTGTAAATACATCTAGGGAGGATGTATGTTGGGGAAAAGTACTTGAAAGTGTATAGTATCATCTTTCACCAAGCAGAAAAGGAATTATCATTGGAGAAAAATATACCAGTACTTGACAATCTCAAGAACAAGACTCGGAAAGTCTGCCTTGAACAAGATGACCAATATAGAAATTTGTCAATTCAAAGTTAAGGAATTCGTTGAAGGCGTCAACTATGGAAAAAGATGCTTTGTCTATGGAAGGGCAGAATATATCATTCCGAATGATTTAACATTTGCTCATATTATGAGGAGGCTTCATATACTTTTACAAATACAAATATGCAGTGTTAACAAATACTGAGGTTCATTCTGTGTGAACCATTCTTTTCAGGTTTTGTTCAAAGATATTCAGTACAGAACATGAAGAAGAACATTCATTAACAACATAAAGATAACACCATTGTGTAGCAGAGATTTTCCAATTTACCAGTCATATGAAAACACCTGACAGAATAAAATACATGTAGAACTAATAAATATAGTAACATATGTACACATTACATACCTTCCTGTTTGCTTGTGCTTAGTACACACAAGGACATCGGTGAACAAGAAAAGAAATCTAAGTTTTCTGGAGTTTCCTACCATCTCCACAACAAAGCCACTCTTCACCAGATGGTCTTCTGTCTGCAAAATAGAGCATCAATTTTCATCATTTGGTCTAGTCTTATTCAAAATATGACATAGGTATGCAGTTTCATATTAAAATCAGCTTATGTGACCCTATTATAATTCAAGTTCAGGCTCAATGCTTGATACATGGTCACCTTAACTCAAAAATACTGTTATACATGTTCTAATCATTAAATATTTTGACAAAAAAATATTTAACAGCAAAGGAATATTTTTTGGCTTCTCTCGGGTAAAAAGTGAATCAAATTAACAATTTTTTAAAATACAATATATTTTCTGGGAAAGATTTGTGTCAGGAAATTGTGCCAGTAAAAAGTTGACTACAAACATAGTAACTTTTAGCATTTCTAATCTACAACATCATTAGTTAAGCCAATACTCAAACCCATTTTTGTTAGCAATACTCTTGTTCTGTGATCAGTCAGTGATCAGTGCAATCAAGTGACATGGGGAAATTCTATTAGTTACACATATCAACCACTTTACTCACAAGAAACTCAGCTGATTCATTCTCTGCATTAGTTTAAAATAATAATTAATATCTTTAAATATTAGGTCATCTTATACATGTACTTATTGGAGCTACATGTACATTTTAAGAACATGCATTGTCAGGAACATTTTTGGTGCCTAGACCAGGATTTATCAAACTATAATGAGGAAACTTACATTTGCTATTTCTGAATCTGGTTTAGTGGCAAAGTTCTTTAAGTTATGGTCAGCCAAATCTAAGGTCTTCATCAGGACTTTATAATCATCATGATCTTCTGGTGTATAATTCAGGAGATCCTATTGGCATAATAAACCCAAAAAATGTTATCATGTCTTTTCATTACATCTTAATATCTTTCATCCTGATCTGAACTTTAATACTTAATATTTCTTACATCTAATCCATATTGGACTAATACCAACAGTTTTTGTTGAATACATAAAAAACAAAGTGAAAATCATAACTGTTTACAGATGACATTGCAGGTCATGCTACTCAATTTTATGACCCACTCCAAAAAGAAAATCTTCATTTTTTTTCTTTAAAACCCAAAATGCTCTCTAAAATTCCCCCCACCCCCCTGTTTTTGTAAGAGTAGTACCTACATGTATGACTAGAGTATTTCTCTGTTTTTGTAAGAGTAGTACCTACATGTATGACTAGAGTATTTCTCTGTTTTTATAAGAGTAGTACCTACATGTATGACTAGAGTATATCTCTGTTTTTATAAGAGTAGTACCTACATGTATGACTAGAGTATTTCTCTGTTTTTATAAGAGTAGTACCTACATGTATGACTAGAGTATTTCTCTGTTTTTATAAGAGTAGTACCTACATGTATGACTAGAGTATTTCTCTGTTTTTATAAGAGTAGTACCTACATGTATGACTAGAGTATATCTCTGTTTTTATAAGAGTAGTACCTACATGTATGACTAGAGTATTTCTCTGAAGCCTCTGAACAGGTGTAAATAAAAGTTCTACAAATAAAAACAAAATATCAGATATACAAACCAACAACTATGAATCAGATAAAAAACACAGCCAATTAACTAAATTCTAAAGGCAATGCAAAACAAATTACACTTTATCATTTAAATTGGTAAAACATATGAAAAGAAAGAAGGGAAAGCTAATTTTTTTTCTTGTTAAAGATTTTGTTATAATTAAAGTAGGGCTGAATTTTTGCAGACACCATTTAGTAGATGTATTGTCCGCAAATCTGATAATGATAAGTTCAATGCTACTAGAGAGATTATATAACTAGTTCATTTCCTTATTCATGTATTTTGTACCGGTATTCCAATTTTTTTATCTTTCAAGGTTCATGAAATATTTTATTCATATTTACCTTGCAGTGTATGCTGGCCTCCATTGGTTAATGTCTGTAATAATAAATAGAATGTTAATTGACTACCACATCAGCAAGACTAATATTTTCTTTGCAGAACAGGACCTTCTAATATTCTGCACATATTTGGTGCAATTTATCATAATTGATTTAAAATGCAATTATTCATAGACTTACAACAGAGGAGACCAGCTTTCGGAACTCCTCGTTATTGTTGCTACATTTCAGTATACATTCTGCTGCTTCGTGGGTGTGATTAACATATTTCATATACATAGGAAAATAAACAATCTGAAATTGAACAAACAAAATATAATTTTCATAATTTTAAATAATACTGCATTGCAAATAAAACATACATAAAACCCAAACATAACCCAGACATAAGCCTACAATAATAAAATTTGAAAATCCATATTATTAAAATTTTTTTATTGAATATTCAGTTTTTCTAGGAACTTGGCTATCATAATAATAGTTTGAATCTGATCTTTTATTATATTTATAAACCATGATAAGGAAATCTCACCGCTGATAAAACAGCAACAAAAATGAGGAAATTATCTTTGGTTTTGGTTAATTGCTCTACTTTTTGACCGTTAAAACAACTACATGCATGCAATTTATAATTTCAAACCTTATAAAAGATTAAACCCTCAAAATATAAAACATCATAAGTTTGTGTCATTTATAAACTAGAGGTACTGTGAGCACCGAGCTCACAAAATGATACCCCCACTCCCATACGAGTATAATACATGTAGCAAAGTTTATGTTTTGCTATGGGAAACCCCAAATATCTGTCCAGTTGAAATGTAAAATAGGAGGTGCACAACAGCACTATGTAATAAAAATTCTGTGAAAGTCTCATTAAATTTTATTCAGTGATATAGGAGGAGTTGCAGATAAGAGATGGGTGCCCCCCAGTATTATAAAAAGAATGGCAGTGTCCAGGTTTTACTAAAATATGGGAAACCTCCAATATCTGTCCAATCGAAACAAAAAAGAGAAGGTGCACAATGGCACTATGTAACAAAGATTCTGTGAAAGTATCATTAAATTTTATTCAGTGGTATAGGAAGAGTTGCGGATAAGAGATGTGTAACCCCAAGTGTTATGACAGAAGGACATACAGACAAATGGAGGGACACCCCTATCACTAAATACCCACCACTTTTCAAGTGAGGGGTAAAATGAAGGGATATGGTATAGACAGATAAGTTTATTCACTGATAGAGAACCCCAAGGGGTCATGTACAATGGAAACAAATTATTAATAATGTAATCATGATTACAAAAAATAACAGTTACATTAAATGAATTACGCCCACTGCAAACACTCTCATTTTGACATAATATAAGTATAATTGACACACTGAAGTGTAAGTATCACTTACAATAGGAAAAACAGAACTGCTTTACACACCAGGGAACACTACTTGTTTAAGGAGCAGTACATAACACTAAACTGGGTAAATTCAACATGATTAAATGTAATATTATAGGCATACCAAGTACACTTCAGACTTACTAGCTCCTTAAACGTATCTCCAACTTTCTGGATATCTGACCAGGCATCCACTTTGGCCTGTAGCTTCTCCACGAAGTTACCATGTTGAACATGGATTTCTTCCACCTGGTAAAATATGGTGGTTACATCCTCCATTGAACACATTGGGGTATCTCTTAAATTGGTTATCTGGTTCTGTATCTTCCGTTTAAGCTGTCAAAATAAAAAGCACAACCTACTGGAAATTCTTCACACATCCAATTATTGCTTAAGTGATTGAAATCAATTAGCCCCAGGTGACCATGTGTTCTGTTCAATATCAATGAAAATGCCTGGCAATAAAATTTATATCCACTACCCTTCCTTTAGAGAAAATATTTTTTACTTCATGCAGTTCTTATACCAGGACTACAGAAGAGTACATTTATTAAATCAGTGAAACCAAAATATCAACCTTATGGAAATACATAGTGAATCAATTGGGAGACAGTACTGCATGCAGTTCAAGCACATTTAACCCCCCCCCAACCAACCCCCTTTAACCATTTTGCTTACCTCTGTTATATCTTTAAGCAAGGATAAATAGGTCCTCTCACTCTCCAGAATTCCTTTGACTAGAATTTTCCTCATGTGAAGTTTCTGGTCTCTGATCTTCTTTGAACTACTAAGGCTCATAGTTCTGGACAATTCAGGCTAAAATATATGTACTATATGCAATTCATTTGTGTACGTAATGTTTTCATAACATATCTACTAGAATGACCACTAAAGATTTGTTTTAAGATGAACCAAAAAATGCTTTTATAAAAAGAATAAAAATCACTGCTACAGAAGTTCCAACTAGATCAGCACTCAAGATTTTACATAAAATAAAATGCTAAATTTAAGGACATTCTTCTTATGAAATAGAATACCACGTCAGTATCACTTGTGTCCTCCGAGTCTCCCCCTGGAGCCTCCGTGATCACATGACACTTCCCATCAACCTCGTCTTTCTGTTGAGTATTTTCTGTATCTTCCAGATCCATACCTGCTGAAATGAAAGAAAAAAACGTTAGTTTCACCTTGATTCTAAATATCTGCATTGAAGTTGAACTTTTTTAATACCAGTCATTAACCAGAGCAAGAATTGTATTATGATAGTTTGCAAAATATGCTGGCAGTGCATTGTATGTAATTTATGCATATAATGTTCAAGATCATACAATCCAAGGACACATACAATTTGCTGCCAATTAAATACCACGTAGAGACCTGTATTTTACCAATTGAAGGTGTATTTAAATCAAAATCTAAACCAATTAGAATATTATTTTGAAATCTTTTAAATTCAATTTTTGTTTTTAAAAAAAAAACTTATGGGGACTAAATTTCATTTGCAAAAAGTCTCCTTCAAAATGATTTTTATTTCTTATTTGCTTACAAAAAAAAACATCCCCCCCCCAAATTTAATGAACTAACAGTAGATATTAAACATTAACTACTATGGGTATGTACAATTAAGAATTATGTACAAAACATTACATAATTTTCTTTTCTCCCTCATGCTTTCTCTTGCTGATTTCAATTCTAAAATTGTTCATGTGTAAGTTTTAACCCATAAACTCTATCTTTTAAAATATAAAACAACAATAAAAACCAGGGTGGGTGTTTTAGTCATGTGTTTTAGTCTTAAAAAGCCAACAGTCACTGATTGCAAAATGTTCCGTGATTATCTACACAAAAATTGATATGGGTGGAGTATGGAAAACCCTTTCTAGGAAACTAGAAGGGGTGTAAGAGTACTTTCGTTCCAACTTATTTCAAATATCAAGGCAATGAATCATTCACCATGTTTGAAATTTGATTTAAATAGACAGATATATATATACTACAGTCACATTCTCAAGATACTTGACACACTTTGATTGAGCAGGGAAACACAGAAGTCCGGAAAAACAAATAAACTCAGATTTCTAAAAATGTTTTACAATACTGAACATGACGTGTATAGATCTAATATAAAGTGATGACAAAAATACAAATAGGGGACGATGACTTTAATCCTTATGACTAATAGAGATGGACATTTTTGTTAACCAGTCACAAGATATGACGTGACTAATTACAAGCTGTTTATAATTTCTTTGCTACCAACATGATCAATTTCATGATTTTACAAAAACATTTCCCACTGAATCATATGTGACAGTAGCTTATCCAGTAAATCAAATGAGAAAAAGAATTTGATCAGCCACATTCCAAAACAATCTGAACTTTCTTCGGAAATTTTAATGGGACATGATCGATTTTTAGTACATTAATTATTAATAGTTGTAGATTATGCAGCATTTTGTAAATCTTTTCAGTGTGTTATCTGGATTTATTGATACCATCAGAGATATCCAGAATAAAACTCCTTTTCATATACTGATAGATTATTTTAAGATTTAAGGTTTTATAAAGTCTTATCTTTCTCAAGCAGTGCACTAAATGTTTTACTTGTATTTTATCTAAGAAATCATGCAAGTTATCAGTTGAAATTAAATTGAAAGACCATGCAAATAACAAATTAACTGTAACTCATTCCTTCCATATTATTACATCTTGCCAAACTTGTGATATATATTTAATATGTAATTAGAAATCCTACTGGGACCAATTTATATTTACATGTTACATGAGATTTTCTACATTCCTTTGAAAAAAAAGTTGTGTTTTTTTGGGGGAAATTATAAATTAATTTAACCAGCTACAACTAGGTCAAGGAATTCCTTTATTTTTTAAATTATAAAAAACATAATTGACATCCTCTGAAATAAGAAAGGATGTCTAGAAATGATAGAGGGAACTTCCTTGGTATTACTGGAATTAACATGATTCAATTTCCTTCTTGAGGCAAGTCATGTGTCCATTTCCTTAACAGTAACCATAGGAACCATCTCCTCCTAACATCTTTAAAATGCCCATTAAATTTCATATCAGGGCCATTACTTTTTCAAATTATAACCATTGGCTCGTATCATTTGCTGGTAATGTATAACTTGTAGAACCCTTGAGGCTGTGAGAATTTTTTTTTTTTTTAAAGTTACATGTATACAACATATTGTACAAAATGAATCTTTTTTTAAAAAATGAGGAAACATTTCAGAATAGCAGATCACCAATGATAACAGTTTTCAAAAGATGATTATTTTAACCTTATAAAAAAAAAAACAAAAGTGAATTTGCATAAAATGTAGTATTAGTTTACTTCCTGAATAAGGTGATATTCTTACATCATAATGGTACTGTACATGTACCGTTTTATGGGTATAATATACTGGGTATGATATGATTTATACGGTCTGACCGGGACACCTGAAAAAACATAAACACAGGCTTTATCTAGAATGGGGTATTCTAAAGTAAACAATAATATAGCCAGCACGCAATAAAGTACATGCTGAAAAACTGTTTTCTTTTATCTATGTACTTTGTGCTTACAAATTTTATTTGAGAAAAATGTCACCTACAATCTGTTTAAAAGCTGCCCGAGACTATTGTTACAAATGCCTATATTTTGTTTGGTGAATATGTTATATATCTGCAAAATTTACTTGAATGTGAATTGCAGGTGACTGCATAACAACTTTAACATTGAGAAATTCAGCATGACACTAGGTAGATTTTTAATGGAAACTGTGATCATAAATCACTTGTATTTTGTTTGACTTAAATGTCAATCATGAGACAAAAGGGGTACATATACATATTTCACTAAGATGATTTGGGGGTATGATCTGAATTAAAGTTTATAGAGGTAGTTGCCATCATAACTGATGAAACCTTTAAATTTTCAGTTGAAACAATTTTGTAAAATTATGCAAAGTTCTCCTGAATTATAATAAGAGATCTATAGTTACGTCATTACTATGGTTATAATACAGGGATGTGCAATTACAAAATTTAGTTACTAGCCCGTCGGGCTAGTGGCAGTAACAAAGTTACTAGCCTGAGGTTGCCAGTCACTAGCCCATTAACTACCAAAAACAATACATGTATAACAAAAAGGTAAAAAAAAAAAAAAACATTAAAGTTGAAATAAATAAAACAAATAATGGTTTGCGCTTTGTTATTGTCAGGTACTTCTCCCTATTTTTATCAACTATAATTGTCACTGAAACGACTGGCGATAGCAACACATAATACATATAGGTTAAAACGAATTAAAGATTATGATTTTACAACAAATTTAATTTGTACATCAATTCAGTTGATGTATACATAAGTATACTTTCGTGTTAGATTTACTAGCCCAACGGGCTAACGCAGTATAGATTTATCGTAGCCCGACCTCTAAAATTGATAGCCCCGGGCGTCGGTAATTGCACACCCCTGTAATATGACATTTCTGATGTAGAATTACACTGAAATGCAAATGAAGGGATTGTGTTCATATATGTTGTACCTGTGTCAATAAATCTTATTTCTTCACACATTTTCATCATGTTTATATCCTAAACCATAAGAATTAAATCACACCCCAAACAAAATATGCACATCTGCCCCAGATTCTATACATTTTGGGATCCTTTGCCAAAACCTCACATTCCAAAGAAAAAACATTTCAAATTTCACCATCTGTTGTATATAAGCTAGGATTTACATGCAGAACAATTTATAATACCAACTCAGTTTTAAACATGCATGGTCTCCCCATGATCCGCTAGCTTAATAATGAAGACCTGTGAATCCAGGATTCAGATTTAATAGCATTAAATATAATAATGCTAGGATGAAACATAAATGAAACATCAATCATGCATAAGTACATTTTGTGTATCACTGAGAAATCTCTCTCTCTCTCTCTCTTGTGCAATTCATATTAAGTTTATTTTCAAACAAATGAGCATTGTTTTTGTTTGTTTGTTTTTTGTTTTTTATAGTCCTACATAAAGATCCCCTACTAGTATGCTAAAATGCAATTACCTGTAGTAACTACATGATAATTGATTTGTCAATGTAGTAGCCAAGAATGACAAAAGTCAAGTTATCCAAACCGTCATAAAAATTACAGTTTGTGTGGGCCGAATATAAAAAATCTAATTTAGGATTATATATTATATTTGTGTTTATTAATTATGTATAGTTCACATTGTGCATAGTACAAAGAGTTGAATTGTTTTCTGTGGGGTAAGCTAGAATACTGACAACAGGAAGATAATCATTATCAAACATAGATAGATCTTCATGTGTCATCGCTCACTAACAGCTGGTGTTTTTGACCAAAAAGAGTTTTTCATAGTTAGAATAACAACTATAGGGCTGTTTTTTTTTACAAGGTGACCAGAGAAATTAGACTGTAACTGGTTAAAAACCTTATTGCATACAAAAAGTGTACACCTATGTAATAGTATACCTGTGTATTTACATGTATATTAACATGTAACAGGTATGCATGCAATACCTATGGCACACCTGTGACTGTTGTTAATATTTATGTATATTTAGGTAACCCAACAGATGATTTAAAAAAAATAATAAGCTAGTACATATGATTTTGTATATATTATTTGTTAAAGTATAATAAAAGTCAATTATAAATTGAGCAACATAATCAAGACTAAGCATACTCATTTATGCAAAAACATGTAAAATTCTAAAAGAAGTAAAAAGAAATGTTGTTTTTACATATGAACTTTCAGTGCAGTGTGCCAAAAAATTGGATTTTTCCTTTAATACTTTATAAGAACATACAGCCATGAAAGTTATGACGTTTTTTTTATTGCAGTAATTTATACTTACTTTGGGTATTCTGAGATGTGCTGTCATCTCCAGGTCGTTTCTTGAGAGCACTCTCTGAAGAATCAGGACCATTTGTGTTGGAATCACACACCTCTCCACTAGTAAGACTAGTGATTGAGGTCGAGTCTGCACTAGAGAAGCTTGAGTCACTAGATTTTTTGGTCCCCGTGGAGCCTACATTGTCATAAATGTCCGAGCCACGATTATCACGGTCATCTTCATCGTCCAATTCAAACACTGGTGTTCTCCTTGTTAGGAGAAAGTCCACAGAAAAATTCTCATAGTCATTAGACCTCAATCGTTTCCTGTTTTTGGGATCTTTATTAGACTCTGGGGATAGTTTCTGACTAGATTCTGTGATTTTTTCACTAGGACTACTCACTGTGTCTAATTCACCGCTAAGGTGTTTGTACCCTGTTGATATTACTTCACCACTTCCACGCTTTTCTTTTCCTCCATCACTCAACCTGAATTTTCTTAACATGTCTTTGTCCTGCACCTCAACAGTTTTGTGGGAGCTAGTTGATTCACTTAAGGAAGCAGTGGAAGAATTGTCAAAAGAATTTGTTCCTGTCAATTCATCGAGGTTAGTCTCAGGTGTGCATGCCCTTGTTGTTACGTTCCCTATGTTTAAATCATGCTTTCCTCGATTTACTTTCGTTTGAACTGGTTCCCCTTTACTTCTGTGTGGGCTACGATGATTGGAACTGGGACTGAGTTTTATACCACGGGGGACTGTGGGAGGTTTCGGTCTAACTGGATGTTCAGCTCTTGGTCTTCGAGGAGGAATGGCAGGCTTTGCAGAGGGTGTTCTTTCTGTTGACGCTGATAATTTTCTGGTGCACTGATTTTCATAATTTACTTCATCTTCCTCATCATCATCACTGTGCGCTTTTCTTTCATTGTCTAGAACCCCAGCATTAATAGGCCTATATGAATTGTGCTCTCTGTTTGGTGTGCTACCGGAGTCCCGTCTGTGATTATCACATACCTGTGTTACTAGGTTATCTCCAGTAGCTCCATCACTTGACTCATTATCTGTTCTAAGATATTGATTACCGCTTACTACCGCGTTCACCTGGATTTCATGATTATCAGTTACATCAATAACATCACCACCCATACCAATATTAACAAAAGTTTCTAAGGTGGAGTCCACACATTTTCCAAGACCATCCAACAAAGAATATTTCCTTCCTCCAACTTCATCTGATGATTTTCTGTCATAGTCATTTGAACTTGAGAGATGTTTTTTTCTACTTGTACTTTTTCTTGGTGAGTATTCGGAAGATTCAAATCCATTGCAGTCTTTCATGAGAGTGTGCCAAAAGTTTTCTATAAGCTCAGCCTTTTTTAACTCTCGCCTTAGCCTCTTCGAAGTTTCCCTTGATTCATTATAAAATTTTCCAAGATGGGTTATATTTACTGACTCGAATCCATCAGCTGAAGTTGAAATACAGCCATGTAGGTCAAGTAACGGTGGGTCTTCTTGAGGAAATTCTGCATTCCATGTTTCCACAAACTTGTTGTATAATTGCTCCATTATAACACATGTACTTGAGGCATTACAGTGATGATGTGACGAGGAGTGATATTTCTAAATTTCTCAGGAAATCCTTTATTTGAAGCTCGGATTTTGTCATGTTTCACTTCCGTGTTTTTTGATAGCCGCCATTTCTGTTTACGTTCTTACTTCGGAACTCCTCGGATATATTTCAGTGAACGGTCCCATCCCTGTTTAGGCTGTTAATACGCATTTAATCTTTGTTGGAGGCCTGGTTAATCCATCTTTTAGTTTCGACATAGGCCTACCATGCCTACTTGAATTACCCACACTTTTTGAAGAAATGTCAAAATAAGAATAAGGCTTGTACACTGTAAATTTAAAGCTCCCTCCCAACCATGCTTATGTGCACACAAGAGACCCATGGGCCACAACGCTCACTTGAGTAACCTTAGTCCTACTGTTCCCATCAACATATTTTTATGCCCCCATGAAATGCCGGAGCATATAGAATAACCCCTTTCCGTCCGTCTGACGGTCATTCTATCAAAGTTAGCTCACCTGAGCCGAAGGTTCGGCATTAAGGACTTTTTTAAACACTTTCTGTCACTTAGTTTGTTACATGTACCTATTATGGCATCTAATTAATCGAATATAAATATCAAGAATGACGAAAAATCTCTATTGTAAATGTTTTGTCCTACAAGAATTATTAATTAATTTCTAAATAATAATGTTTTACTAAGAATTTCATAAGGGTTTATTTAACAATGAAATGTTTATGATAGACCAGAGACATATAATAGAGGGACTATTTATTATATGTCTCTGGATAGACTTAGTATAATTCTGATGTTTAAGTGCAACCGTTGAAAAGCTTTGGAAGGTCTTCGGTGTTTAAATTTGAGTTTCCCGCTAATGGTTCAGGAGTGGGAGCATATTATCGAACCATGATTGAATTTCGAATTAAGTAAAGTAAGTAACATACATCGTGCTGATTTACACCTACAATGTATATAAATTTTGTTTATGATGTGCAAGCACGTGGCACCATTAATCAAAGTAGGGGTAAGGGGTTATCAAAGTAAGGGGAGGCCCAAAAATATAATTTTCAAGGTACCTAAAAGAATTTTAACCAGTTTAAAACAACTAAAGTCGAAAAACCTATTTCGTGAAGGGGTAGGTGTTGGTGGGGGTGAGATAAGTTCCAACATTCTATCATGATGTTAATTTTAAATTTACTAGGTGGAAGTGCATGCAAAATTTACATATGGCAACTAGGTATCATGTTAATTTTGCATTTACCTCCACTAGTAAATTTAACATTTATAACATGATAATTCTCTTTTCGATAAGAAAAAAATTGGATACATTAACAAGGGAGAGTTCGACCATACTGCAGCAAAAAGTGTTGGAAGGGATGGGGGCTTGGCCAAATAACATTTTAATGAAAATTTCAAAACCTACTTTATTACAAAAGATTTTTTTCGGAAAAAAGTTGATGGGGAGCCCCCCCCCCCCCCCCACAAAGTTAGGGGTCCTGAGTTCACTCGTAGCCAGTGTTTCAAGGTATTGATAACGAACAGTAATCAAGCTCAAAAGTCCATTGGAACAATACAAAATGGGAGCCGAGCAAAACGGACCTTTAAAAACATCAGAGAAGGGATCAGGTGCCATGGAGGAGTAAGTACCTCTTGTCGACCGGTCACGCCCGCCGTGTGCTCTTGTCATGATTGAGCAAACAGAAAAGTCCGTAAACAATTCAATGTGAAAATAATGGCCTAACAATTTGTATGAAAAACGTCAGTCTCGACTTTACAACGATAGATTGTATTTGCTAACAAGGTCATTGTATCGACTTCAGAATTGGCGGAATGTTGACTTTAACAAGACTGTTGATATCTTTGTATTATCAACTTATTTGTCAATAACTTGCTTCACTTTAAAAATTGTTCGTACATAGAACATGCCCTTGCGTATCGAATCAATTGGGAGACCTAAACTCAAATTGTATACTCATGCACTACACAGTAGATCATATTTGGTACACGATTTTATTGATATATACTGCTTATATTAATATATAAAATCAAAATAAGTAAATCAAGAAGCATACAGCAAAAGACAAGTCGAGATTCAAATAGAATACACCACTGTGAGACTCCCCGATGCGTTTTATTTTCCCATAAACGACTCCCCCTTCGTAACAATTGCAATTTGAAGAGAAATGTCCAAATTAATCATTTTTTCAAAGAGTTGTAAAGTTTCAATTACTGCTTTTTAAGAGATTAAGTGTTTCTTTCGCTGATTCAACTATCTGAACCTCGATGCAAGTCTTAGATTGTGCAAAACATTCATGTTTTCACAACTCGATCCCTATAAATATGAAATCTGTCAAATAGTTCCGAAGTGTGCAAGAATACCTGGCGTATATGGTAGCCGGATCAACGACCTGTACAAACCTTTACCATTCTTGTCTTCCGTGCGATATTTATTTTTTGTAAATACATTCTACAAATACCGAAAAAAGACGTGACTCACATTCCTTCCGTCTCCGAAGCGGTGAAAACATACTTCCCTATACGTTGAAACGTCTCCCCCCCCACTTTTTAGCGATTCTCCCGCGTTACCCGTTGTATACGGTGTAAAAGGGGGAAGGGGCTGGTCCATTTATATGCGTACATGTACTACGAAAATGCTCAAACGAGAATACCATTTTGGGGGGAGGGGGCGCTTTCCTATCTTTCTTTCTCTCTCTCTCTCTCTCTCCATACCGGTATATATAACCGGACGACCTGTCATAAATAAACAATCTAAAAAAATCTACCACTACAACTAAACTACGGTACTAAAACCTTAAACTTACATTTCTTATTTTTTAATTTGAAATATGGAACACGACTGACCTAGCTCTTTCGTGTACTCTGCAGAATCCGAACTTTCTCTCGTTTTTTTTAGTGGTGTAGGCACTCTCCCTCCTTCCCCTTGAATAGAGAAAATGCATGGACCAAACCAGGATTCAAACCCAGCCCCCTGAAGTCTTAACAAGTACTCTATCAACTAGGCTATCTAAACTTCAGTGAACGAATATACCTGGTTGCCACTTCAACACGCTTTTTGTCCCCCCCCCCCCCCCCGCCCTTTGCAGCCAGGCTCATCTCCAGCAGCTTTTGAACTTATTTTAAGTGCATGATTACAGCACCGAATTTAACAGAGAAAAAGCAACGCGGATTGTGCCTGAATTTGCAACCTTGTCCCCTGAAATGTCGACAGGTTCACCAGTCGAGCTATCTGACCCCCGAATCTGTCTAACAGATACACACTTAAAATATTGAATAAAATATGGATTTTACTGTAACATATTTTGAAATGTTATTAAAGTTGAAGAAACATAGAGTACATGCATATTTAAAGATACTACACTGCAGTATGATGCATATGACACTAAACATATCTTTGCAAAAGTCATTCCAATGTAACATATATCAATTAATCCTGCCAACATAAAACAACAGTTTAAACAGTTAGAATGCTGCCAGTTTACATTTTCGATGAATAATATTGGGTCCAAATTCATGATAGTCATTTCTGGTGATCCATCTTGTCTCGCATGAGGACAAGGAGGCGTAAATGGATCCACCAATCCACACCATTTCTCCACGGGCTGGATCCGCCCACACCTTGACTCGACCTGTGGTCTTGCTGCTGAGTTCTTTCAAAAGACGCTCTTTAAAACCTAGGGGGAAAACGATTGATAATTAAAACACAAAAATTATATCACACAAACAAAACTTTTGGTGATTGTTCAGTGGTTCTTGAGAAGAAAATGTTTATATAATCCCGGTTTAATTTTACTATTTATACAGGGTGTCTATTCCCTCGGAAAGGAGCATGGCCCTTTATACTTTGTGAAAAATTAATGTTTATCCCCTTTATCTATGAATTTGCCTCGTGATGCAGGAAGAGAAGTTGACAATATGAAATCTTAGCATACAGACAGATGACTGCTGGATCAGGAAAACTCACAGAAGCCTTTGGCCTAGGTGAGCTAAAAAGTATACTAATGTAAACATACCAGGCAATAATGTCGTTCCACCGGACAGAAGTATATTGAAATAGAGATTTGACCTGCAGTCAGCTTCACAAGCCTGAATGGAGGCGTGCACCAAATCTTGGATTCCTCCTTCCTCATCAATGTCATTACCTAGAATACCAAGATAGATATTGTATTGTTTGCTCTTTTTTGGAACATGGAACATTTCATTTTCAGATTATTATTCACAAATATTACATTAGGGGTATAGGAATGGAAATTGGTAATTTATTTATTTAGGATCGCTACATTACCATCATCAGGTTTCCGTGTCAGTGTTTGAGTTATCATTCTATTTGACAGATAGCATCCAAAATACTAAATTTACTGCACGCGAGTAAATTTTTTACAAGTATCATAAAGTGAGTAAATTTCAAATAAAATGAAAACCATAATAATTTTATGGGATGTGTACTCTGTAAACGAACAGTGGACAGAGCTACCGGTATGCTCACCGAGTCCAACGCCTTGACTTTCTATTTATCATAATTTTACTAACTTATTGATAAAATATTCGACTTTTGTATGTGCATAGAAATCGCTACCTCGTAAAGATGGACGAAAAAGTACTTCAGGGGCCTGAAACTTCTCGTCGCCAATGGATATTTGCTGACCATCTGGTAATGTAAATTTATCAATCTCCGTCGACGACGATGTCGCCGTGACCAGAATACTGCTATCCGGCCATACAGAACAGTGATCTTCCTTCATCCTTCTAATGGTATCAATTTCAGCTAAATGGTAAATTTTGCACGTTTACACATTATAAAACATTTGCACTGCAATTGTAGAGGTCGTAACCTTTCTTTTCGGGACTACAGTTGAACTCAGTTATCTCGAACACCAATATCTCGAATACCAGGGATATGTCGAAATGAGTTGGTAGTCCAGACCATTTTTTCTTCATGTTTTCTAAAATACCATCGCTATCTCGAATCCTCGGATATCTGATCCCATCGTGTTCGAGATTACGAAGTTTAACTGTATTCACTCAAATTTCCATCGCGGAAAATAGATAGCAAAGAAAGGTTAATTTAACAGCATATCATATATACTACAGTAAGCTTGCTCAGTGGACAGTTTTTACTCGGCTTAACATTACAGGCACCTGGGGCGCCACCCCTTTCCAATTTTAATGTATCAATAGCTCATGAAGGCGAAAATGTTACACTAACGGTAACATGTTATCCATATAAGAATACTAGATTGGAAAAAAATGTGTCGCTGCAGATTTATATTCTATTCGAGAATACATAGGTTTTAAAATCAAATGTTTCGGAATACAATATTTATCCCTGTCTGGCTTCATTTCACTTCATCAGATCAAATAAATACAAACGTAATATACTGTTGAAGTACGCACAGTATGTAGTGAAAGAATATCCTTTTTCGTACATTAGTTTTTGTAAATACATTGTTACATCTCTTCCGCCGATCTCCATACTTTTTATTGTGTCGGGGAAAGCGTGTCCTAGATGAAGAGAGAAAGAAGTTAATGATCTGCACGGTGAACGAATATAAAGATAAGGTAAACATTAGTGAAAAGTGAAAAATAATGGCAGAGTTATTATTCTAAGTTTGCAAAAAAGAAATGGGAGGGGGTATACTAACAAAATAAAACAGTCCTTATCAACTCATTTATTTGTTTAAAAATACATATAAGGAGAATTAATGAACCTCAACCATAGACTTTAAGAATTTTTAATTAACTATGTTCATTTATTTTACCCTCATAGACTGGAAATGCTTGTGTGACACCATCACCACATTCCAGAATGAGGCTGTTGGTATGTCCATATCCCATGACAGCTAAAATACCCTGCATCTGGGCATTGAAGCCTAATACGTTAAATTTTTCCATTAATAACTGTAAAAAAAAAAATCAAAAGTACATATAATTAAAACATATATAAAACTACACTGTAAATGAAACTGCAAAAATGCCATAACCAAAATAATTAATCTTTGTCTCCAATGGGTCCATTTTAGATGAAATACCAAAGACACTCCTGTTACAATGAACGTAATTACATTTAAAATGTTTTTAAATGTAATAAAACATTTTAAACAGTTAAAATGATACTAAACGTATCTCTGTTCCAAACTAGAGCATCTACTGAAACCAGCTATAGGACATCTTGTATATTATGATGGATTGGAAATCATTCGAAAGTGGGTGTTCGTGTGAGAATTCGATCAGAAGTGAGGCCAAAATAAAATTATTGTTTGTTTGGAATTGCCTCCCGCCTCATTGAAATGACCCTTCCTGGAAAAATTTTATTGACCAAAAATAAGATTTTTTTATTCAATCAATTCTTGGCCTGTTATCAAATGTGCCACAAAATCACTTAATAAGTGTCGGATCTAAGCAAAAACTGGGTTCATGGTTGATGGGAGATACCCTTTTCAAAAAGGCAGAAAATAATGTGTTCACTGCTTATTTTGATTTTTATCATTAATTTTTAATTTAACTTTAATTTTGGAAAAAACAATAATTTCCCTTCCTCCCTCCTGGGTCTGAAATCTCCCAGGCGGCAATTCCAAACTAACAATTTTTTTAAGGATAGCCTGAGTCTTTCCTGATTTTTGCAAGAAACACAAAAAAAATATTAAAAACAAATTAATGTTCACCTGCAACATCATTTCTCTACAAGCACCTGGCACATTAGACACTTCAGAATTAAGAACATTGAATTCTTCCGGAGACACCCGTAACACACTTGTAAAGATGTACTGCCATAAAAGTTCCATGTCCTCCCAGTTTGTGACTATACCACGGTCAATGGGAGACGTCATAGCCAGGACTTCTCGCCTTGTCTGGGCTTCATTTCCGACAAAAAGACCGATTTCCGGCGACACCTGTAGAATTCAGATGAAACATGACAGTCATAGCCCGCACTCTATGTATCTCTGTATCACGCTATCTCTAGTTGAGAACATTCATAAAATGTCCTCTTTTAATAGTGTGCTTTTAACGACTTGGCCAATTAAAGGCATACATGTTATAACACCCAAGCAACATTTCAATCAATTTCAAAGTGACTTAATTCCAAAATTAATAACCAATTTTGTAAACATTTTTCATTTGATTGCATCTAATGATAAACTGTAGCTCAACAAATTTTGGCGCGACATTATTTTCGTGAAATAGTTATTTGGAATTTGATACATGTATTTATAAGCGAGAAAAAATGTCATGATTTTTTGGCTTTTGTTATACGATATTAATCTTTAAAAATACAAGTACATGAGAGAATGAACATTTCGCGTAATTTTATGAAAATAAAGTTCTCGAAAATAAAAAGATATTTACCGGTACAGGTATTCATGTCTCAAACGTTGCGTGTGGATTGCACACGCAGATAGATTAGCCTACAGCTTTCTACATATACATGGAATCTTTTATAGAAGAAATGGGTCTGATGCCAGAAGAATCCTGAAATGTCCAGTCATGGGGGAGCACGTCCGTAAAGATAATGGGACTAACTCATAAAAAAAAATCTGCATAAAGAAGATGGGTGAACAAGGCGGGTGAAGTGCCTATAGTGCGACAAACATGAAGTGAAAAATAAAATCTCAATTATATCCAAAATTTCTTTGATATTTCATCTAAACTTAAAGTATACTTTATGTAAAATCTCTATAATTTACAAAAATCTCACAAAGACTAAAATTATTTGCCTACGAAGTAGCATACATACACTTAAGAGGACAAAAAGGGTCATTTTCTCACACTTTAACAAAAATTTTCGATATGAGTGGGTCTTCGCTCCATTTTTTTGAAAGTTAATCCTAAAAGTTTGCATAAAAATATGCATTTTTTGGTTTACAAAAAAATGGAGCAAAGACCCACTATACATTAAAAGTACACTTTTATGACAAAGCATTCGCATCTTTCCGAAAAATACTTGAAGTCCATTAAGTCAAGGGTCATATATCACAAACATGATTTAAATGCCACTATTCATCAGGAGCTGTGTAGCGTAGTGGGTAGCGTGTTAGTCTCAAAGCAATATGATATTCCGGATTTTTATTGTTAGGGGTTCGAATCCCACGAATACCATTTTATTTTTTTAATAAAAGAATAATTTTTCCGAGATTTTTTTTTCTCAGAAAAGTTTTTTTGATCATAATTTCATAAATTTCAATTATGAGAACTTTACTTAATTACTTAGTCCACAAATTGAATGTGATTTTTTTAATATCTGAAGCTATAGGCATTTTGCACGCCTTGTTCACCCATCTTCTTATAACGACCTGTAAATTAGTATTGTCTGATCAGGAAAATGGACATAATATCCCGTCTCAACTTCATCTGACTCCAGCACATTTACAAATTCAGATACAGTTGTTTGCTAAACAGTATTTTTACAAAAATTGTTTTAAAAAATTATATTTTTTTTTTTATTACAAATCGATTCTCTTGATAGATACACGTAAAAATACACTTGTTTACGCAATTTTAATGAAAAAAAAATATTTTTCTTAAACATCCTTAATGAACCGAAGGCTCAAGTGAGCTTTCTGGTCACATTTTGTCCGGCGTCCGTCTGTCATATTGTCTGTGTGTAACATTTCGTTTCCGGACGATATCTCAAAAAGTCTGAGCTTTAGCAATAAAATTTTACATCACAAATCTCTATAGCTTAAAGAAGACTCCTATTGATTACATTTTGAGGTCAAAAGGGCAAATTTCAAGGACTTAAATTCATGGGTCTGTAAAACAAGTAAAACTTTCATTTCCGGACGATATCTTAAAAAAGCCTTTGAGCTTTTGCAATGAAATTTTATATCACAATTCCATGTGGCTAAAGGAAGCCTCCTACTGATTACATTGCAAAAAAACCCAGTTTCTAGATGACACTTGTTTTCTTTGAGTTTTCTCAATAAAATTTAATGTAACAACCCCCTATGGCCTTAAAAGACTACTTTTGATTTTGAGGTGAAAAGGTCAAGGTTAGAAATTCATACAGTATGTCTGTGTGTAACACTTTTGTATCTGGACGATATCTTTAAAAAGCCTTCGAGATTTTGCAATGAAATTTTATAACACAACTCTCTGTGACCTAAAGAAAAATTCCTGTTGATTTTAAGGTCAAAGGTCAAGATCAGAAATTCATATATTTGCAAAAATGTTTTCCAAATGATAACTTTATTCCTCTGGGAGCTGTTACAACTCTTAGAGACTTAAAGAAGACCCCTTTTAATTTTATGTCAAAAGGTCAGGTCAAGGTCAGAAATTTGTACAATCCAGAAAATTGTTTCCAGATGGTAACTTAAGTTTTCCTGGAGCCTCTTCTATGAAATTTTAATATCGTAACTCCGAATGACTTAAAGAATACCCCTTTTGATTTTTAGGTCAAAAAGTCAGGGTGAAAAATTCATATCTTGCATAAAATGCTTTCCTGACAATAACTAGATCTTTTTGAAGTTTTGCAATGAAATTTTATACCTTTAGTTAATATAACTTAAAGAAAAGAGGTCAAAAGTTCAAAGATCAAGGTCAGAAATTTATATATATCCTTCTTTGTATGCTTTTGCAATGAAACTTAATGTCATGATATTTTTCCTTAAGTGGGGGGCACAAATTCTCTGAATTAGGTTGTTTTCTATACCTCTCGCAGTTTGGGGCGTCCAAGAATAGTTGGGAATACAGAGCGCGGCCTATCTTCGCCGGCGAATCCTACATGACAGGTCCCGGATCCCATATCTGCAACGATGTTGTTGACAAAATCCTCATCCGTGTCAGACATTGACTGAAAACCTGAGCAGTAAAATCATTCAAAATTAGCCATTTTCGTAATTCTAGAAATTCTTTACATACGAGGGTAGTCCCAAATTTCCGCATACAACCGTATAGTTGTGTAGGAACCAGGGGTCATGAATAAATGAAATATTGGCTTATTACACAGATGAATCCTTTATAAATAAATTATTTCATTGTTTGGTGCAAGAAGGCGGGCAGTACCTTAAACTTGCAATTAAAGATCGGTATATAATATTTAAATCTTGCCAAAATCTGTTTACTACTCAGAATTTCGGAAATAGAGATAAAAACTTCTAATGTTCTTAACTACTGTACCTTACCTCATATTTTGATGTATATATATGAATTTTATAGCGTCTTATATAGACCTGTTTGTTTTAAATCTGACTTGTTGAAAGTGGCGGCTGCGTTGACACAGGCAGCGCACGGATCTGTGATCAAATGTTCTAAACTTTAATTCATTCCTACAGAAACGCATGTCACAAACGTCTGGTACACATGGAAATGTTTCCCGGTCCTTAGTAAAATCAAATGACAGAGATTGTGTTTCTAAATATGTGAGGAAGCCAAAGTGACACTCATCGTCGTAAACCACGGCCAAAATTGTACGATCGTCTCCCATTCTGGCCGTGGTTGAATGAGAAGAGAATATTTCGCAGCTCATTAAAATATTGACCAATGTGAGTAAAGCATAGTCGGATGATGAACTCTGACGCGACCTTTCAATACCCAATCGCAGTATACGAACATTTCTTGTATACTGTTGATGTCAGTTGTTGATTTCAATTGCGATGGAAACAAATAGTGTCATTGGATAAAAATGACGTCACAACATAAAGGTGTAAATATTCAAGATTACGACACTTTTTGTGATCAAGCAGCCACGGGTAGGAGAGAGCTATATGCGGACTCCGGACCGTGGCTTGAAACGATGAGTGACATTGTGCAATTCTATTTGAGAAGATAGACGAAAAATCTTTAGAAACATAGTTTTTTTTAACAACTGTTTTTGGATACGTACAAACAAATATTTTTTTCACATATTTTAATGTTAAATCATGTCATAACAATTAAAATATTTCACATTTATATCTATAACCTTTATCATGAGTTAAAGAATTTGATTTTAGTAATCCAAAATCCGAACCAGTGATGTTTATCTTTTTGACATCGGAGATTGCTCTGAGTGTTAGGGAATCATACTTCTACAATTCTAATTACTCGAACTGTTTTCAAGTTATCATGTTAACACTTCGTAATTTATCAACCAACATCACATTTTTTCACCCACAAAATACTTTAATTTCTGTTATAGATATGAACTTTTGAGATAAATTCGTACACAGCAATAGAGCGGAACAGCATACATTGATTAGTTCAATTAAGGTCAGATGATACGTTCCTAAATAAATTGAAATACATAATTTCCTCCCAAGAAATCGTGCTTGAAATATTGTTACTTTAACAAGTTTTCTCACAAAAATCGAGGCACATTACCAGGCATTTGTGCCGATTCCTGAGGATGGTATACTACATAATCCTATTGGAAATCACATGAATTGCTGATAAAATAATTTTGGTACATGTATGTTTTTAGACATTTTGAAAACAGTTTACAAATCGGAAGATAATCATGATAATGGTTATCAATATTTATGGCGTATTATTACAAAGAGATACAAAAACAGCTATTTCGAGGAACGTGTCGCCAGATCTTAGATATTTTGCAATGATAGTTTTATGTCCATTATGGGTCACCATCTTCCGTATGTTTATAATCGAAGGATTTGACCATTGATAATTGATATACATTACAGCATTAGTAATCATAGTAAGATGGATAAATGATCTGATATTTAAGTTCATCTTTATACGTACATTGTATTACTGTCCGTGGTGATTTGATCCTGTTACTGCCTGTCTGTCTTAGAGGATACTACATCATGTATTTACAGTATTATAGCGTTTACCTTGCAATACGAAAATACGGAAACTAAATAAAGACTTCTAACTCATTGTTGATCGATTCACCTTCCAGTTGCAGATGACAGGGACATCCATATGGTAAGATGACTAATGCAATGACAACAGTTTGGTCAAATTTCGAGAATTAGGAAGTTTAACACTTTAAGTGAATACTAAAAATTTAAGCTTTTTATTATCATATTTTCAAGACACAGTTGATTGGCTTTTCTCTAGAACCACAGGAACAAATCTTTAAAAATTCCTTTTGTAATGCTACTACATTTGTTAAACTTCTGATTTTGTATCCTTACGCCAGGGCGTTGCTTCAGATGGGATTCAATCCTTATTTATAACATGGAAATATTAATACATGTATATATGTTCAATGACATCTGTGGCGATCAGACGATTCGATCGCCGGTGGCCTGCCGCCAGAAACCTTAGTTGGTAGCACCTGGCTGGAGATTCAGGAGGCCCGGGTTCGAATCTCGGTTTGGTCTGTCGCATTTTTCTCCTCTCCTGTTACATTTGGTGCCGTGCCCTGGAAGTGACAAATGAACCTGCCAGGGAAGAGCCTGGGTTGGTGTCTTTGCGGGCCGAAGACCTAAAGGAGGGTGGAATGTGTTCGATCGAACGGGTTCGATCGCCGGTGGCCAGATGGCTCAGTTGATAGAGCACCTAACTGGAGATTCAGGGGGCCCGGGTTCGAATGCCGGTATGTTCCGTCGCATTTTTCTCCTCTCCTGTTACATGCAGCTAGATATTGAAATTCTTCTTAAAAATGTTTTTCTTTGGAGAAACAAGGCTAAACAGTTTGTCAAAGTTATATGCCACTTAATTAAGCATCCTTTTGATTTATTTGAGTGACTCTAAGTATTATATTTCCTTCAACAGGCAAACCTACATGTTCATTTGACATGTCTCCTTTGCTGTATGTTAATTGTTTTGGGCTGACAAGAACTGGTATTCAAAATACCGGTGCCTGCGGTATAAAAATTAAAATTTTTAATGTTATTTAATTTATGTCGTACATGTAAATATGAATTGGGACTCTCCCACGAGAAAGACGGACCCGCCCCCTCAACGAAACTGTAAACTTGTAAAGTTGTTTCGTTTTTGGGGTGTATATATATATATATATATATATATATATATATATATATATATATATATATATATATATATATATATATATATATATATATATATATATATATATATATATATATATATACCGCCCATGTAAAAACATATTTATTTTACACATAATCGGTTTTACCGGTTAGTAAACACATGTCCACAATCTTCGTTCGGTTTATTCGAGCGGATATTGTTAAATACTTTAAATATGTACATATATATACGAGTATATACGATATGCCTGACGTCTACCCGTAGCCATTAAACTATCAACACTTTATCTTGAAAGTAAGAATTCTTTTTCTAAGAAGCGATAACTTACTATTATACCTTATTGTTATGCTTGCCTGTTTTGTATCTTGAGCAACATTTTGTTTCCGGGGGAGATTTGTAAGGTCACCAGTTAGGACCATAGCTGTGTGCTGTATATATATATATTTTTTAAAAAGTTTGGCCAACTGATTTCTGTATGAAACTGTAATCAGAGTGTTATTTTATAGCTTTCTAAAATATTTTTTGAACATAGGGGCCTGTCTTCCGGATTGTAAAATGATATTTAAATTCAAAAATACATTTTGGAGCAGGTCCATCCGAAGTAACCTAATAACCTAAGACCTAATTATTACGACTAAAACTAAACACTTTGGTTGATAATAAAGTCTTGCAAAATCAATAATTCTGTTAAAAATTGCTTGCATAAAAATATATATCTAAAAGAATGAAACAATTTTTTCAAATTAATGTGAAAAAGAAAGTTATCAAAATTACATTTTGGTCTTAGTCATGTTCTTTTGAAAAACCATAGACCTGAAGCATAGGGTCTATGGTAAAACGGACCCCTGATCTTCAGGCTTTCCACGTGCTGATACCTGGATCTTTGTCACGTGATGATGCCGATGATTTCTGCAGACTTTGCTGGTGATGGACAACAAAATAATGCAAAATGAAGAAAAAATATCGTTGAGTCATTCATAGCTGTAGCATATTCAAAATAATTTTTACTAGTTCTACCAACTTTTCAATTTTGATTCATCACCTTTGCCACTGTAATATCAATATCCGGAAAATCCAACGATCTGCTTTCATATCTTAAACACTCCCAATTTGGGGAGTATATATTCTACACCCCTTTTTATAAAGTCATAAATTAATTATCCTATGAGTAAATGAAATCAAAATTCTCAAATGTAACAGCTGTCGAGACTTAGATTAAAGCAAGTTTCAAGATATTTTAATCATATTTTTTTATACATGTTATCATAAACGAATTATTTTACCGAACTTATTAGAAAAAAATTAGGTCTCATTTCCCCATGTGCACTTTCTAACACAACCACAAATTTAAGAGATTGGTCGCTGCGACCGATAATGAAGCCTACTTTGACCTAACTTGCATGAATGATGCATCCAGGGATAAAACTGTACCAAACAGTTTTTGGAACATTCTCAAGAAACTATGATAAAATCCTATCCAGAACAAAATTGCATGGTTGTTGCATGTAGATATGTGTACTACCTGAAGACATTGCTTTAATTCACTAATAGATGATGTTTGTCGAGGTGTGTTTCGTAATCTTTGATTACCTATGTTTTTATCGGAAGGAGGGCGGGTTGAAGCCCATTATTGTCATCATACCATAATAAGTAATCACAATACAAGTACATGTACAAGACCATGTACATAAAAAGTACAAATAATAAGAATTTAGTTGTATTGTAATTTTTTTTTTTATTTTGAGTTTACCTCCACCCAGTAAATTCAAAATTGATAACGTTTCCTTATTATTTAGATGTATTCAAAGGTATTTTGCGAAATGGAATGCATGAAAACCTTCACATTACTCAGTGGCAGTTTACTTTTTGATTTATGTCCATATATATACACTTGCAAATCTGAATATGATAACAGGGGTCCTGAGGTCTTCTGCAAAGTAGGAGAAGATATTTGGTGCTAGAAGTTGCTCAAAAAGAATAGATAGTAACTGCAGACTCTATTTCATTATCAATTCTGATCGCTCCTGGATAAAATTGAACCCTCATATTGTGTTATTTTTAATCGACAATCAAGACCATGAAGGTTTTCTCCTACTCATCTAGTTCATTTAACTTGAACAAAGAGAAATGTCATGAGTGATAATGATGAGGATTGGTCGAGTGCGGTTGTTATTGACAACGGATCCGGATCCTGACAGGCGGGCTTTGCGGGAGACGATGCTCCTCGGTCCTATTTTAATTCAGTTGTAGGAAGACCCAGATTCCAGGTAATTAGATTTACTATTTAAAACGCATAATCTTTAAAAATCTAATGTGGGAGATAAGGCTTTGTCTCTCCCTTCGCTACCCCATTGAGAGAGGTGTTACAAACTGGGATGACATGGAGCTGATATGGCAGCACGTCTTTCAGAATGAACTAAGAACAAAGTCTGAGAAATCAAATGTGCTCATGTCGGACGCAATTTTGAATCCAAAAGGAAATCGCGAGAAAATGACGCAGGTGAGCAACGAGCACACACAAAAAAGAAATAATAAATAAATAAAATAGAATAAAAAATAAAAAAAAAAAAAAACGTAAGAAGATTTCAGGAATTGATAATTTTCAGGGCAATGCATTCATGCTTTAGTTATTTCTACATTTATAACTTATTTTCAGATAATGATGGAAAAATTTAATGTTCCTGGTTTCTTTGTAATAAATCAAGGTATACCCACATTGTATGCGTCAGGAAGAGCCCGTGGTACCGTTGTAAACATAGGAGAGGGTGTTGCTCAAGTATATCCTATACACGAAGGTATGGAAGCAATTTTTGCTTCAGATATTTGTTACGGTAGTACGTTATTAGGTCTTTTCTTAATACAATGATTTGTGTGTTTTATATCTTCTTACAGGGTACACGGTTCTTTCAGCTATGAGAAGGCTAAACCTGGCAGGGAAAGATTTAACATGTTATTTACAAAGACTTCTACAACAGAAAGGATACTCTTTCTCTACATTTGGTATGTATTGGTCTATATATTACAGAGGGAACAGATTTGAACATACACCAGTCTATTTGATTGATTGATTGATTGATTATTACTGTTTTACGCCGAGTCGGCAATATTTCAGCCATATTTCGGCGGTCCAGTTTATTTGAAGAAAAGTGAAGAAAATATATCATTGACACATTTGAAATTTGAATCAATGAAATTTAAAAGCATTAAATTTTTCAATCAGGAAGATTGTTCATATATTTTGCTATATAAACGTAGTTTTTGAAACTGAAAGTTTTCAAGTTTTTAACAAGAGGCCCAAGGACCACAACGCTCACCCAAGTCACCTTGATCATGCTGATCTTCAAAAGATTTCTCTTAAGATTGTTTTATCCTCTACTGTCCCATGGAACAATTTGACCCCATATTGTTACATGACAACACACCACATGGAGATACTGAATATCAATATGATCAACATAACCTTCTTGTTTAATTCTATATTTTGACTTCGCCCTAGACCAGGGTTACGACATATTAACATGAAACCACACTCTATGAAACCACACACAACTATAGTATTTTTTTTTTGTTGGCCTAAGGAATATTATATCTTAAGAAGTGAAAATATCCAAATCGAGAGTCCAATGGTATACAATTTTAGTATAATATTACAACTACCTGTATGATTTGTTAATTTTCACAGGTTTTGTTGAAAGAATGGGCTCCGAATTAAGGGAACTGGCTTTCTCTTCTTTAGTTAGGCCAGCTGTAGTAGCTTCCCCTGAGAGATGTTATTGGACTTGGTTTGGAGGATCGATCCTAGCGTCTTTATCCACTTTCCAGAAGTGTTGGATTACCACAGCCGAGTATCAGGAATATGGTCCGAACATAGTTCACCGCAAATGCCAGTTCTGATGTGGAATGAAAGAAGAAAAATGTTGATATAAATAAAAATTGTATAAGTGTGCGCACTTTACATGTATTTTTTGATTGTTTTTGCCATGCATGCAGTATATCCTATTGACGTTTTCAATTCACTTCACTTCCTTTCCCCGGGGGTCATGATTTGAACAAACTTGATTTTACACTTCCTTAGAAAGCTTTCACAAGTTTCATTTTTTCTGGCCAAATGGTTCTTGAGAAGAAGATTTTTAAATTACCCCACCCAATTTTCACTATTTCTTAATTATCTCCCCTTGGAAAAGGGTGTGACCCTTCATGTGAACAAACTTGAATTCCCTTTACCCAAGGATACTCTGTTCCACGTTTGGTTGAAATTGGCCCAATAGTTCTGGAGAAGAAGATGAAAATGTGAAAAGTTTACGACAACAACAATGCCGACGACAACAACGACAGACAACGGACAAATTTTGATCAGAAAAGCTTTCATGAGCCTTCGGCTCAGGTGAGCTAATAACTGAACTTGTAATTCATACAGAAAAGATTGATAACAGTCACCAGAAACCCAATTATAACGATTTTAAAGTAAAATAATTTTCCCAAAATTCCCTAAAGAATCGTTTATTTTCCCAACTTTTAAGGACCCAGCCCAGGTCTCAAAAAGTGATGTGAGAGCCCTGCTGAGGAATGTTTTCAAAATTTGTATTTAAAAATTCTTTTGAAGAACAGTAAGACCACAGTTATTCAAAATCAATGTAATTAAAAATCAAGTTTGTCAAACTATTCTTTGGATTGGATTGGAATGAAATAAGAAGTAATAATTTAATTCTGGTTGTAACACTCCACTTGATTGGATAGAAAAATTCGTTTATATCGTATAACCCGTGTTGCCTACGTCACAATGATTGACGTCAAAAACGTATCAATCCGCTTGACGTTATATTTAAATTCTGAAGAATTTGAAGGCCTTTTTGAAGGGAAAATTGTCTTATTTTTTACACGTAATGATAGAAAATTAAATTATAAGGAATAAATTTAATAGCTACCCAAGTTATACTTGTATATCTTGGGTTGGAACAGTTTACGCTTTCTTATAAACCTCTCCGCGGTTTATAAAGTGTAAACTGCCGCAACCCAGGTTATACAGTATAACTTGGATAGCTATTTCATTCACTCCTTAAATATAAAAGATGAAGATAACATGTAAAAGATGAAGATAACATGTAAAAGATGAAGATAACATGTAAAAGGTGAAGATAACATGTAAAAGGTGACGATAACATATACTAGTAAAAGGTGAAGATAACGTAAAAGGTGAAGATAACAGACAGTGATTAGCCTCCAGTAAAAACAAAACGAATCGTGAACAGGGCAAAACACGGACCCCTGAAAACACCACAGGTGGGATCAGGTGCCAAAGAGGAGTAAGTATCCCCTGTCCGCCATGTGCCCTATGTCGCGGTTTTACTTTTCCTCGATTCGACACAGCTTTTCCATCCCGCTTTTCCGCGACAAATTATACTGCTTTTCCACGATTATTATTATTATTATTATTTTTTTTTTTTTTTTTTTTTGCTTTTTGCGATTTTTAGCAGGTATTTCTTCCTTTAGTCAGGTAAAAACTGTTTCTACTTGCTAACAACCGACTTCAGCCATTTTTTTTTTTTTTTGGTCTTTACTGAGATTGTTGTATTCTTTCTGTCTCTACCTCGGCAATCTCTCTTCCTTCGGTTGTAATTGTGGCTTTGCATATTTTATCTTCGTCGGTAAGACACATCGCCATTTTTTTTTTAAACATTGGCCTTTCTGTACGTAAATCCATCGTTTGTAATACATTTGTTACAACGATTTGTTCCGTTATGAAAATTTCCATAGTAAAGCATCACCGACCGGTGTAAAATGTGTTTCATTCAATTTTTATCACAGTGTGATACTACCGAGTAGAACTCTATATAGGGAGATACATGTAAATCCAGGTAAATATCGGCAACCGTTTATGTTAAGTGCTTACCATGACCATTTAAAAATCGCAGAAAGGAAGTATCGAAAAAAGAAGATAACACATAATTTATAGTAACATTCAATTGCTGAAAAGAAGCATGGGGTAGTCGCGGAAAAGCAGACAGATTGCGAAAATAAAATCGCGGAAAAGCAGGTCGGCCTCCTATGAATTGATCAGGTAGACAGAGTACTCCTTGGTAAAAAACAACGATGATCTAACAAATGGTTTGAAACATGTCAGACAAAATACGATTCCACGATAGGTTTTATTTACAAACAATG